CCCAATAGGAAAAAAAATTTAGTATTAACTATATTCTTGAATTTAAGTTGTAGAAGATAACTCTTATATTAAAGAATTCTGTAAATCTACAAAATGAGTACTAGGTAAAGAAGTAATTTAAACTGTAATTTCTTAATTTGATTATTTAAATGATGAATGTCCCTTATCTATTGACAAATTAATATCCAAAGGATAATTTTCAAAGTTATTATCATCACTATTCCATTACCAATAAAATTTTGCATTGTTTTATTGGCCTGATAATGTTTTCGAAAAATTGAGATAAAACTGATCAATTTTTCAATATTTTGGTTCTTTTAATAATTGTTTTATTAATTATTATTTAAAAAAATTTATTAAGGATACTGTTCAGATATAAATTAGTAAAATAATCATAAAATTATGTTTCATTATTTTCAATTAATTTAGGTATAATTAAGGTTTAAATATGATTATTTTTATTTTCAATCTTATCAAATTAAGTTGCTATGTTTTTTTTTCCTTTTAATAGGTCTGGTAATTTTCTAATCAAATTCAAATATGATATCAAATGTTTCAAAATATTTAGTTTGTTTTTTTCAAGTTGTTTAATTTCTTCAGAAATAGAATTATATTTTTCATCTAATCAAAGTTAATCTTATGCACATAATATAATTTTTAATTCGTGTGAATAATTCGCATAAAAATTTTAAACATATTAATTTCAAAATTCTGTTTCTAAAAATTATTATTTCAATCGATTAAAAATAAGGATTTTTGATCAATCAATTATTTTAGTTTTTTTATTTTCTGAAATGTATTTTTTATTTCTAATAATAGTTTTTTAATTTCTTCTAAATTTCTTTTTAATCCAATCTCTAAATAAATAAATAAATAAAAAGAATTCTTAATTCATTTTAGAAATAAAGTAAATTTAAATTTCTACCGTAATACTATTTTTCCTTTAAAAATACTTATTTTTCTATTCCTTAAAATAGCCACAAATTTTCAATTACAAAATGTTTTTCATTGTGGAAATTTAATTCTACAAAAAATTTTTCTTATAATTAAATATATTATTAATTATAAATCCATCTATTTATGATGAAATATAGAAACTAAAATGGTTGGTTCCATTAAATTATATGAAGCATTTTTGTGGATGGTCCAACAATCCACAAATTATTATTAAAACAAAAATTATCCCCATAGCATGATTTTGGATTTATCAGTTACAGTTATCTACTTAATTGGAAAAAATATTAACAGTATTTCATTTTTCAAACTTGGAATTCCTTCATTATAACCCTCATATATCATATCCATTTCTTAAATTCATACTAAAATATTATATTATTTTATATTTAAATAAGAATCAATAGTAATAGAAATTAATTTTTTTAAATAAATAAATAAATAATGAATTGTACTTATCATATTAAAAATCATGTATCATTTATATGTATAGATATTCACAAGGTGTTAATATTAAAGAAAACTGTGCGCTGAATGCCTTTATGAACATGAAGTGAATTTTAACAAACAAGCAGTTCCAATTGATAGATTTGGAGAAATGGTTTTAAACAAACTAAAAGAATTTAAACTAAATGAGACAACTGAGTTTATTAACTACAGAATGAATTTTAAATATATGGTCTCTTAAATTGAAAGTATAATGAAAAAAAATTGGGAAGATTTAATGAAATTAATAAACTAATTTTTGATATGATTGAACAGGAAAATAAATCATACATAAACCTTTTTAATGAAAATTAGAATCTTGCAGAGTCTTCTTATACTGATTTAGAAAAATTGGTATAAATTTTAGGAGGAAACACATTAAATTTATGGAATGCTTAGAAAACTTATATAGCAGAAAAACCACCAATGTAAAAAAAATAAATGAGGATTTATGTTGATTTGGAATATTAATAATAGTAATTAATTAATTTGTTCATAAAAAGTATAAAAACACAAAGGTCGCATAAATTGCCTAATTATAAATAATAATGAGGATATTCTAATCTCAAGTAGTAATGATAAAACTATTAAGTTTTGGACTAAGCAAAATGAATGAGTCTGTTAATAAACAATCAAAGATCATCAACATTGGGTGTATTAATTAAATTTAAATGAATAATAAAATAAAGTTATTTCATGTGGATGGGATCAATTAATATTAATAATTGAATATTCAAAATAAAATAAAAAGTGGATTGTAATATAAAAAATTAAAGTTGATTGTTAAGGAATGTGATTATGCTTTATTAACGATAATCTTTTCACATTTTAACCTTATAAAGGTAATTCATTGCTTATCTATGAGATGAATAGTTTTAATAAACTATTTATTAACACTAAACATGTTACTCTGGATCAAGATGATAATGATGGTGTTGTATTCTTTCCATAATAATATATAAAATCAAAATAGTTACTTGTGAGTAAACGTAATAATATCAATTTGATAAGAAAGTCAGAAAATGGAGAATTTAAATTTGAGTATTCTATTAAATTTGGCAATATAAATTTATTCGGGTAAATGAATGATATTGGAGACTATTTGATTACTTGGGATAATTCATCAAAAGAGATCTAAATATGGAAATACATAGAAAAATGAGTATATAAAAATATTTATATATAAAATTTAACAATAACCAATTTATTTTAAGATTTTTTTAAGTTTAGACTATTTTGATAAAAAACTAATTATTAAAATAGTTTTAATCAACAGATTTGCAAATAGATAAACAGAAATTCTTAGTTATAATTTAGTAAGAGCAAGTAAATAAAGAATTACTAAGCATTAAATAGGCTTATTTTAAGCTAATGAAAAATAAAGAAAAAGAATAGGAATTATAAGAATAATAAAGATGAAAGATGAAATAGAAGTCTTGGGGTAGGCTATTCTATATTAAAACAATAGAATAAAAACTATTTAATATAAAATACAAAATAATCACTTTTGTTAATAGAATGAATATTAATGAAGTTTAATTATAATATAAGTATTATATTATTAATTTATATATTTGATAGAGGAATGGTAAGATTCAATAAATTTAAAAGCTCTAAAAAGTTGATTTATATTCTTAGAATCTATCTTTTAATTCAAATTTAATATGTTCCAGAATATATTCATTCAATAATAGAATCGCTTAAATTTGAAGATTCAGAGTAATAATCTTGAGTAAAATTATTTTTATTGTTTAATATTTCATTAAACACAACTTAACAACCTTTTTTTTTCGAAATTTTAGAAATCAATTACCAAAATTAAATGATTTATTTTTACCAAAAACTTCTTTTCTATAAAATATGATATGTGAGTAAAAATTATCAAGTACTATTCTTTTAGCTATATAAATAAAAAGAAAATTTTTTAATTTTATGTTCAAATGATACAAAGGGTAAATCCTGGATTGTCTGTTACCATAATATTATGTTTAAATTACAAAAATTTTGAACTATATTACTTTCATTCTATCTAAATCCATTCCTAATTTTGCATTTTTTTGGATTAAAAATGTACTTAATGTCTAACAGAGTTAATTAGGTTTGCATTATCTAAATTTAAATTTGCTATTTTTAATAAAAAATATAAAAAGAAAAGCAATCAGAATTTTTTTCATTTTTAAATTAAATAATAAAATTTTTATTATTCTAATATTTTATTTTAATTCTGGTTTTTAAGATGCAAGTTAATCAAAAATCTATTAAAATACAAACATCTTTTATATTTAAATTATCAATTTTTATTATAGCATAATTATCCATTCATCTTTTATTTTAGAATTGACTAATGTTTAAACTTGATCAATATTGTTTTATTCAAATTCTAATTAACCAATTAATTGGAGTAAATCAATTTTTGGTAATGAAACTTGTGATTAAAAAATGCTGGCACAATCAATTAGAAAATCATTAATTAATAATTAATCTATCAAATTATTTATCTATGGGTAATCTTCAGCAAGAGAAACATTAATTTTCCATGTATTTAAGTGGTGGAGGCAAGAGAAAATTATGTTTGGATATTACTTTGATTGAAAATTCTTAAGTTCTTCTTTTGAATGAACCTACTACTAACAAACATAGAAGATATTGAAACAAATCAAATAAGATCGATGTATTATATTAACTACTCATCTTTTGGAAGAAGCTTGAGAACTTTCAGATTATGTCGGTATACTGTTTTTGGAACAGTTGATTATATAAAAAAACAATTCTCAGTAGGATAAAATATACTAATTGCATTAAAAACAGATCTTAGATTAGAATTAATCAAATTTACAATAAATTCGTCAAAATGAAATCAATTTTCTTTCTTAAAATAGAAATCTTAAGTTAAATATCCCTTTAAGTAATAGTAGAAATATTGCTACTGCTTTGAAATATTTGGAAACAGCAGAAAATATTAATATATAATTTGAATTGACAACACTTGAAGATGCTTTAAATTGCATGGATTTTTATATTAGGATTTGTTTCCTGCTTTCATACTATTAATCAAAGTATCGTCATGGGAAGCTATGCTTTGATCAAGTTAATAATGATCAACTAGCAATCCTCAATATTTCTATTAACTTGTTATACTTTTTGAATAGTTTCTATTTTTAATAGTTTTTCTAATAACTCAATAAATAGGTAGATATAAATAAGACAATTTTTTAGTTTATTTCAGAATGATATAAATAAATACAATATTTTCAATTGCACTTAATTATCATAGTCGTCATTGAAATTTAAAAACTTAAAAAAAGAATATTTCAATTACAAATTATGAAACTCAAAAAGATGAAGTTGATTTCAGAATATTTAATCAACTCTTAGTTGGATGTGCTTTAATTGGAAGCCTTATATTATAGGCTTTCAAGTTTTTGGTTTCAACTATCTGCCTCTTCATAGTTCCCTCCTTATTTAAGCTATAAGTAAAAATTTTCAACAGGACATAAACATTTAAAGAAAAAGAAATTTTTAGAAAATAAATGATTAAACAGAATTTTAATCTTTTCCATAAGAAGATATTTTATAACAAGCATAATATAAGTTTAATTTAAAGATATGGTGAATGAAATCATATTTATTTCAAAGCAAAAATTGATCAAATAAAAATTACGAATACTTTCTTCTTTAGTTATGGAAAATAAGAATATTCATTTTAGAGCCCTAATAATAAGAAGATTCGAACTCATCATAAAAATAGAGATCTTTTAAAATAGATTGTATGTTAATTTAAAAACCACCTATAAAATTTTAAAATACAAGAAGATTTATTACTAGAAATCATTTTGAATTTTACGTCTTATTGAAAAGGAATTTACTTCTGAATTGTAACATTAATACCAAATAATTCGGTTTAATTACTATTTTGCATGTATTCTTGGTAGATAAAACACTTAAGGTTTTCAAACATTCTTACTTTCAATTTTTTTATAAATAGAAGGAAAAATTAATGCTAAATAGTACAAACAACATCTTTATTTTTATTATTTAAAATAATAATTTAGAGTTATTATTATAAATTAACATTTTTTATATAACAAATTATTAAACATTCAATTTTTCTCTAAATTAATGCAATTGACTGTTGATTGATTTAAAAATAGAAAAAAAACATCCAAAATTTGGATTGTCACATAAAAATAACAAAATAATAAATACTTTTTAAAGTGTGTCTCTGTTTAAAGGATTGAACATTGAAAATGCAAAATATCTAATTTTGTGTGTAAAAGCATTTACGAAATTCAAATTTTATATATTAGCCTTAAATAAGTAAATAAAAGCAAAAATTATTCAATACTACAAAATAAATTCAAACCCGAATTCTTCCAAGATTTTATCATTTATATATTTTTAGGATTTAAAAAAATATATTATTATAATTTATATGTCTTAAGAATATATAATTTAAATTTTAAATATGATAAACGATAAATCATCCTCTCTAAAAGTTGTCGTTTTCATCATTTAAGGCTAATTCTAATTTTTCTCTTAAGATTTCTTCAGAATCATAAGCTGGAATTACTAAGCGATTGAAACTTTGTAAAATACTATAGAATTATACCATGTATATGCCTCAGGAAATTTACAATTGATATCAGTTATATGATCTCTAATTAAAATTTCGATTGGTCTCACTAAATCTTAAAATCCTCCAGCTGGTACAAGGTTAGTACCTAGAGATGCTTTAATATGTTACCTGTAACAAAATTTACAAACCTAGCTAGCATATCTTAATTGAAAGTTCTTAATATGTTTTCAAGCCATCTAATTAATTAAATATCTGCTTGATTATACTTAAGATTCTAGATAAGATCCTCAACTAAAAACATAATTTAATATAATTTACCATTAATATATTCCTAACCGCAAAACAATTTCTTAAATTAAGATAAATCAAAAATTGCAATAAGATTTTTAGGTATTATTGTATAAAATCCTTTTTAAATGGCTTTCATTTAAGGTTCAATGTTTTTTGCCATATATTAATGGCAATATTTTTTTATAAATTCTTTTTTAGTTTCGTCTGTAACTTAAATATCTTTTCCTCCTGGTATTAATTCTTTTTCTTCTCCTTTCTTAGTACAATATGTAAAAACACAATCAAGTTTGGAAATATTATTATTATCCTTAATGTATTTCATGCTTTTATATAAATCTTCATCAAAATCATTTATAAACAAATTAATACCCAAAATATGTTTAAAAAAGTAGTTAGGATATTTTACATAAATTAAACAGTCTTACATAATAGCTTTTGCAAAAATCTTTCCAATAAATTCAAATTTATTAAGATGATGATCATCATTAAATTCCGTATTAATCTCATAAAATGATCGATTAGGAGTATGTATAAATAATTAATGTTATGGTACTACGAATTCCTATGTAAGAATTTTAAACCAATGCCTTCTTGGACCTCCAAGATCTTAAGCATTTTGTCCAACAAAATTGATGGCAAAATCTCTTTTAAGTTGATTAGAATCCAAATTTCTAATAAATCTGTATGAATCTTAAAAAACTGTATCCATATTTATTTAGATTAAGAGCTCATCTCTTAATCTTATTTAATCAATATTATTCCTAAAATAAATTTTCTTAACTTCAAAACTGATTATATTAGAATGCTATTTAAAAAAATATTCTAGAAAACTTCTTTTTCTTAAATTACAGTTTATCCCTTCTAACTTTGACATAGTAGCTTTTTATATTTCTATTTGCTCTTTTATAATACTGTTGATATAAACTTTACCATCCTAACCAAGTTTTTTGAATAATTTTTTAAAGTCAAAACCATTGTGATCTTATGAGGAACTTGATAATTACATTTAAGATAATTAAAGAACTTAAAAACTATCTGACTAAGACTCGGTTGGGTTAATAATTTCACTTAAAATAAAAATAATTTCAATATAAGGTAATAAAGATGAGTTATATTCTTATTAAGACTAAATACTAGAAATAATTTTTTCTATGTTTTTCCAGAATTGTTCAAATTCAGACGTTTCCTAAATCCAAAGCCAATGCTTTTTTAAGTTAGAGTTTGCATTTTTCTAATTATATTATAAATGATAAATAAGTTAAAATATTTTCTTTATTCCATCACCTTAAACTGTAATTTAATCATTTGTATCATTTTATTTTATGTGTTTATCTATATTCTATACTACTTGTTTTAAATCTTTCTTAATTAGTATTTAAAATTTCACGATATTGTCATCATTTTTGAAAATAATTGATATAAACTTAATTAATTACTAAATTCTTTAATTATTGTTCTCTTACTTAAAAAGAGTGTATAAAGGCTCAAATCGTTAAAAATTAAATTTTTCTATATTTTATTCATTCTTTAGGAAGTTTCGGAACACTTTTAAGAGTAATTCTAAATTGTTGTCCTGCTTCCACCAAAATAATAAATTGGTCATAATTTTGAAGTTTTAAGAGGATAAATTATTTTTTGAAGTTTTTTCTACATTTAATAAATTTTATAAAATTTTGGGTGAAATAAACTTCGAATAATAATTAAAATCATTTACTATCAAAGTTCTCGTAACAATAAACATATCTTTGTCAACATTTTGTTTTTTTATTATGTCCAATTTATTAATAAGATAATCAATTATTTAATTGGCTATTGAAGATGAATTACTTAAATTCATCAAAAAGGAATTTATTAAGTCATCAAAATTATCATCTACCTATAAAATTTTTGTAACAAGTTATAAAAATTAGTCATCGACGAAACCTAATAATTTTAGTGTCTATTTCCTGCCATTCTGAACAGACTTTATCTTATTTTGTATTTGAGTGTATAATGCTAACCAATTTTAATCATCTAGTTAAATTTGCTACTCATAGATTTATTATTAGAAATTATCTTTATGATCAATATTTAAAATCTGAACCTTTGAGTTTAAATATATTTCGTTTTACCAAAGTCTAGTACTAGACCAAATAGGTAATTCAGTTTAACCTGGCAATAGTTTTTTAAATTAGCTTAATAATTGTTAAAATTATTAAGGTAATTAAATCTTGAAATCTATATTAAAATATCCAGAATTACAAAGAAATTCATCTTTTTTATCATCCATATGATAATTTTTGAATTTTTGAATTTCTAAATTATTTTTATTTGAAGATAAATTTTATTTGACCTAATAATTTTCATCTAGATCTACCCAATTAATTGATTCTTATTCTATTGCTTCAGCACAAATTTCAAATTAATTTTCATAATTTTCAATGTTCATTTATTAATTACATGAAATTTCTTATTCCTCTTCCATCTAAGCTTCATCAAATAATTTTCCATTTTTAATTGTTAATAGAGGCCATTTTTAAAATAGAAGCTTAACTATGTTTTGTTTTACTCGATCTTGAAAATGTAACATAAAATTTGAAAATATTTAATGATTGATCTTTGCTGAACTCATTTAGAAAGAATTAACTTAAATCGGTTCAGTTTTATCTAAAAGTAAATTTATAGCAACACTATAAAGCATATTTAAAGTGTTAAGAATGAAAAATAATTGATTTTTGTAAATAAAATGTTATCTAATATCGAAATTTTTAATTCCCTCTATATAAGTTTTAATAAAATTAAATGAGTTTTAAGGGTCGTTAATATTTTGAATACAAATTTTTGCAACAGATTTTATTTACAATAAATTCATTAAAATATTAGAAAACTGACATACTTTGTCATCTAAAACTTTAATAGATTTACTAATCTCAACAAATAACTCCCTTATTATTAATCTTCTAATATCATATGCAAAAGGAACAATTACATTATCAGATTTCCTATAAAGAACTAAATTATCCAAACATATATAAAATATAAAATTATTAGATGGATTTATAAATCTTGTTATTAATGTTAGGAATGAAATTTTAGAGGTGATTTTTGAAGAATCAATTCCTCTATAATATTTTTCTAGAAAGTTGCTACAATTAATTTTTAAGAGATATGGTAAAAGTATTGGAAATTTTTAAATAAGTAGCTATAAAACATCAAATATAGTATTCCAATGATATTGATATTGTTAATTATTTTAAAAATAAGATTCTATCATTTGTTAAACTAAAAGTCTTATAAGAATTTATGTTTCTTATTTAGGTTTGAAATTAACTTGTAAGATTGGATTTCCATTTGTACTCATACAATTTAATGTATTAAGAGCAATACCTTTTTTTAAAATTAAATTTTCATCATTTACTTATTCTTCAAATAATTAAATCATTATATACGTAAAATCTTCCTTATACAAGTTCTCTTTTTAAAGATCTAACAAAGCTGTGTGATTTTTTGATATTTTTAATTGTTCCTTTGTATATACATTATAGTATGTTGGTTGAAAGCAAATTGGATATGTGTTTTAATTATAATAATATTGCTATTATAAATTTTAATTAGTTTTTTGGATTTAGTTCTTTTCTTAATTAAAAAGTATATTCTTTATTTATGTTTCTAATTAAACTCTTATTAAAGTTTAATCATATACTATAGACATGGCTAATTTTGAAAGACTAAAAAATTGATATTTATAATCTCCTTTCAATTTAAATAAAGTTTCCAAAACATTCTCTTTACAAACAAATTCATTTAGTAATTTTTTACTTTTTTAGAAAACTTTCACAAAAATTTCAATACAAATTTTTGAAGTTGTATGATTTTTAACATTAGAATCAATTAAGATTTTTTTTATTCTATTTAAAACTAAAACAAGGATATTATAATCATCTGTATTTAATTTATATAAATTGGCTAGACTAAAATTAATAGCTAAGAATCCTTATTATTCTAATTAATCTTCTTTTTTCAGCAAAACATCAAGTAATTTAAGTAGTTCAAAAATAAATTAATCTTGATCTTTTGGTAAATTATTTTATTTGTAAAGCAAGTGTAAAGCTACAATTAAACTATTGATATTCGCAATAGGTTGACTTAATATCTATTAGTGCTCTTATCCATTTCCTTTGAAATTTAATTTTATATTGAATAGCTGATATACTATTAGTTCTAAACAATTATAGAGTTCAAGTTCATCTATTTATATATCCAAGTCTTATAAGATATCTATTACAGAATTTGGTAAAAGGAAAAAAGATCTCTAAATACAATTCCTGAGAGTTTCTTATTCTATTTCTATATAGATCAAATTTTATACTGTTTCATCAATCTATTAATTATTCAATTTTTGTAGATTTTGTCCATTAATGAATNATACAATTTAATGTATTAAGAGCAATACCTTTTTTTAAAATTAAATTTTCATCATTTACTTATTCTTCAAATAATTAAATCATTATATACGTAAAATCTTCCTTATACAAGTTCTCTTTTTAAAGATCTAACAAAGCTGTGTGATTTTTTGATATTTTTAATTGTTCCTTTGTATATACATTATAGTATGTTGGTTGAAAGCAAATTGGATATGTGTTTTAATTATAATAATATTGCTATTATAAATTTTAATTAGTTTTTTGGATTTAGTTCTTTTCTTAATTAAAAAGTATATTCTTTATTTATGTTTCTAATTAAACTCTTATTAAAGTTTAATCATATACTATAGACATGGCTAATTTTGAAAGACTAAAAAATTGATATTTATAATCTCCTTTCAATTTAAATAAAGTTTCCAAAACATTCTCTTTACAAACAAATTCATTTAGTAATTTTTTACTTTTTTAGAAAACTTTCACAAAAATTTCAATACAAATTTTTGAAGTTGTATGATTTTTAACATTAGAATCAATTAAGATTTTTTTTATTCTATTTAAAACTAAAACAAGGATATTATAATCATCTGTATTTAATTTATATAAATTGGCTAGACTAAAATTAATAGCTAAGAATCCTTATTATTCTAATTAATCTTCTTTTTTCAGCAAAACATCAAGTAATTTAAGTAGTTCAAAAATAAATTAATCTTGATCTTTTGGTAAATTATTTTATTTGTAAAGCAAGTGTAAAGCTACAATTAAACTATTGATATTCGCAATAGGTTGACTTAATATCTATTAGTGCTCTTATCCATTTCCTTTGAAATTTAATTTTATATTGAATAGCTGATATACTATTAGTTCTAAACAATTATAGAGTTCAAGTTCATCTATTTATATATCCAAGTCTTATAAGATATCTATTACAGAATTTGGTAAAAGGAAAAAAGATCTCTAAATACAATTCCTGAGAGTTTCTTATTCTATTTCTATATAGATCAAATTTTATACTGTTTCATCAATCTATTAATTATTCAATTTTTGTAGATTTTGTCCATTAATGAATTATTACCTACTCATTGCTTCATAGTTTAAAAAATCTTAGGCTGTCTTAAAATCAGGATTTTAATTAAGAATCAGATTTATATATTGCCTTTCAAGCCCTGTTTTTTCTAATTTTTTTATTAGGTCTAGGTCTTTATTTTTCGATTAAAGCGAGTGATTATTGTTTTTTGGATCCAAAAAATTTTATCTCTGCATTAACTATCCTTAGAGCAATAAATATTACTAAATTGTTTTAATGCTTTGGTGTGATGAATTTTATATTATTGAAATATATTTCTAAATATCTTGGATCATTTTTATTTTTATTGATAAACTATTACTTAATCTAGAACAATCATATAATAATTTAAGTATATCTTCAAAGTTTTTTATTAGTTGTATATTTGGGTTAACAGATTTTATTATGTAGTTCTCCAGAGTGTTATGCAAATTGTCGCTTAATTTAGAATTCATAATCATATTTTGAATCTCAAAACCAAATTTAGAAATTTTTTTTATAATTTAACTAAGCATTTAAAGAGCTATTTCAGGACCATAATTTAAAATTTTAGTAAAAAAACTATCTACAAATTAGACAATTTTTTTTTTATCTTAAAATTTAAAAATTAACTAAATTATGAGACTAAGTAAGTATGTACATGGATGATCTGGATGATCTTATTGTTTTATTTTAGCAATCTTACTCTCCTAATTTCTTAATTATGAGTTAATTAGAATTTCAAATATGAAAATACATTTATCTAATAAATCTGGTTTGAAAATTTAATTTTCAATTGTTTCCCCTATCTCTCTAAAATAATGTAAAATTTCAGAAAACTAAGAAGTTTCTTAATAAATTTAAGGAGAGCATTTGTCAAGGAAATTTTATTTATTTAAAACTATAAATTATGTTTTGTCTAAAGAGCATTCCCTTAATTTTATTAACTCTAATACCTTTATTAGACATTTTTTAGGATCAAGACCAAAAAATTCGAAATCTTTAAATTATGGAATCTTGAATAACATCATAAAAATATCAAAATATTCTTCAGAATATAGCATTTGATTATTCCAAGTGATTTCCTTTATAAATTATTCTATTGCTTCCTTTTTCTTAATAATCTTATGAAATTAAGATTCAAATTAAGAATCAGAATAATTTAATTGATTCTATCTATCAGATAATTATTCTATTAGTATTTATAATACTTTGATGAATTTTTGATTAATTAATTTTATTGTTTGTTCTTTGTGAATTGAATCTTTTACATATTTTTTTATTTTTTTGGCTAAATCTTTTAATGCCTCATTATTAATTAGTTCTTGAGTAATAAAATGATATAATAAGACGTTATCAATAAATGTTATTATGTCATTATTAAATTTCTAAAATCCATTTTCTTGTTGGGAAATCATTTAATAAAAATCAAGAATATTTTTCATTTTTTTTGTGGTTAATTCAACCATTTCAATTTTTTAAATAATTTTATTCAAGAAATCAGGTAAGTTGGTCTCAATAGTTTTGACAGTTAATTAAGGAGCAGCTTATAATAATTTAGATACTAATTTAAATGTTATTTCTATTGTTTTGTTTAATTAAATTGTTTGCTGTAATGAATTTAGTATAATACCTAATAGATTAGAACTTAAAATCTTTGTAGCTAAAACAGAGCCTCTATTTAAATTATTATTCAATATTTCATATTCCTCTATCATGTTATGAGTTGACTTAAAAAATTTAGTATCAAAAACTTAAATTATAGCTTCAATAACACCAGAAATAATTTCATCTGCTTCTGCCATCGTTATTTATATATAACCTTTTTCAGTAGGTTTTTACAAACTCAGACTTTAATTAATGTAGTATTCAGCTCTTATTAAAAGATAATCGAAAATCTAATAATTTCTTTGTAGATCTGAACATTTAGATAAAAAACTTAAAAGACTTATTGCTAAAATTAATGATTAAGGAGGTAGCATTAATTTATTATCTTCAATACTCAAAGATCTTTTTAAAATTTTTAATATTTCATTTGTGAATTAATATTTTACAAAGAATTAAGTAAATGATGAAGTTTTGAAAAACTTAAAGATACTACTACTTATCAATTCGTTTCTAGCTATTCGTTCATTCATAATTTAAGTAGAGTATTTTAAAGGATAACCAAGAATTTATTCATTTTATTCTATATGTTGCATAGACAAAACACCTGAAATAAGTGCTAATAGTTCTTCGTCTTTTTTTTTATTATAAAAGTAATTGATATTATTTGAATAAGATAAAAGTAACTCTTTTAATACAAGTGCATCAATTGTTTCAAGCTTAAATAAATTAAAATTCTCAACAAATTTAAAATCCGTAACTTCATAATTGAATTCTCGAGGAAAATTCTTATTAGATTCCAAAAAATTTTGAAGATATTAAAAAGATTTTAAATGCAATTTGATAATGATATTTCTGGTTTATTCTGTGGTCTCTTTTGAATTTGAAAGTAATCCTCGTCTAATCAGTATTTTATATTTAAGAATCTCAATAAGTGGTGAAAAATTTTAATCATGCATGTTTAATAGTTTTCTTGACAAATTGAGTGCTGAAATGGAATTATCATCAATTATTTGAATTGTCTATAAATATATATTTTATTAATACTTTAATTTAGATCTCTCCTTATAGTCTATTTGTTTGAATACAACACTAAGAGAATTATTCATAACTTTTCATTAAATTAGTTGGTAGATAATATTCTATATCATATTACAGTTTTTCAATTGGATAATTAGTCATTGATTTATATTTTGCATCTTAGTGATAATAATCAATCAAATCTATTTTTTTGGAAGCTTAAGAGTTAAGATGATCATATAATATTTTGTAGAAATAAAGAATTCTTAGATTTAAATCTTGTCTATCTTTAAAATTGAATTGTTTCAATATCTATAAAACGTATTCATAAATACGTAAATCATCTGTATACTCAATTATATCAATTAAATGTTTATAAGACTTGAAATTTATCCTTAAAAAATTATTATAGGATTACTTAAAATCAGAATTAAAATGCATTCCTTATTCAATAAATTTTAAAACCTTAGAGCAGTCAAACCAAGAATTATTTTACAATTCTCCTACTACTTTTTCTAAGTTTTCATCAATTTTATCCAGCAAGTATTACAAGATATTGGCGCTTTCAATATCATATTTTTTGTCTTTATTTTCTAGACAATTTTTTAATTCTTCTAGGTTAAAAGAATCTATTAAGTTTTTCATCTAAATGTATGTCTTATATATTACATATTCATCTTCTTCAGATAATTTTTATGCTTTAAGTTAATTCTTCATAAATTTAATAATAATTTTTTTAAGTCATGAATTAAGCTCATGAATATACTTACCCTTAGTTATATTAAATAATTTTAACATGATAAACAAAACCAATTAGTGTAGATTTTAAGTGAAAATAATTAGTTTAAAAATTAACAAAGAACTATTTTATTAGATGGTAATTTTATAGTATCAGCTAGGTCAATGATAAACCATTCGAATGACTATATAAATTTTGCAAATCTTAATATAATACATATTATTTTATAATTTAAACGCTAACTTTTGCTTAATATATAACTACTGTAAGACTGCTATGATTTATAATTTAAGGATATCTTTTTTTATTTATTTTAAGACAAAAAAATTTTCTAAAACAAATGATTATTATTATCAATTTTATTATCAATATCATGTAAGTCATAATTTCATAATATAATAGCAAGTTTTTCATTATATCTATTTATTTATTCTAATTCAATATATTTTATTTAATATTTTCTCATAATTAATATCATGATTGTAGTATTAATTCAAATTAAACACAATTTTTTAACACGTAATATGAATCTCGAATCTCGACAAAATTTTTGCAAAGCTTAAATGCAGGTTAACTTATANATTCATAAATACGTAAATCATCTGTATACTCAATTATATCAATTAAATGTTTATAAGACTTGAAATTTATCCTTAAAAAATTATTATAGGATTACTTAAAATCAGAATTAAAATGCATTCCTTATTCAATAAATTTTAAAACCTTAGAGCAGTCAAACCAAGAATTATTTTACAATTCTCCTACTACTTTTTCTAAGTTTTCATCAATTTTATCCAGCAAGTATTACAAGATATTGGCGCTTTCAATATCATATTTTTTGTCTTTATTTTCTAGACAATTTTTTAATTCTTCTAGGTTAAAAGAATCTATTAAGTTTTTCATCTAAATGTATGTCTTATATATTACATATTCATCTTCTTCAGATAATTTTTATGCTTTAAGTTAATTCTTCATAAATTTAATAATAATTTTTTTAAGTCATGAATTAAGCTCATGAATATACTTACCCTTAGTTATATTAAATAATTTTAACATGATAAACAAAACCAATTAGTGTAGATTTTAAGTGAAAATAATTAGTTTAAAAATTAACAAAGAACTATTTTATTAGATGGTAATTTTATAGTATCAGCTAGGTCAATGATAAACCATTCGAATGACTATATAAATTTTGCAAATCTTAATATAATACATATTATTTTATAATTTAAACGCTAACTTTTGCTTAATATATAACTACTGTAAGACTGCTATGATTTATAATTTAAGGATATCTTTTTTTATTTATTTTAAGACAAAAAAATTTTCTAAAACAAATGATTATTATTATCAATTTTATTATCAATATCATGTAAGTCATAATTTCATAATATAATAGCAAGTTTTTCATTATATCTATTTATTTATTCTAATTCAATATATTTTATTTAATATTTTCTCATAATTAATATCATGATTGTAGTATTAATTCAAATTAAACACAATTTTTTAACACGTAATATGAATCTCGAATCTCGACAAAATTTTTGCAAAGCTTAAATGCAGGTTAACTTATAGGGCTTATTTTTAAATATTTATAATACATTATTTAAATATAAATTTAATTATAAGCATCAAAAAAGACTAAATAACTCACTTATATATAATCTAAAAAATCTTTAGGGTTATATAAATTTTTTTGAAATCATAATGACATATAAGTTTGCAATATTATAACATGTCCATACCTTTTCTTCGAACAGGTATGGACATGTTATGAAAATCAATCCTACTCTATCATATTTTTAATTATGGTAATTCCTCAAGTTTCTAAACATAAAAATAATAAAACTCTTATATTCATAATAGAGGCTTTAATTCTTAAAGTCTTAACTAAAATTGCATCTTAATTTAATTAATATAAATCTCATACTGATAAAAAGAATAAATAAATAAAGAATTTGACATTTAATTTTACTAAGCATTAATGAAATTTTTTACCAAATAAATAGACATCCATTTTATATTTTAATAGAATTGGGTAGAATTTAGATATGGATTATTTTAGATTGTTAAACCTAAAAATAGGAAAATCAATTAATAGACATATAAGCTGTTTGATTGTCTAAATAAAAATTTTAAAATAATTATATTCTTATTATAACAACAATTTGTGCTATTCCTAAAATTTTATTTTTTTAAAGTATAACGTGAATAAATATATTTTTGTTTATTATTTAAAAAGGAAAATAAATATTAACGAGGTTTGAAAAAAATGTCTGGAAGTAATTAATGGGATAAATAGCAGACAATTTTCAATTTAATATGCGGAATAACAAAGTATTTAACTATAACTATCAAAATTAACGATTTCTATTAGAAATTCAATAAAGGTGCGATTATTCTTATCATATCAAAATAATATGATAAATAAAATTTCAAAAAAAAAAAAGTGCCAGCTATTAGTTTTTTTTATTATTAATCTTCAAAAATTGAGTTAGCTATTATATTATGTTATTGATGTTTCTGGGATTAAATGATCAAAAAATAAAGAATGAGGTCAAAAAAATAAGTCATCTGTACTTATAATATAACTTTTTCCATTCATAAACTCAACTGTTTTAATAACTATAGTTAAATGTGTAAGAGATCTATTTGGGTAAAATAAAAATTTAATTAATTTGTGTATTTTACTTTAATTAGTAGTGAATTCTATAAATGAAATATATTTTCCTATTGAATTACATGAAATAAGCTAACCAAATTTGTTTGTTGCAATTCTTCATTATATAAATGCTTAATCGTTTACAAATAAGATTTGATACAAATATGTGATTGATATTCATCTCCTAAATTAGTTAATTCTATATAATAAGCGAGTAGTTTTTAAAGTATTAATACTTATTAAAATCTGCAAGTCAAAATAAAAATTTACAAAGTTATGAGTGTAAATTTAATAATTAGATTTTTTCTTCTATTTAATATTGATAATTATAGTTATAATCTTTATTTGAATCTTTAATTTCTTCCTTATATGTGATATTTTAAATATTCTGAATCTAAATTATTTTGTATAAATTTAAAATGATTATGTTAAATTGAACTTTTTCTAATTTATTTATAGACAATAAACAGGTTGAAATTCTTTATTAAAATTCGCCTAATTATTTTGAATCTCAAATTGTTCTCCTCTTTATTTATAAATCAGAATTGCATTTTTTTACTCTCTAATAATTATCATTGCATGATTCAGATTTTGATGTTATCCAATTCAATAAAATTATTTTTGATTTGAGTTATTAAAATTTACAATCTATGAATCTCTAAATTTCTGAAAGCCTTTAATTTTTTTAGTTTAAAAAGAATATTGAAGAAGTACGTTTATTCCACAACATTGCAAAATAATTGTATACACTACAGTTATTCAAAAAATAATTGCTGTCTGCTGAACCTTTGTAGAAATTTAAATTTAATTTATTTATATATATTAAATGAGTAAATAAAATGAATAGTAATATTTGTGATATATATATATTAACAACAAATTAATAATAATCATTCTTTTCCATATAACTTATCTATATCTTGATGATTTAAACCTTTTGTTTCTTTAACAAAAAAATAGAAGAATATGGTTGATAAAATTGTTAATATTCCAAAAACAATGAAAGCTCCACCCATTTTAATTCCATCTAGCATAAATGGAAATATATATAAAACAAGTAATTGCCAAAAATTTAAGGTAACAAAACAAAAAGATGTTCCTTCACTTGAATTTATTTCTGGAGTCATGGACTATAAAATTATAAAATAAAAATTACCATTGCAATAGGTCCAAGTGTCATAGCAAATATAAATGAAAAGAGGCGAATAATAATAAATTTAACAATGGTGGCAGGAAATGCATCTAAATAACTTAAAACAATAATGAGTATTTAGCATAATATAAGTGAAATGAGTCCATAAAGTAATAATGGTCTTTTACCCCATCTTCCATAAACATATTTAGAAATAAATGCAGGAGTAAATTGTACTATTCCAAGAATAAGTGTAAACATTGTATTCATGTAAAATCTCCATCTGACATGATAGCAAATATTTAAGAACTATAAGAAAATAAAGCAAACAATCCACACCAAGTGGAAATAAATACTAAAACACAACCAATAATTAATGTTTTAATATGTTTTTTAGGAAAAAGACTAAGAATTCCTTCTTAATGTTCTTCATTATATTACACTCTTAATTAACATTTTATAAGAACTTAATCTATGAATTGTGGTTAATATATTTTCTATATAATTTATTTTGCTGATTAAAGCATTTTAATCTAGAATAATCCAACAGAGGGCTATCCATTTTATAAATAACTGTAACAATAAATGATCTAATAAAATGTAATAATCCTGAAATAACAAAAACAATCTACCAATAATATGAATATTATCCTCTTAATTCATTATCTAAATATCCTAAACCCATAAGATTAGGAAATAGCAAACACCTCCTCCTATTAAAAAACCTGCAATATAAGAAAATTTTTCATAATATTTTTATGGACTTAATTCTTTTACATATATAGGCATAATTATAGTTGAAATTCCTAAACAAATTTCATAACAAAATCTAAATGCTAAAATAGCTTCTCTATTAGGTATAACTTGCAAAATACTCAACACTCCACAAATATCAGCTATCAGCAGTGATTAATTTCTGGTAGTATATTTTAAAAGTGGTTTTGTCATCAGTGCTCATATTATCTATCCTATAGATAATACTGCACTAAATAATCCTTATTCTTCAATCTCAGATCCTTATAGAGGACTTAAATAAATATTCATAAATACATTTATGAAAATAAGGTTGTGAATGACATAGACAAATATGATTAAGAATACCCAAAAAGAAAAGTAGCCACTTTAAATTGCTATTAATATAATATTTAAGTGAAGTTTTGAATTAACTTCTTCCTCTAAATCATTTTCTAATTACACTGTTCCTCTCTTTCCTAAATTTTTTGTTGAATATTATGCAACAGGAACAGATGATTATTTTCTTATATCTGAATTCTTAGATATTATTGATTAACTCTTATCTTACTTTAAATTCTCCTCTTCTTAAGTTTAAAATGGAATCACTTAACTTGTCATATTTATATTTAATAGATTTTACAATATTTTTTATTAAATCATCTAAAATATCCATTATATGATTAAAATATCGATAAATTATCATTTCTTATTTTATTATCAGACTGCAACCAATAAAACATCTTAATTAATACATTTCTCATTATTTCCATATGTTTAAATTTATCAAATCTTTTGCATTTTTTGTTAAGTATATAATCCTAACCCTTAATAAATTTTTTTTGAGCTCTTAATGTAATCTTTAATTAAAACTATTTATAATTTTTATAGTACCATTTACTATTATTTATTATTAAGATTATTATTATTATTATATATTATTTATTAAACCTAAAATTATTATAAATTATATACTAACTTATTTAATGGTTCTCTAAAGTAAGATTTTAAACTTAATAGTTAATTCTCTAGTTAACTTATGTTTAATATCATTTTTCTTATTGTTTAGCTTTATTATTATTTTGTAAAATAACTTTTATTTGTAGACTAAAATATAGAGTTGCATTAAATTTTTGATGTCCAAACTCTTGGAAAAGTTACACAATATTTTGCAACAAACTTTAAGTTTTAATAGTAGAATATTTGAAAAAGTTAAGGATCTTTTTATTTTTAAAACCTTTCTTAACAAATTCATAAACAATATAATTCAATCATCCAAAACATAACTAAAACTCACAAAATAATATAATCTTATACAATAAACCAAATTTAATAATTGATTTTAAAATTTTCTTATTCTTATTTGACATTTCAGCGTAAAGAAAGTAAATTTTGAAACAAAGCTTTTTTAAAATTAATCAACACTATATTTATTATAGTAATAATTATTAAAAATAACTTTAAGGACATTAATAATATATTTATTAAAATATCACCATATGAAAATTCAAGTTTATTTTTCAATTGCTTATTTTTATTGAAAAATCAAAAAATTTGTAAATTCAATACTAAATTTTCATTTTGGTGAATGTTCAATAAAAATGATTTATTTAAAAATATAAATTTAAATTTTTATATGGTTGATTGTTAAATAAATATAATCAAATGAATTGAGAGCATTTGAGATATTTTTATGATTATAATAATGAATTAACATATTTTTAAGAAATTTTAAATTTAGGAGTTTTGAGTAATGATAATGTTAAAAATCTGTAACTGATAATAATATTTACCTTCAAAACTTTATGTTACTAATTTAAATTAGATTAATAAAAAATAATTAATATCTAAATTTAAAAGAATTTAAATTTCAAGAGTATTATAACATGATTGTTTTGATTCAGATGAAGAAATGATGGTATTTATAAATATAAAATTTACAAACAATTAAAAGATGTTAAAATTAGTGAGGAGGAAATAAAAAAGTTGAGATAAAATTTAGAGAGAAGAGAAGAATATAATTAATTATAAAAAAATACGATGGATTAAGAAAAGTGATGATAAAGTAATAATTTAGAATTTATGATTGCATATTTTTTATTAGTAGATGGAGTCGATTTTGCCTTTAATTTTTTTTACTTTATTTTGGTTTTTTATTAGTTTTTTTGGGGTTATTTTACAACAGTAAAAGATTATATTTGGAATACTAAGTAAAAAGTTAATAATATAAAAATTTATATAGGAAATTATTTTTAAACGTAAGGCTTATTATTATCTTAAAGATTTTAGTATAAATTCGATATTTAAGTTTAAAGTGTATGGTAAATACAGTTTAGAATAATATAGTAGTAATTCAAAAGAATTTTTACATAAGGGAGAGATGATGAATGAAGGAATGGAAATTTATATAGTTAAAATCCTTAAGCTGATTGAATTTTAAGAAATTAAATTTTAATTCATATGGTTGATTTAATGTTACCAAAGTATATGAACTATTTAAATATTATTTTGTTCTATTAGTACAGGGTGTATTATTGTATTTGAAAATAATATTTATAAAACTATTTCAATACATCATGTGAAAAAAGTGCAAGAATTTGAATCAATAGTTGAAACATTCAAAAAGTAATAAATTTATATTTATATCGGATTCAGCTGGAATACTTTTTTATAAATCATATTAGAATAAATAAGGGCTGTTTAACTATGTCTTATGGAGAATTAGTTATTTAATCAACAAAATCTTTTTATTTAGGTTATACTTCTTGTGTTTTGTGCTTTCAATTAATTGATTCACTTTAAGAGAATTGCTATGTATAATGATCATAAAATACTACAATCATTTAAAAAATATATATAAGGGCTTAATTTCTATTTAAGAAAGGATATTTTGTGATATTTAAAAACAAATTTAAATCAAACTACAATTTTTGCTAATATATTATGATATTGGAAGATATTCAATATTAAAAATGATGTAATTTAATAATTTCTACTTGAAGATTTAAATATTAGATATTCGCTTTTTATAATTTAATAATAATTTATAATTACTAGTGTTTTTTACTAATATTGCTTTTAAAATAGATATTATTAGAAGTTATTTGTTATTCTTATAAAATTATTTATAGACCAATATTTATATTTATAATTAATGTCTAGGTTACAATTAAAACTATATTTAAATAATTCTATATGGAAATGTTAAATGATAGAATTCTTAATTCTTAATTCTTTATTATTTTTAATTATAATTATTTTTAAAAATTAATTAAATGTCTTCATCTATACATCTTCATATAGGAGGAGCAGGTGTAATGATTGGAGATATGTTATGGAAATTATATTAAAAGGAATAAAAAGACACAAAGAATTAAAAATATATATATTCATAATAGGATGATGATGTTTATTATCCAAGAGTTATTTTTACAGATTTGGATGATAGAATGATTAATGAAGTTAAAAAAAATAAATAGATTTTTTTTTAAAATAGTTCATTTATTACTGGAAAAGAAGATGCCTCTAATAACTATTTCAGAGGTTAAACTTTAGGTAGAGTTCTGATACATTAATGCTTAGAATCTATTAGAAAGGAAGTTGAAAATATAGATTATTTAGATCAATTTTTAATAGTTTCATCAATCAGTGGAGGAACTGGATCAGGTTTCACATCTTTGGTATTAGAAAGATTAAGTGAAGAATATGGAAAGAAAATATAAAAAAATGCTTTTGTATTGTATCCATCTTCTTAAATATCAAATAATTTAATCGATAGTTACAATGCAGTCTTTTCAACTCATATGATGAGTGAATATTGCAATTCTGTAATTACATTTGATAATTAATCCATCTATAATGTTATTGATAATTAAATTGGATTAGATTATGTAGATTATACTTAATTAAATAATGTCATTGCTTAGGTTATTAGCACATATACAGGTGTAAAAAGACATACAAATATATGTAATAATATGATATTTTCAAATATGTGTCCATATCCTACACTTCATTTCATAATTCCATCATATGGGTTATTAAGATCTGTTAATAATGATATAAAAAGAGAAAATTAAAATGAATTACTTAAAATTTTAATTAAAAAAGAATCAAAGTTATTTTAATGTTCAATAAATTCTGCTTATTTATCAACAACTCTAATATATAGATCAAAAAGAAATATAGATAATATCTTTTTTAGGCAAAATGAAAATCAGATATTAAATATTTAACATTAGTTCAATAATAATTCAAATTTATTATATTGTGAATCCTCGAATTATTAAATTTTATCTGAATTGGCAGAATTAAAATCAACAGGTGTATTTTTATCGAATGATGCTGCTATATCGAAAGAACTTGAGAATCTAGGTAATAAATTTGATCAATTATATGCAAAAAGAGCTTTTGTTCATTGGTTTGTAGGTGAAGGATTAGAATCTGGTGAACTTACTTCAGCAAGAGAAGATTTAGCTGCTCTAATTAAAGATTATTAAGACTTTACTAATCCTATAAGTTAAGCTTATTTTGATGAATAATATTTTTGATAATTATTTATTCATTAAAATTATCTTTAATATTCAAATATTAATACTGTAATTCTTTTTTAATATCAATATTTATACAGAAATTATTATTTCTGCCTACTTAATAATAGGTTATCTAAATAAAATTATTAAATGTCTATATCTTGTAATTTAAAAATCTAAAAGATTTATATGAACAAATTCCATCAACCATATTTATAATATTACTTTTATTTAAAATAACCATTATAATATATATATTTTCCAATTTTCTATTACTATTAATGCATATTTCATTATCCTAATTAATAAAATTGAGAGTTATAAAATATTATTTAGTTTGCTAGATTAATCAATTCTTAAAAATTTGGATGTTCTAAATATTAGAATGAATAAAGAATTATTTGCTAAATCAAATTACCTTCTAACTATAAATCTAAATTTCAATATTTAATCTACTTTAATATAATAATTGGGCCCTTAAATAAAATTTAAAATTAAAATTTATTTGCTTAAAAATTAAATATTATTTATTATAAAACTGAAGAGATTATTTAAAATTAAATGCTGGTTATCTATCATATTAAAGGAAATAATCGCTTTTAAATTAAGTTTATTTAATTTATGCCAAAAACTGCCACTTTATTCATTAAGTACTCTGGTCATATATTAATTCTGTTTAACAATTATTACATTAATCAGCTTTAAAACTTGTTTATTTTTTCTAGATTATATATTTAATCACCATTTTAATGTTTTCAATTCCATTAACTCTATTTTTCTTTAATTCTATTGATTTTATTTCCTAAAAAAATTAAAATTGAATACTTAATTTTAGGCTTTTGATTTCAAAATGTTTTAATAAAATTTCACATTTTTCAATCGAAGATTGCATCAGTTATCGAAAATACAATCATTTTTGAAAATGAAATAACACATATTTTTATAGTTAGTTTGTTAAAAATATATAATTACTTAAAGATATTTAATATTTTTTTTTATTTCTGCAGATGTTTATGATTTACCAGTTTTTTTAAATATTTTATCTATAGACTGGCTCAACTAGCCTGATACTTTCTTGTCAAATCTAATTAAAATATTTTTATTTTACATTTAATGTAGGTGAATTCTAAAATATCGTTTTTAAGGCAAGATAAATAATTATGCTTATGTAATAGATTAATATTTCTCTAATTAAAAAAAGAAAAAATACATGAAGGTTTAATTGTAGAAAAATAATATATGTTCACTAGATTAAATTTATATATATATGAAAATAATTGCAATTTTATATTAAATCAAAAAGACAATATAGTCTACTAAATTGGTACTACAAACTGTTGAATGTAGATAAATTATTATGGATATATATGCTAAAAATAAAAATAGTTTTTCAATATTTTTAAACAGAATAAATATTATAATTCCTCTAATTTTAATTGATAATGAAAAAAGAAAGTGAATGCGTGAAAGTTGTTGTTAGAGTGAGACCGTTTAATTAAAAAGAAAAGGATAACAATAGTAAACCTTGCTTAAATGTGGATGAAAAACTAAATACAGTTGAACTAATAAAGGTATTATAATAGATAATAAATAGCCTGTTGATAATGAAGCAAAGTAATTTTCATATGATTATGTTTTTGGAATGAATGCAAAATAATCTTACATATATGAAAAAACAGCATTTAATTTAGTAGAATCTGTGATTGATGGCTATAATGGTACAATATTTGCATATGGTTAAACAGGTACTTTTATTGGTAATTTAAGGATGTGGAAAAACATTTACTATGAGTGGAGTACCTGAGAATGTAAATTTTAATTTTAAGTTATTAGTAAGAACTTAAAGGTATCATACCAAGAACTTTTACATAAATATAAACGATTATTGATATGAATACAGACACAAAAAAGAAATTTTTGGTGAGATGTTCTTTTCTTGAAATATATAATGAAGAGATTCGAGATTTATTGGGAAAAGATCATAAAGCAAGATTAGATTTAAAAGAATCTCAAGGTAGTGTGACCGTAAAGGATTTAACAATGGTGACAGTGAAGACTGCTTAAGATATGGATAAATATATGACAATAGGTTAAAATAATAGATCAGTAGGAGCTACAGCTATGAATGCATAATCAAGTAGATCTCATTGCATTTTTACAGTATATGTAGAGAGTTAGATAGTAGATGAAAAAGGGAATGAGTTTATTAGAGTAGGGAAACTTAATTTAGTTGATTTAGCAGGTAGTGAAAGATAGTCAAAGACTCAAGCAACAGGAGACAGATTGAAAGAAGCAACAAAAATAAATTTATCTTTATCAGCTTTAGGAAATGTGATTTCAGCATTAGTAGATGGAAAAACATAACATATTCCTTATAGAGATTCTAAATTAACACGATTATTATAAGACTCTTTAGGAGGTAATACTAAAACAGTTATGATTACTGCATTAAGTCCTGCTGATTATAATTACGATGAAACACTTTCTAGTTTAAGATATGCATCTAGAGCTAAGATGATTAAAAATTAACCTAAAATTAATGAGGATCCAAAAGATGCTTTACTTAAACAATAAGCAGATGAAATTTAAAAACTTAAAGAATAATTATCTAAATTACATAAAACTGGTGAAGGAACAGGAACAGGATCAGAAAAGAATATCTAAAATAATAGTAGTCAGAAATTTTATGGAAATCTAAATAAATAATAAGAGAATTCAGAAATTGAAAAACTTAAATCTGATGAAATTTAAAAAGAACTTGAAAAATTAAAATAAGATAATGAAAAGTTAATAAAAGATAAGAAAGAAAAAGAAGAACAATTGTCCAGATAAAAATAAAGAGAGCTTGATTAATTAATTAAAGATAATGAAAATTTATAAAAAGAAAAGGAGAAAGTTTTATTATAAATAGCAGAAAAAGAATAAAAGGCTAAGGAAGAATAAATCCTTAGATAATAATTAGAAGAATTGATGGCAGCTAAAGAAAAAATGGTTGTAACAGGAGGAAAGGCAACTGAAGAAGAAAAAAAAAAGTATCGTTTATAACAGAAAAAATTAAAATAATAAAATCAAGAACATGAAAAATTATTAGAAGAAAGAGAAAAATAAAAGGATGAATTATATGAATTTGAACAGAAATATTAATCAGTTTAAGAAGAAATAGAAGCTTTAAGAAAGAAAAATCTAAGATTGAGAAAAGTTTATAAAGAAGCTATGGTAGAAATCAAAGATATTTAAAAAGAAAATGAATAAGATAAAGAGGAGTTACTTGAAAGTATCAGAGCTTTAGAAAGAGAAAATACATTATATTAAAGAATATTATTAACCATGTTTAAAGAAGATGAATTATTAAGTCTTAAAGGGGATTGTATTTATGATGAAGATAAGAAAGATTATAAAGTCCCTCCATTCATTTTTAAATAAAATAAAGTTTTCTATCCAACACTACCTTATAAAGAAGGTAAATTCTATCTTTATTAATTAATTAGCATAAGAATATATTGAAAATCTCAAAGATTAAAGATAACTTTAAATTAACCCTAAGTAAGACATGCTTGAAAATCCCTAAAGAGGAAATAGTAAAATGCGAACTGAGGAAAATTAATAAAGATCAAGTAGTTAAGGATTTGATAAGTAAACCAGATAATAACTTATGTTGAAATAACAATAATTATAAGTTCAAGAGTTAGAGAAATTGTATCCGACCTAATAAACACCATAATTAGAGAAAAAATAAAAAGTTTAACTAAGTCCCATAAATAATAATAAGTCTTCACGTCCTCCTTCATCTTAACCTAATAGTGATTAAAACATTTTTAAATAATCTCCTGTTAAATAGTAAAAAGAGTTCTAAGTTCCAATAAAACCCAATTACAAAATACCTTTAGGCAAACTACCACAAGATATTGAAAGAAAAAATTATCATTAATGAGAAATATTTAGTTTGGTATTTATAAATATTAACAATAATATAAATTGATCAGCTCTTTTAAACAGAAATTTAAGTCTAAGCTTTCTCAACATACTCAATTTCATTCTTATTATATTATTTCTTTGTTTTTTCAAATTTTGTTCTTTTTTATTATTACTAATTTTTTATTTGAAATCTTTAATCTAATGAATCAGGATTTTATTTTTATTCTGTTTCTTAAGGATGAGATTACTATTGTTAGGTTGGTTATTAATATTATCTTATAGGTTTTTCATAGTTTTCTTATTTATTAAGATGATATTTGTTGTTGTTAAATTAATTTTATGAATAATATTGATTTTAATAAAATCCATTATTTTATTACCAATATTAAGGAGTTTACTAAAATTAATAACCTAAAATATTAAGAATGAAATATACCAATTGATTACTATTAATAATAAGATTAATACGGTTGTTAATAATAATATTGCTACCCATAAGGAGGTTAATAATATCCATTTTAAGGTCTTTGGTTGTTTTTTTTCCGTTCATATGATGCAACTGAGAAAGAGAATGGGATAGTTTCAAAAACAGAAGAGAGTTCTTTGAATTTCTTTTCAAATCTTTAATTATTTGTTCTTTCCAATCTATTATCAAACTAAAAATCATGACAACTAAAAATACTTCTAATTTATCAAGTTGAGGAAATTCTTCAAATAAGCTTTTATTAGAGATTTCATTTTAAAATATTTTTGTCATTTTAATTCCATTATCAACAGATAATTCTGTGCAATCTATAAGATCATAAACTGATTTAATAGTTTCTTCACTGCCTTCCAATTGTTAGATTTGCTTTATATTTTCAAATAATTTAAATGAAAGATCTTTTATGTATAACTGAGTGATAAGTTAAATCTAATACCCATTCTATTGAAAAAGTGCCGAACCATTTATTTTCAATTAACCAAAACTGAAAATGAAATTTAGGATTAAATGCAGAAGTAAGCTTAGCCATTCCACTAAAGCACATGCTATTAATTTCTGTGAAAAATAGATAAACATCTTATTTCTTATTAATATATGCTTCATGCAATCGTTGATTTTTTCGAGACGAACTATTGTCTAATAAATTATTTACCTAGTCCAAAAACCATACTTCATAGCTCTATGAACATTATCTTCTCCTTAAGTTCTTATGATAAAGAATTTACATTCATCTAAATTATTAAATTCATGATTTAGATTTATTTTTGCTAAAGGTGAAAATTTACTTCTGATCTAATTGATATCATCATAACTTTCTAGTGATATAAATGGTGGCTAACAAATAGTTAATGTTTTACTTAATCACTCATTATTAACTAAATAAAAATAAAAGATTTAAATAATTTCTTAAATATATTTAATTGATCATCATTATAAAACTAAATCAATCAACTCCAATATTTATTTTCTATAAATCTTTATCCACCTAATTCCAAATCACTCCATTAGAAGGTAATTGTCTAAAACTTGGCAGGAAAATTTAATAAAAATATTTGAAATTGCCAAATACTTATTTTAAATTTTCTATTATTTCTGCTTTCTCATAAGTAGTTTTTGTATTTCTATTCATAAATTCAATTGCTGTGTAGCCTTTTAAAATTAAAAACCAATTCCACCCTCCAAAACTTGCCATTGTCAAACATAATGCAAGTTGAACAATCCATAATGTGGAAAATAAAAAACTTCTCTAATTTTTATAAACATAAAAATCAGAGGAATAAATAATATTTAAATTTAATAAAGTAGCAAATGAAGTACCTAAAAATATATATGTGAGAAACAGGATAAAATATCTATGATTTTAGTGACCAACACAATTATTAACCCATGGGCAATGGTGATCCATTTTTAATATGCATTTTTTACAAATACTACAATGATGAGCTCTTTTTGGTTTTGGTAACTAACAAAAATGACAAAATCCTAAAGTTGATTAATCTAAAATTTAAGATTGGTTTGTAGTGTTCGCCTCTAATTTTGGAGTGTAATTAAATTTTAAATATCTTTGGCTTGGATTTCCATCAATTTCCCCTTAATTTTCATTATTTTCTGTGTCATTTTAGATAGGTTTAAAGTATTCTTAAGTAGTACCTGGAGAAAAAAAAATTACAAAGGTGTAATTTATGATGACATTAAAACCTAAAATGAAAATATATTTACTTAATATTAACTCTATAAGAAGGATTATAATTGTTAGACAATAATTAGAATAAACTAAATGGTATTGCATAGTTGTGTCAAATATGAAAGAATAAAGTAAAAGGGAAATTAATAAGTAGCAAAAAAATATCAATAACTTACTAAAGCATGAAAGTATTTTATTCAAAGAGTATTTAGTTTGTGGTCTATTTAAATTTTATTAGAAATCTTCTTATAATTATTACATTAATATAATTATTTTTTTTCAATATTTATACTTTTAATTTATTCATAAAATATAACGACTATATGAGTTGAGATTATAGCTGACATCATTTAGTATTGAAAACTCTTTGATTAGGATAGACTAGCATTTCTATGTTCTAATATGATTTTAACAGGTTTTAAAATTTTTCAAAAAATATCTTTTTGGAAAAAATATACTTAAGTTATTCATGTATGTTAAATTTGAAAATAGTAACAAAAATATCATTTAATACATATAAAAGATTAATTTACTATCTAGAGAGTTCTACAAATGTGACATTTTAAGGTTTATGAATTTTATATCGAGATTATTTGATTTAAATCATTTGAACACATAACATGCCCACATAATAATTTAACAGTATTTTCTTCATTTAGATGACAATAACATATGGGACATTCCTCCTCCTTATATAAAGATTCAGTTTTCGTTGTAAGTATAAATTATGGCGTCTCTTCTTCTTCTTCAATGTACGCATTTTAACGAATCAATGGTGGAGGAGGTAACATCAATTCATCTAGATCAATTTCATCATAATTATAACTATCTATACTCTCCATAGTTTACTTTAGCCTTTTAAATAATCTTTATTTTTTTTTTATTTTTTATTAAACATGCATTCCCATATGAATGGGAGAATTAGGATTTTTAAAAGTTTTTTTTAGTTAAATATTGATCAAGATTGCCATAATATGATTGGTAATTATTTATCTGGTTTATAGAACCGTGGTTTATCGTATAAAAATTAAATTTTATTCTTTGGGATATATAATAGAAATTCTTAATTAATAATAATGTTTAATTCTTCAATAAATTAATAATAGTTTAAAATAGTGTATAAATAAATGTAGAGAATTATATTGTTAGCTTGTTTAGTAATAATGGGGCAATAAGCCCTTTAACCATCATTATTAAATTTTATGCAAGGGTATGCTTTTGGTGTTGGAATGGGAGATGAAGTTCCAGAAATTATGGATTGTGTATTAGATGTCATACTTGTGAAGCCATAATGGAATGTCATATTAAATTAATTCAAAAAAGGAGATGCAAACAATATTTGGAATGGAATAACTGATATTTTATTCTCATTTGATCAATTTGCTTAGTAATGTGGAAATACAACAATAGGATTAAACAAAATTCAAAAACATGTTAGAAAAGTCTTCACTAGTATATATAATTGCAATAATTTAGCACCAAGTTTATTTAAAAAGATGATTGAAAATATAAGTATATAAGCAGAGAAAATATAAGAATTAGGAACTTAATTTGTAGAATTAATGACGGATAAAGATAGTTATTAAAGTGGTTTTGTATTTGGATAAATGGTTTCTTTAATAATTGATATTTGACATTATAGATTTAATTACATAATTAAATAATTATTAATATTATATCAAGGAACATAGAAACATCAAATGAAAAAATTTCATGCATTTTTGATTTTCTCCACATGTAATATGTTTGTTTCAATGTGTGGATCTCTTATTACTCCATTTTTTCCTCCATATGCTAAACGTAAAGGAATATCATAGACAGTATTGGGATTAATTGTAGCTGCAGGTCCATTAGGGGGACTTTTGGCTTCAATTATAATTGCAAAAACATTAAATCATGTATTATTTTATCAATGATTAAAGACAAATAGAAACAAATTCATTTTAATTGGAGTATTAGGAGAACCTATTAGTTTACTATTTTTTTCAATGACTGATATTTTTGATGACAAAATTCCAATAATTATTATAGCATCAATTGGTAGATTTATAGGAGGAATAGTATTGAATAATTTTATATATTAAGGGAACATCTTTATTTTTAACCCCATTTTTTGGATATATTCCAATATTATACCCAAAAGATGTTGAAAAAAAAGTGAGTATAAGTGAGGCTTTTAGTAGTGTAGGATTTTTTGCAGGACCAGCATTAGGATCAGGTTTATATGCTATAGGAGGATATTTGACTCCATTCTTAGTGTTTAGTTCATTTGGATTTATCTCATTACCTTTTTTATATGCAGCATTGTAAGCAGTTGGGCCAAAAAAATATTAGGTGGAAATTTAGAGACAAATTGAAGAGATTAATGAAACCAAGAAATTAGTTGAATATAATCAGACAATTTAAGGAACTGAATCATTAAATGAAGAGGAGGAGTTAACCATCTTGACTTTAATTAAACATTATCCAGTAGTTGTTATTTTTTGGGTGATTACCCTAGTTAACATTTGTATGACATATTTCCAACCCATTTTATCAATTTATTTCACTGAAACCTATGATTTTGATGAGGGTTAAATTGGTTTTATTATGACAATTGTTTCTCTGGCATATACTTTTGGATGTTATCTTTGTGGATACAATAAAAAATATAAAAGAGAAGTATTTTCAGATTTTTAAATCATATTAGATGGCATGTATTTGTTTGTTTTTTTTTGGATGTTCCTATTTTTTAGCTGGACCAGATACAGACCTTATTTAAGTCCCTCATAAACTTTGGATAGCATTGACTGCATAATTTTTATTAGGAGTTTTAAGTGGTCCTGCTTATGTTCCTTCTTTACCTGTCTTAAATGAATTCTTATTATTTCACTATCCAATTCAAACTATTAGGGTTGCCACCTATTCATCTGCATTGTACCAATAGTTTTTATATTACTTTAGATTAACAAGTGGAATGTTTATTGGTTAATTAACTGGACCTATCATTGCAGGTATTCTCGGAGATGAATTTGGATTTGAAAGAGCTTGTAGTATTTTAGGAATCATAATTATTGTTACATCTTTTATTTATATTCCCATCATTTTTATGAAATCTAAATAAGAAAAAATAAATGAATAGTTAAAATGACCATTTTGTATATATTAATTTTCATATATAATATAATATTTTTATTTCATTTTTTATGTTTTCCACACTATAGCCTTTGAATTTTTTGGCGCTATTAATTTAATGACAAAATTGGGGGTTTATAGCTCCAGATCGCAATTTGAAATAATAATAATTAATAAAATCAATACAATGGATAGCAACAAACAAATAAAAACATTGTAAGAATAATAATCCAAAGGGTAAGATGAATCCACAAGACATCTAAGCGATATTTTAGGTATGAAATATACATAAATTCAATAACCTCCTTCTTAAAATATTAACTTTAGAAGTCTAAGATAAAGGTTTGGATTAATTTAAGATTAATATCCTTTACCTCTTAAATTTGAATAATTATTATAAATTATGAGAACTATCGAATAAACTTATTGGAAGAAATAAAAGCCAATTGTTTATGAAATTAAAACCAATGCTTTAAGGATCCTATAAATTGGATAACTATTAAAACTTGACAAAGATCTATATTAAATTAAAATTGTAGAAAAATCTGTTTAAATTATTCCTAATGATGTTCCCATTGAAAATTTACCTTCATTTCAACCATTTGCTCATTAGTTGCCATCTGTCTTTGAAAGTAGAATAACTAGAATCAGAAATATTTTAGATAACTTAGTACAAACTGTTCATGAAAATTACTTAGAAATAATAAACTAATAGGATTTTAAAGAACAATCAATAAAATTCAAAGTATATCACCCTACATTTGATTTAAATTTAGTCCCTGATATACTTCCTTAATAATTACCTTTCTAAATTTATTCTGAAGAATAAAAAAATTAGCTTCAGCAAATCATCGAAAACACTATTTAATATTTTAATAAACGAACAGTCTCTTTTATGTTCTACCCAAATTTAATTAACTATTTGTTAAATAAAATAAAAATGAATAAAGATCAGATGGAAAAATACATTCAATTTTTGATAAAAGTTTAGCCAGATTTCTTACAGATAACAAATTAAAAGTAAGAATAACAAAAAGTAAAATGGATAATCTAAATTAATAAATAAAGCACTGTAGAAAATTAAATTCAATAATTGAAAACTTATTTTTATTGATTTGATATATGTTATTTCCTTTGTTTATAAAAATTGTTCAGATTAATTTTCTCATGATTAAAAATTTATATTTACTTTTAATTTTTGAACTTTTTCTAGTGATGTGTTATTAAGTGAATTAAATAAATTAAAAATGAGTAAGTTTTCAAAAGAAATATGAAGTAATAAATAATCAAATGTAAATGAGAAAATTTTTAAAATGGTTTAAATAATTTGAAATTAATAGATGTGAAGCTTATGTTGATTAATTTACATAATATAAATAATTATATTTAAAATTAGTAAAATTAATGATAAAGAAATAACCAACAAAACAAGCAACTAGGATGTAAACTCAAGCAAATGATTAATAAGAAGTTGTAACAGTAAGTAAATTTTGTAATGATTAAAGCAAAGTTAGCAAGCATCTAAATACACTTTAAATTAAATTGTCGGTAATGGAACATTTGGGATGGTTTATTTGGTATAAGATATGAAATAGCTTAGGCAACAAACTCTTAAACAAATGAAAAAGTGGCAATAAAAAAAGTGTTTTAGGATAAACGATATAAGAATAGAGAGCATTTGATAATTTAAGAGTTGAATCATCCATGTGTTATAAAATTGAAAGAGGCTTTTTTCACTTAAGGAGACAAGGTAAATTTGAATTATCATTATGATAGGGTGATGATGTGTATTTGAATCTAGTAATGGATTACATACCTGATACGTTAAGCAAGGTTATTAGATATTACAAAAAAGCTAAACAGCCATTTCCAGCAGTTTTATTAAAGATTTATAGTTATTAAATGTTCAGAGCATTAGCATATTTAGAAGGTAATAGTAATAAATAGAGAATAGGAATTGGTATTTGCCATCGAGATATAAAGCCATAGAATATTCTTGTAGATCCTAATTCTCATGTTTTAAAAATATGTGATTTTGGATCTGCAAAAAGATTGTAGAAAGGAGAGCCAAATGTGGCATATATATGTTCAAGATATTATAGAGCTCCAGAATTAATTTTTGGAGCAACAGAATATACAACAGCTATAGATACTTGGTCTATTGGATGTGTAATAGCAGAAATGTTAATTGGAGAACCACTGTTTCCTGGTGAAAGTGCAACAGATTAGCTTGTAGAAATCATTAAAATATTGGGAACTCCTACTATTGAATAAGTTAAATAGATGAATCCTATGCATAAAGAATTTAAATTTCCATAAATAAAGAATCACCCTTGGAGCAAAGTAAATTAAATTTTTGAAGTTAATTTAGGTATTTTAGAAATTTAAACCTGATCCTTTATTTGTTGATTTGATATCAAAAATAATGTTGTATCCTCCACGTGAGAGATTAAGACCCTTAGAAGCATTGTCTCATCCTTTTTTTAATGAAATAAGAGATGAAAAGTTTGGGATTCCAAATGTAAAACTACCTAATTTTTTTGATTTTACTAAAGGTATAAATATGCAATATTGGGTAGAGGAATTGGGAATATAGCCTGAAATAGCATTTAAATTAACTCCATAATGGTATTAGTAAAAGAGGATATGAACTTAATTATTTTTAATAAATGAATCCCATTCGTGTCTATCCACTCAAATTTAATAACCAAGAATCTCTTGCCAATTCTCCTGGTCTAAAAAAGAAGTAACAACCTTCTGAACGCACTCATACTTTGTAGATTAAGTAACAGATTAATGCAATTTAGTCCATAATAAACACCTCAACAAAGCAGAAGTAATCAAAAAAGACATCCAACTAGTGGATTAAGTTCCCAAGAGGAAAAAATTAAGCTTGTACTTATTTAAATTGCATATTTTGTATTAGGTTACTTAAAAGAAATTATAATTGCTATAGCCATCAAGTTATTCACCTAAAAAGAGAGTAATTAGTAGTAATAATGATAAACCTGAAATTTCTAAATTCTCTAATCAATCAACTGAAGTATTATTCAAATTTAAACGCAAGCCTTATTCTCCAACCAAATTACCAAATTTAAAAAGAAGCGAATCATCTACAACAACACAAGAAATTTTAGCTAAAATTGATTTGAGCTTGGCTTAAAAGAGAAGTAAACGTACTGATACTAGCAATGCTGATAACACTCCTTAAGTATTGATGATTATTACAATATTAGAATAAGACATCATTTCTTAAAATGTATTAAGATACATCTCCTAAAATTCGTTAAATTTAAAGCAGAGTTAGCTCTTAAGCTATAGAACAAGATATCAAAATCAAACCAAGAATGCCTTCTTAGGTTATAATGTTGCATGGAAGATCAACTAGTCAAGCAGCATTGGTAAATTCAAATCCAACAGAAAATGAAGAATCATAAGATTATGTTTAACTATTTTTGTCAAAGTAAAATACTTAATTTTATAATAATAAGAACATAAGCAGGTCAAAATGGAAACAAACAAACGAAAACAAATTAAGATTCAGTAATTATCTCGAATAATTTTTGCGGAATGAAAAATAGGTAAATCAATAAATCAATTAAATTTAAAGATACCTATTTTCGGTCTGTGATGGACATGGTGTATATGGACATTATGTTTCGTAATTAGTAAAAAGAGTGTTGCCAACAATAATTGAAGCATAATTGAAAACTTTTATTGGAAAATAAGAAATAGACATAGGAGAAGAATATTATACTGAAATGGTGAAATGTTTCAACAGTAGTTTCTAAAAGATGACCAAGGATTTGGTAATTTGATGAAAATATTCTCTCTAGTAAAATTGTGGAATAGACATCACTTTTAGTGGTAGTACATGTTCAACAGTATTTGTCTCTGGTAATAATTTATGGTGCTCAAATATTGGAGATTCAAGATCTGTATAAAATTATCTTAAAAAGTTAGATATTTATAGAACAAAGCAAAGACTCTAATAAATGGAAGATTGTAGAATTGAGTAATGATCATAAACCTGATTTACCTACAGAAAAAAAAAGAATTCTTGCAAGTAAAGGAAGAGTACAACCATTTGTGACTGAAAATGGATAAAATATTGGTCCAGCTAGAGTATGGCTTTTGCATGAATAAATACCTGGTTTAGCAATGAGTAGATCATTTGGAGATTATGTTGCTTCCACTGTTGGAGTCATTTCTGAACCAGAAGTAATTTACCATAAATTAAATCAAAAATGCGGATTTTTAGTAGTTGCTAGTGATGGCGTTTGGGAATTTCTGACTAATGAAGAGATTTAATAAATTGTTTGCAGTTATTGGAGTCCTTAAATGAATGCTAAGAAAATAGATGAAATGGTTGACAATATAGTTAGAGAATCTACTAAGAGATGGTAAGAAGAAGATGAAGTTATTGACGACATTTCAATCATTATTGCATATCTCTCTTGATTATTATTAAACCATTTTCAGATTTAAAAAATTCTTATTTTTATATTTCATTAATTAAGAATAAGGTAGAGATACAGATATAATTATCAAAAATCATAATGGAAAAACCATTATAGTTACGTTGTCTCTTATATAATCATTTTTAATTGATTCATATAACTATTTTGCAACATTTTTTTATACGTCTACTTTCAATAAAACTTGTTGAACAACTTCTTCAGATAGTTCCTAAAATTGCAAATAATACATACATCCCAAAATCCATCACTTGCCATTACTATAAATCTATCATTATCTTTTATTTTATATTTTGAGATTTCAGGATCACTAATTATAAACTTCTTAAGATTAAAATCTCCAAAAGATCTTGTCACTGTTAATTACCCAGATACTCTACTTATATTTTATCTCTTTGTTATTAAACTAAAATTAATAGAAATAATTTCTTACCCTCCTTATTTATGAATTCTTTGATTTTCCTCTTTAGATTGAGGAATATGAATAGAATTCAATATTTAATGAGAATCTTCTCTAAATACTATGGCTTTGCAATCTCCTAAATTTGCAATTGTAACAGTTTTATTTTAAATAGATAATAGGATAGCTACTGATCCTGATTATGTGTATTAACTTAAATTACTGTCTGTTTCATTAAACACTTTATATTATATATGTGAACTAAATACATTATTTGTAATCTGAATCTGACATTTCATTTTAGATTTTCTATAATAAATTTTAAGTCAAGTAATCTGCTACATGAGATGAACCATGACCATCAAAAATTGCATAATGATTATTTAAAACCTAGTACTAATGATTTATTAATAATAAATACTCTATCTAGCATTTCCCTTCTAGATCCTCTATTCATGTAAAGATGATATTTTTCAGTTTATTATTCAAATTCATCAAACTACTCAATCAACTCATGAGCTGCCAAGTCTTTATACTCAAGCTCTATCACAATTTCCAAATCTGTCATTCAATAAGTTATTTTTTTTTTATTATAATTAATTAAATAATCATAAGTCCATAAATAGTTGAAATATTTAATAGATATATTCATGATTATTACAATTTTTATTTAATTTTTTGATCTTTCAAAAATATCCATTATTGCACATAGTTTTAATTCTATACATTTTTCAAAATCCAATTATGTTGTAACAAAGTCTAAGCATCTAAACGTTTGTTCTGGTCTTTATTAAGACTAAATAAGTTAGGATATAATACCATATATTCAAAAAATCTTTCATTTCCAAACTATATGGATGATTGTCTAATTTTGGAGAATCAGATTTAAGTATACTTTAGATCATTTGAATATATGTCATAGATTTATTTGAAAAAGCATAAGGATGTTTCCCTGTTGCCAATTCATATATAATCAATCCTAATGACCATATATCTGATGCGTATGAATAATTCTTTCCTTCAGTTCTTTCTGGAGACCTAGTAAATTATTACAAATCAAATTAATTGCTAATTACATGTACATAAGAGTGCCAACAAAGGTTCTGGCTATTGCAATAGTATTTTCCAGTTACTTACTGATCCCAAAATCTGTAAGTTTAATTTATCCTTAACTATTGATTAGAATATTTTCTGGTTTGATATCTCGATGAAGTTAATGTTTTTATTTATGCAAATATTATAATCCTAGGAGAATATTGTAAGTGATTGTAGCAATGATTTGTTCATTGATGAATTCAACTAAATTGTTTTTATAAATCTATTCAATTAAGCTTCTCAAAGATCCTTGATCCATGTACTCTAGCACTAATCGTATAGTTCCTTATTTTTTGTTTAAAGAGATACCTTCTTCATAATAGGCTCCATAAAACTTTATCTACTGCTCACATTCTATACCGTTTAATAATGTACTCAGATCATTCAGCATTTAATGTCGTTTATCCTTGTCAAAAACATTGATTATCTTTATATTAAGTATATATATCAACTTTTAATGCTACTTCACAATTGTATGGGATATAGAGTCCTCTACAAACATAGCTTGACACTCCCTAACCAATTATATCTCCAATTTTAATATGTTAATGTGTTATGACTTTCTTTGTTGTCTATATTTGCATTCCATTTGTAGATGTTAATCCTTCATTATTAATCTTAATTCCTGCTTTTGGAAATCTTACACTATTATGTCCTCTATGTTTTTTATATAAATTCAAACATTTCAAAAGTCATTGAACCATTTTATTCAAAATTAACTTCTATATCAAATTCATCTGACATGTTATATAATAAAATTAAATGTACATTTATAATATATTTAAGACCTGTTGCATACATTTTTTAGTCTTTGTTTTCTCTCATAACATTTTTTTGAACTATCCTATCCCTTTTAATAATTAATTCCTTTATTTTTTCTTCAATCAAATTACAGATTACAAAAATATCTTTCATATTCTTAAATTTAACATGGTCATAATCTATCAATATAATTTATAAGATTGTAATAATTTGCTTGATTAATCATATATATTTCATCAAATGTCAATTTTTATATATTCGCATAGTTTCTTGAATCTAAACTCTACACAAAGGACAAATTGTTAGATTCTAACTACATTTTAAACAAGTGGCATTGTGTTTACAGGGCAAAATTAAGGAATCTCTCTCTTTTTCAAAACAAATTATACATAAATTATCTCCTTGTATTTCACTTACCTTCATCTTATTCTATTAACACAAGTATTGATTTATTGTCCCAATTCTTATCACAGTTTCTTCAACTGGTTCTAAATAATACAAATTACTCATTTTCCCCTCTCCAGATAATCTCAACCAAGAACTTAAAATTATTAGCTATAAGAATACCCATTTGTTGATCCATGATCTTATAATAACACAATAGAATCTAATAAATAAAATTTAGCATGTTAATTTGATAGATGATGATCTTCTGGAAATGAAATATCCACAGTAGATTTTCTACCAAATGTAACAGAGGATTTATCTTTATTTAATTAGAAAACAATTGTATCTTCTAAATTTGGTCCTTCAATTACTTATAAAGTAATCTTTCGATATATATTTAATAGATTACTTCAAGTCCTTCATTATCCACTTGATCAATTCTTAGCACTTAAAATTGATTGCTGCCTAATTCTATTAGCATATCAGATTTTAAGTTAAGACTTTTAATGATCTTAATAAATGTTCCTGTTGTACTTCCGACATCCTTTAGAGCAAACTAAGATTGCAGTAAAAAATACTATTTGATCTTAAAAAATAATTTCAGCATGGAATCTACTAATATTTTCATCTAAAATTAGTATCTAATTGCTAGAATGTCTTCCTATTTTTGCTCCTGTTTCTCTTACACAATAAAAGTTGGATTGTTATCCTTCAATTGGTTATAATATTAATTAGTGCTCAAATTTATTATTTGATTCTATTTCTTATTTTATTACTTGCTCTTCTATCTTAACATTTTAATAAGGAAATTGATTATAATGATGATTATTATTTTCTTAATTTTCTAATAACATCTACTAAAATTGATTATTTTTTTGAATAGTAAAATCTTCATCTTATTATCGTTTATTATTAAGACTTTATTGTTTAAGCTGCTTTAAATAATCGCTATATTCTTTAAAACCATTATTAACCCCTATTGATTTTTAAGAAATATTACAATTTAACAATTTTTTTTTAAGAATTCTTTGAGTGACACCTAATTCTTCTTCTAAATCCTTTTCAGTTAAATCTTCTAATACTGAACCATCAATAGAACTTTCAACTAATATTAGCGAGTAATCAATACCAAATTTAGATTCCATTTATTCAAGACCTATAAATTTCAACCAATTTACTACATCTTAAGTTAACCACTTTTTTGGTTCTTTTGGAATTTATTTATATAAGGAATCATAATCCATTTTTATATTAATATATATATCACTTTATCATACAAAATTTTAGTAAATCAATTTCTTTTGAATAATTATTCATAATTATCAAATATAAAGTAACACTAAGTAATTAATCAAATATAAATATATATTTAGATCAAAAATCATTTAAAGAATGCCAAAATGACAGTGATGTCATCAATGACTTCATCTTCTCTTTTCCATGCTTCTTTGGCAGCTAAAACTAATTTATTACAAGCACCAATTGCATCACCTTTTTTATAGAATTCATATACAGTTTCAATAACCCATTCGTTAGATAAGAATCTTGATTAATTCACAATAATACTCCCAAATTCCATCAGAAGCTACTACTAAGAATTTATCTGTTGGTGATAATTGATGTTTGATAATTTCTGGATCACAAATCACTCCTACTTAACTAGCAACATAATCCCCAAAACTTCGAGACATCGCTAATCCAGGTACATCTTCATCTAATTTCCAAACTCTTGCTGGTCCTATTGGATTGCCTTCTTCATCACTGTATGCTTAAACTCTACCTCCTCTTTATATAATTCTAGCTTATTCTAAAAAACAATCAGGTTTATGATCTTTTGATAATTCAACTACAGATAATTTAGTATCGTATCTTCCTATTATCTATCATGATTAAATCATTAATACAGCTCTGCTGTCTCCAATATTTGCACAGTAGAGAATGTTCTCAAAAGCTATTACTACAACTGTTGTGGCACCTGAATAGGTTACATCAATTCCAGAATTCAGTAAATCTTCATTCGTTTTTTAAAAATTTTATTTCAAAATATTAGTAATTGTTCTATTTTTTAATAGGACAAATCAATTACTTATCTCTGTCATAATAATATGGAGACTACAATACTTCTTATTCTATATAAGCAGGTAAAATTTCTTGGACGAATTATGCTACTTAATGTCCATTTGTCCCATGACCATCTGATACTTAAAGATACCAATCATTTTCTTTTGTTCCAAATTTTTATATTAATTTGTAAGAGTCTTAATTTATTTTTGTTTATCCAGTATAAAGCATTCCTGGTATCGATTTTGCATGAGCTTTAGATATACATAATTAAAGTGTAGAAATATCTGGATTACTTATTGATCGTGGTCCTTTAAATAGTTTTTATTTTTATTATTATTACTATTATTATTATAACTAAAGATGTTCTGTCTATTTAGATAAATCAAGCAATTTTTAATATTATTTTTAAATTAATTACTAATGATATTGTAATATTTCTTTTGAAGTTTATATTTATCCTATTTTATTGTCTGGTCGATCAGCCTTTATTTTTTATAGTAGTTATAATGCAGATTATGTTAGATTTTGAGAATTCTCTTTTGTTTCAATTATTTTACTATTTTAACGTACATGAGATTTTTTTAATAAAACTGTGCTAATATCTTTCAAATCTTTTCCACTTGTTTGTCTTAATTTATTTTAATCTATTTTTATTTACCCTTCATTATTTCTAAAATAAAACTTTCTTTATACTTTTATTAATTAATAAAAGAAGAACTTCCTTAAATATTTGGGGATTTAACAATTTTTTATTATAGCTCTGATTCATTTTTCTTTTTTAATAAACTAGCATACAATTTATTAGGAGATATCAATGGAGTTTTTTATTTCATTCTAATAGTAAATATTTAATTATTATTTATTTAATTATCTATATATAAAATATTTCATTTCCTAAGATTTTTTAACTATTCTTTAATTTAATTCGTAGAATTTAAATACTTGGATTTTGGTATATGATCCTAAGATATAGTTCTTTCTAAAAGAAACTATTATTAAGTTGTTAGGAATTTAACTTAATCTATATTAGGTCCTCCTTCAGCTTTAGCATAGCTAAGTCTTTATTAATCTATTTTTATTTGATTGTTTTCATTTTCTCCTTTGTTTTGTAAAGTAAATTAATATTTATCTATTAATTTTTATGTTTCTGTTTTCATAATGGATTTTGTATTGTTTAAATTTTATTCTTGCTGTATGTTTTCTTATTTTCCTTTCAGATCTTATCCTTTGTCCTTCTCAAGTGTGATTGATCTTATTCTATCAGTTTTTTAATAATTATCATTTCGCTAAATGAATAATGGTGATTGTAATCTTTCTCCCAAAATTTTAGATTGTTTCAATTCCTATTTGAAAAGCACTTCTGATTATCCTATATCTTTATTTTTAGCATTCTAAACTTCTGATGATAATTCTTTTGATGTAGCTGATGCTTTTTTAATTAGATTATATAAATATTAAATGTCCTCGTTTTTTAACCTATTTATCTTTGAATTCAGATTTGTTATTTTATCATCTTAAGACATTAATTTAGCATCAAAATTTTCTTTTAATTTGTCAAAGAGAGTATGTAAAAGATTTATGCGTTCTGCTAATTCATCAATTCTGTCATATATAATATTGATAGATCGAATTCTATCTTCTAAATGATTTATCTTTTTATTCAAAAATTGTTCTTAATGTTCTAATTTGTCTTCTATTGTTTTTAGTCTATAATCGTATTGTTCTTTCAATAACATTCCAAACTAACGACTTATTTATTTTTTTATTATAAATATTTCATATAATACTTTATATGCTCTAGTCTTGGTAGTGTTTTGATTCTAACTGATTTTAAACTTTAAACATCTTCTAATTTAATAGGATTTGCATAATATAATATTTTATTATTAAATGGCATCAGAGGAAGAATAATTGGAACCTACAATCGAAAAGTTTTAAAAAGCAGTAAAGTTGACAGCCATTTTAAGATAAAAACCTACATCTGATGAGGAAATGTAGCGAGCTTAAAAGGCTTTAATTAAGCCAGTTTCGATAAGAAATGCTGAAGATTTTGAAGCCATAGAGAAAGTTATGATAAGAGTTAAGTTCTTTACAAAAGTTAAGTTAAAATATGGATTACTGGTATTTAAGGAAGTTTGCAAGCATTTATATTATAAAAGAGCTTAACCAGGTCATAGTATAATCAAAGTGAATAATGAAGGAAAAGCTTTCTATGTAATTTTAAGAGGTAGTGTTGGAATTAATATATTTTTACCAAAAGTGTCTTAAAAAAAATAGGAATCAAAAGCACCTTTTGTATAGGATGAAATAGAATTTGAAGATGAACCTTTTGAATANGTATGTTTTCTTATTTTCCTTTCAGATCTTATCCTTTGTCCTTCTCAAGTGTGATTGATCTTATTCTATCAGTTTTTTAATAATTATCATTTCGCTAAATGAATAATGGTGATTGTAATCTTTCTCCCAAAATTTTAGATTGTTTCAATTCCTATTTGAAAAGCACTTCTGATTATCCTATATCTTTATTTTTAGCATTCTAAACTTCTGATGATAATTCTTTTGATGTAGCTGATGCTTTTTTAATTAGATTATATAAATATTAAATGTCCTCGTTTTTTAACCTATTTATCTTTGAATTCAGATTTGTTATTTTATCATCTTAAGACATTAATTTAGCATCAAAATTTTCTTTTAATTTGTCAAAGAGAGTATGTAAAAGATTTATGCGTTCTGCTAATTCATCAATTCTGTCATATATAATATTGATAGATCGAATTCTATCTTCTAAATGATTTATCTTTTTATTCAAAAATTGTTCTTAATGTTCTAATTTGTCTTCTATTGTTTTTAGTCTATAATCGTATTGTTCTTTCAATAACATTCCAAACTAACGACTTATTTATTTTTTTATTATAAATATTTCATATAATACTTTATATGCTCTAGTCTTGGTAGTGTTTTGATTCTAACTGATTTTAAACTTTAAACATCTTCTAATTTAATAGGATTTGCATAATATAATATTTTATTATTAAATGGCATCAGAGGAAGAATAATTGGAACCTACAATCGAAAAGTTTTAAAAAGCAGTAAAGTTGACAGCCATTTTAAGATAAAAACCTACATCTGATGAGGAAATGTAGCGAGCTTAAAAGGCTTTAATTAAGCCAGTTTCGATAAGAAATGCTGAAGATTTTGAAGCCATAGAGAAAGTTATGATAAGAGTTAAGTTCTTTACAAAAGTTAAGTTAAAATATGGATTACTGGTATTTAAGGAAGTTTGCAAGCATTTATATTATAAAAGAGCTTAACCAGGTCATAGTATAATCAAAGTGAATAATGAAGGAAAAGCTTTCTATGTAATTTTAAGAGGTAGTGTTGGAATTAATATATTTTTACCAAAAGTGTCTTAAAAAAAATAGGAATCAAAAGCACCTTTTGTATAGGATGAAATAGAATTTGAAGATGAACCTTTTGAATATCAAGAAGTTAATATACTCCAAGTAGGTGATTCATTTGGAGAAGTTGCATTATTAGATCCAAATTCCAAAACAACAGCAACTGTTATTACAAAGGACATATGTGAATTTGCTTGTTTAGATAAAGAATAGTATGTTAATATTTTAGGAGTATTAAATCAAGCTGAAATGAATGAAAAAATGTCTTTTGTTAGAGGAATTCATTTTTTACATGGATGGTTTGAAAATGATTTAAAAACATTGAGTTTTCATTTTGAATTGATCTATTACGAAAGAAATGATGTTATTTATAGAGAAAATACAGTTAATGATGGATATATCTATTTCTTAAAAAAGGGAGAGATATCTTTGTTGAAATTGTTTTAGAGACAATAAATTTATGTTTGTAATCTATGTGTTGGAGAAATATTTGGAGAAGAAATGTATTTAGGAATTAATAACAGATAGCATACAGCTATATGTAATGTTTAAGATACATAAGTGTATAGATTGGCTAAAAGTGATTTAGATAAAAGAATGTGGTAAATAGAAAATAGAAATCTATTTAAAGAAAGTGTAGATGTAAGATGGGAATGGAGAAATTAAAGATTTGATAATTTAAAGCTTTTTGAAGCTAAAGTTGAATAAGAGGAAAATCTTTAAAAGTATTTAAAACCAAAAACAGAAGCTATTATAGAAAAACCTTAATTATCGCAATCTCATTCTACAAAGATTTCTTCATACACTCATGTTAAACCATTTAATTTTATGGAGCCATTAAATGCTGCAGAAGAATTATTTGAAAATAATGCAATTTAATCCAAAATATTTTAAAATAAAATTAAAGTTAGATAATACAATTCATCAAAATAAACTTTAAGAAATTTTACTTATCTCAAATAGTAGAGTTAAATTGGACTTATTAAAATAAATTAATAAAGAAAAGAAAGTTTAAAAAAAAACAAACGAGTAAATTCTTAATAATTTAAATCATTTTTATAGTAAAAATTTTAATCTGAAGAATAAAATATTTAAAATTAACTTCCCTTCAATTTTATTAATCAAGAAGCATAAAATGAACAGCCAGAATAATAATAATAATAATAATTTCAATCATAATAAAAGATGACCTCTTTAGGATAATCACAGTAGAATAGCATATATGAAGATATGATATAGTTTGCAGTTTCTTAAAAATAAAAAACACTACTTAAATTACCTCAAGCTAACTCAACCAAATATTCTAGTAAAGAAAATAGCTTCAAAAAACTTTCTCAAGATTAAATTCATCATCGTAAATCTCCGTCTAATTTATCATATGAATTCTCGGATGCTAAAGGTAGTTTTTAATATAAAAGACTTTTTAAGTATTGAATTATTATTTATTTTAATTTCTATAAATCAATGATTATAAAGTCTTTCTAACTTTTTTATATCTCCATCTATTTAATTTAATCTTTTTTCGAGTTCTTCTTTTCTAAATATCAATATTTTATTTACTTTAATTTTGTCTATTAAGTCATATCTCTTTTGTGACTGTATTAAGCAAATTCCTTAAGCATTTCTTCTTTTTTTTAAAGAAGTTGTTACATAATTTTAAATACATCACCCTTTTTTACTTTTTAATCATCTTTCTCTTTTTTTTTTCTTCTTATTTCCTCCTCTTCTTATCTTTGTTTTTCTAATTTATCATTTCTCATTTTCTCTAAATATTCAGGAACTTTGCCAAAAGTGTCTTTTTTAAAATAATCCATTTATTTTGGTTTTTACCCTGCAGATTTAGGACGCTTTGGTTTATTCTCTAAATATTCTTTGAATTTTTCCATATCAACTTTTTGTTTAAAATGATTAGGAATTGAAGGTTTTTTTATTGCACAATCATCAGGTTTAATTAAACCAAGTGGAAAAATCAATTCATCTGTAACCTCAAAATTTTTTGGTTTTCCCCATAAAGCATGATGCTTTAAATATCCTTTATGAAGTATTTGATTGCCATTTATATTATTAATATTAAGAGTAGTATTTTTTGTATTAAAAGTAGAGTAGGAAGGAGGTAGATTTCCAGGATGTTAAGACTTATATCTTTTTTGATTTTAAATAGGCTTTTTTGGTTCTTCAATTTACTATTCTTCTTCGCTTTATAATTTGTAAATACATTCTGACATAAAAAATAAATTTATTAATTTTATGCCAATATTATAAAAATTTAGAAATCTCATTTCAACTTAGAAAATCAATATATAAGTTCTATTTTTATTTTTCAGCATTATAATATTTGATGAAATCTTATTCTTTTTTAATTGTTAAATAGATCTCATTAATTTTTTGTTTTTTTTTATTGATATTTATTTCTTTTATTTTCATAATAGATTAATTTTGGAACATAATGGATTTCTAAAAACCAAATGAAATTTTATTCTACTTCTTATAATTTATTTTAGACTATATGCTTGTTATTTCTGTCTTATGAATATGCTAAGTCTTAAATCTATTTCTCTCTTATAAAAGTTTTATTTTTTGGTTGTTAATAGGAAGTTGTTAGATTTTCTATAATATACCCAGGTTCATTAAAGAATTTTGCCTCATTAATTAAAACCTTTTTATTCAAATTATAATATTATTTGGTTAAATAATTTAATTTTATATAAAAATTCCCTTTTAATCATTATACAATTTAAATGAGCAGCTTCCATTGTTTTATCCCCATTCAATCAATTAAAACTTTTTTAATTAATAATTTTTATTTTTCTAGTTTTGAGATGGTTGAATTCGATTTTTAAGAATGCTCAATTATTGATTTAACAATAACGACAACATCATTGTGTCTAAAAGTAAAATTAACTTCTTTAGTTCTAATGATTGATTTATTAATTGATATTCTCTTTAATACATATTTTTTATTTTTATAAATACAATCTTCTATCTTGAATTCCATTTTTTTCTAAAGGAATTTACATCTTTGTTTATTGCGAATTTAATACAATTTTAAATTTTCTTTATTATCAATTTATATATGTTTGTCTCATAGTTTTAAAAATTCAAAAACTACAAGCAATATTATATTTTATGATGATTGATTGCTTTTTACTTTGATTAAATATTTAGATAAATTCTTATAGTATAGATAGTTTGAGGTAATCCTAAACAGATGAAAATTAAATTATATGTTCTATTTATGGAGAAATTGATTAGCAGTACAATAATTAATTTAATGATAAGATAAAGATCAGTTAGTTAGAATTCAAAAACCATAGATTTTGAATAGAAGAGAGATATCAAGACATCATAGTTCCACAGAAGAATAGTAGTAAATTGACTATCTAATATAATAGCCTTTGCATTAAGAAAATAGTATGCTTAAAGATAGATTACATAAAATGAAGTTCTAAGTGGAAGATAACTTGCAACTAGTGATTGATGAACTCGACAAAGATTTATAATTGAAAGCAAAGCTTATAGATTTCTAATAACTATTTGGACTAATCAAAGAATAAATAAACAAAGATCATGAAAAGATTGATTAATTACAGGAACAAATAGAAAGATTGTAATTCAACTTAAATTAAAGTGCTTAACAAAGAGAAGAAGAGTCTTAAATGTATCAATAATCTTAAGTTATTTTAACTGAATAACTTTAAAAAGAAAAGTAAAATTTTAGAAGTGAAAAAATATCTTTGGATGAATAAATCAAAGTACTTACTTATTAGAATTTCGAGAAGGAGTAGGAATTAGAACTAATAAAGAAATAACTATAATGGGAGTTAGAGTAGAATCAAGAATTAATTTAAAAAGTTGAGAAAGCAAAGAAGTTTGATTAAGAACTTAAAGATAAATAGAACTATTATGAGACAACTATCTCTAAGTTAAATATTTAAATTGAAACTGATAATTAGGTTTTCAAGAATGAATTAGAAATTCAATAATAAAAGTTAGAGTCTAAATATAGATAGATGATCTAGGAAAATAAACAATTAACATCATAAATCTCAGAGATGAAATAAAATTTACATCAATTGAAATAGTAGAAAGATTCTATGGAGAGAACTTTAGATTCAAACAATCAAAAAATGAAAGATATCAAATCTGAAGTTATATCAGATAAATAATAAATTTCAAAGAATGAAAAAAATATTGAGGAATTGTAAAAAGAATTGACATTCTTTAAAAATAAGGTTTTGATAGATGAAAAGAGAGAAATTAAATTAAAATAATAATTGAGTTAATAAGAAGATCAAATTCAAGAACTTCTATAAGTTAAGAATTAGTATCATAATTTAAAAAAGGTATTATAACAGGAGCACTTAATTGAAATCGAAAAAATTAATAACTAACATAATTCTTAACTTTAAAGCTTAAATGAATAAATTTAAATTCAAAGAGTGAAATATGAAAAATTATTGGGGAAGTAAGTTGATTCAAAAGAAATTGCTTAATATCAATAGAAAAATTTTAGTTAATAATACGATGACCCAGTTCATATCTAATATGTTGAAAATTTGGAATTTACTATAGAAAATCATATTTAAGAAATTAAATAATTAGAGTTGAATATTAGAACTATTAATGAAGAAAATGGTTTAGAGAAAAAATAAATGTTGTAGTAATTTTCTTAAGAAAAATAAATTCTTATAAATTAATAAAAGTAAGATTTATAAAGATAATCAGCAGAGTTTGAAGAGTTTAAAATAAAATTATAAAGTGATTACAATTATCGAACCTAATTACTAAGTTAATAATATTCCTTTTAATTGGATCAATAGAGATAAGAATAAAAATAATTGCAATAGATAATAGATTAATCTAAATTAAGTGGCGATGAGAAGACAAAATTGTTGGAAATAGCTTCAGAAGAGATAATGAATTTGAGAAAGAAATATGATCATGATATCTATGAAGAAAGAAATACTCAAAGATAAATAAAACATGAATATGAAAATACAATTTAATAAAATAAATAAGATTATTAGAAATAAATAGATAATCTAAAAAGAGAAATTGAAAATTTGAAACTTTCGTTATCAGATTTTCAAAATAAAGAACAAGCTGCTTAGTAAAAAATCATTGACTTAACAAATGAATTAAAACAAGATAAATGTAATATAAATCAATTAGAATTTTAATTGAGTAAAAAATAAAATGAGATTTAAAAATTAAATGAAACAATCAGAGGATTGAATGTTAGAATATCTACATTATTATTGGAAGTAGAAAATACAAAAAAGACATATAATATCTTTGCTCCAAATACTTCGCATTCATCACATTATAATTTAAAAAAGTTGGAATTAGAAATACCTGTTGATTTTAGTTAATAATAAAGACATTCATCTTCTGAATTAAAATTTAAACCTGAGCTTTTAGTTTAAGAAATAGGTAAAAAATCAAACAGAAATAGATCATAGTAAGGATCTAGGCAATATCAAATAAGATAGATGCCATAAATATGAAAAATACCTTGATTAAATAAATATATATATACGATATCATTATTATAGTAATTCATAAATAAAATACAGAATATATATGCTTAATAACATTGCTCCTAATTTATAAGTTAATCTTAATTTTTGTTATAACATTAAAAAGAAAGAAACTAAAACAACTGTCATGATGGCCAACATAGATTGTGATATAGTTTCATCATAAAATGTAATATTTCTTTACCAAATTAACATTGTAAGAACCCAAGGAAATCCTAAGCATATTTATAAATTCATGATTTAACTGCCAATAATACTTGAAGTAGCTAACTCAGTTTTTTTGTTTTTAGCAGCAAGTGAAGCATTTAATATATCTATGATTAATAATAATAATTAAATGACCTTGAATATTTCCTCCCCAACTAGCAATAGTTAAGCCAACAAATGCAGGACTTACTGCAAACTATTCCACAAATTCATCAACAACAGTCATTGTTACATTTACAGTAAGAAAACAATAAAAAGAAATAATAATAAAGGCAAATTCTGGATGTTTTGGAATTGTAAATTTAAAAAGTAATGTAAAAGGTAATAATATTTTGGATGGTTATTAATTTTCTTATTCTGTTTCATCAGATTTCTCATCTCCAATTTCTTATCCATCCACATCTAAATCTTCTACTTATTCAGGATGAAAATCAAGGAATTACAATAAAGTAGGAAAGTGATGTTTCTAGTGAGAAAGTTAAAAGTCATCTTTTTAATCCATTTAAACTATAGAATATAATAAATAAGATGGATAGAATAATGTAAGAATTAATGCTTCAGTAAGAGATATCTATTTTAATTGATATGATTATATACTTCATAATCCCAAAATACGAAAGTTAAAAATAGTAGAGTAAGCAAATAAACATAAATATCTCTCATTAAAGCTTTTAAATTCATTCTCAAAGCCTTTTTATGATAATAATTAGAAAAGAGAGACATCAATCCAAAACAAACAGTAAAGTCTTTTGATAAAAATAAACTTAATACCAAAAACACCACTTCCAACTATAGCTCCAAATCCATAACCAATTCTAGATGATGAAAAACAAGATAAAATATTAGTTGTCAATTCAGGTATCGACATTCCTAAAGCCATCAAAATGCCTGTTCCTGTTTCACTAAGATGCCATTTCGTAGATAATGACTCCAGACATGCTAAGTTATTACAGTAATACGCATCAAATAATCATTACTCAAGTATGTCTATCCTGATAGCACGTAAAAGAATATTGCACTCAATATTATCATTAAAAATTAATTATGGGTCCTCCACCTAATTATATTATCACTAGAAAATTGATTCGTCATTTCTTTAGGAAATACTTACCTTAACAACCTATCACTAAAGGCAATGAAGCTCAAGATTTAGCTTAAGCTATTGTAATTACACTCTCTATTTTAGTCAAAACATGGAATCGATCATCCATAAACTAAAATTGCTTTAGATCGTTTTGATGCTTCTGAAACAGAGTCTAAAAAATATAGAGATAAATTAGAAGCTATGAAAATCTAATAAAAAGTTATGAGTACTCTTAAAACTCCCTTTTATCATTATCATCAAAAAGGAAGATTTAGAAATGATCTATTTCCAAAAGAATGGACTATTTATCATGGAGTCAAATGAAATTGATTTATTTGAGAATTATTATTAACCAGATTCAAAATTATAACATAGTCAATTTAACAAAATAAACTATTTATTTCTTTTTTGAACTCTCCTTAAAAGAAATCAATAAATCTCTATAGTTTAATCTCTATCTCATATCCATATATAAAACTGTTCTAAAAATACATTTAATCAAAGATTTCTTCTTATTATATTTTTGTTAATGAATCAATTTAAATACCTTCATATTTCTTTATTTATTATAAATTTTATAGATGAATTATTCTAATAAGACAATCATAAGTTTAAAAATATAATAAATAGAGTAGTTTATTGAAGGTTTTACGAATAGAAGAGAAATGGTAATCATAAATGATCTCCTCTCTAATGAAATTACTTATTTTTAGACAATTTGGTATAGATTATAATGTCAAATCAGCTTATTTAATATTATATTTAAATTATATGAAAAGATGGATAGGTTAGTTAGCTTATATAATAAATAAATTGATTAAATCATGATTGAAAATAATTGAAATAATTCAAATGTTGAATTCAAATTTACTTAACTATATTTCTGATTGCTAGACCCATGGATGATTTATTGCTTATTTTGCAGTCATTCTCATTTTTGAATCAGCTGTAACTAATTTACTGATAAAGTCTTTTAGCTCATCTGAGAAGGAATTGGGTAATTTGATTGTACCATCCTAAATCATTTATTGCATTTCATCTTATCTTAAATCTTCCCAAGGAGTTTCACCACAGCATAATTCATATGCTAAAACTCCTAAAGACCACATATCTGTACTCTTATCATAATTCTCTCCTCTTATAATCTCTGGTGATAAGTATGCTAGAGATCCACATTAAGTTTATCTTTCATCTTAAGGAGAATAAACAGAATATGTAAAATCTGCTATCTTTACTTAATTCTAAATTTATTTACAATCTTCTTACATAACATAAAAATATATTTTCAGGCTTTAAATCTCTATGAATTATTCCATTTCTATGCAAATAAACTAATGCACTTAAAATTTATTTTATATATGATGATGCTAATTCTTCTGGAAAGCAACATTCTGGTAAACTTTTTAAAATCTTATGGATTTAACCCTAAGGACAATATTCCAATACCAATACTATCTCATCTGCTAAAAATATGTTAATATTATCACTTACTATTTTAAAAAAAAGTATAAAGTTTAACTATATTAGGATGGTTTAATAAGTATTATATTTTTATTTCTTATGCTATACTTTATGACATAGAACAAATTTATTATTTCCTCATTACTTTTAGAGCTACATGATAATTTGTATTTTCATCAACAGCTAAATGAACATTACTATATCTCCCCTTACCAAGAAATTATAACATTTTAAAACTCTTATATTTGTCCTAACTAATATGTGGAAGTGTCTAATTAAATGTTCTTCTATTTTTTGAACCATAAGTGGGAGAATTAGCTATTTCTAATTTGTGTAATCTATCTTCTAACATTCTCTATTTTTAACCTGAATTTAACTGTGATCTTGATTTCGGTTATTTGCTTTTGTTTTCTTTGCATTTCTTATTTTAACCTGATTTTAATGTCTTAACTAGTTTATGGATAAGCTCCTTTTAGATTACCGAACAATTATCCAAGTTACTTAAAGAGGATTAGACTCTACCAGTCTGGGATTAAGTCATATTCAAAAAATGCCTCTATCTTATAGAAGTTGATCTATGCTATTCAATTAAAGAATTCATGTCAATATTATCGTTATAATATTGTACTTTTAATTAATATTAATGTATAAATTAAATTATTTTTAACAAATTAGGAATAATAAAAATAAAAATTCATTTGTTAAGAAATATTCCTCTATCATTAATGTTGATTATGATAATAAATATATCTAATTTCAAATTTTTTGATTTATTTTTCTTAATCTTTTCTATATTTATTAAATAAACTCTCTTTGACAAGTATGAATAATTAAAGGGATTATGATATTAATTAAGGGTTTAAAAATATAAAAAACATTATAAATTATATATTAAAACAATCACTAATTAAATATAAGTGTAATTTTAGAAAAAAAATAAGATCAAAATTATTTTTTATAATTTCTATTAAATCCTAAGAGAAATTAAATGATTAAGTAGAGGTTTAACAAAATATTTTGTTTGTTGATTGTATATTCAGATATAAGAATTTATAGAAAATCCTTATATTATATTTATGAAAAAAGTATAAAATAGAAAAGAATAATTTGCTTAATTTTAATTTTATAAATATTTCTATATTTATATATCTTCTTTCGATACCTACATATATTTATGAAAATTAGAATTCTTTTTATCAATACAGGTTTCGTAGCTCAGTTGGTTAGAGCGTCAGTCTAATAAGCTGACGGTCGAGGGTTCGATCCCCTCCGAAACCATTTTTTTAATTAATTTAATATTTATTTTAATTTATCAATTATCAATTATTAATTATTTATAAATTTTTACATTTATAATTTATGTAAAAAGTAAAAAGTCAATATTGGCTTCCTTAAAAGAAAGAGATTAGATTTATAATTTAGTTTATTTTCTGCAAAATAGAACTTTTTATGGAAATAATTTGTTATTATAAATATCTGCGATAATTGATTAATTGTTTTTTTTCATTAATTATTTTATATAAGTTTATCACTTGATTTATATTATTTCTTTATTATTAAATGTTCACCCAAATCAATTATGTCTGCTCTACTTTATTTTTTGGATGGACTGATAGAAGCTAAGCTTTAGGTTTTATGAAATGTCTTTCTAAGTCTTGATTCATTATTTCTTTTGAGTGCTTAGATGAGCATTTCATTATGGAGAGGGAATCCTTAATTATTTTTGGTGATAGATTCATCAGTTTTATTGGTGGAAAAATTTAAAGCTTACTTTAATTTTTATTACATAGGTTTGAGAGTGTTTTTGACATAATGAGTGATTCTTCTTTTTCTTTCATCATTTGCTAGTCTATAAGAATATAAAAATAATTACTATGTTTATTGGCTAGCTATATTATAGATATTGACAAATAGTTGATAATATGATTATTTTCCATAATATTCACTATTAGATTAATGAAGTTTCCTTTAAACTGGTCTCATTAAGTAATGATATTTATTTTATTTGCAAACATCTTCAATAGATTATCTTCTATGAATATTTTAATTCAATTTATTCAATTCAAATTTAATAGATGTTTTATCCATTTGATGGAAATTATATTTAGCTTCAATAGTTTATTCTAGATTGTCTCTAATCAATTAAAAGACATAATTTAGAAATAATTGAGAATCACAAATAAGAATATCTCCTTTTTCTGATTAGCAAAATAAAGAGAAAGATTTTGTATCAATATTATTTAGAATTTCATATTCTCCAATGATTTCTCCTTCGGAAATGATTCCTAGAGTTTAATTTTCTTGTTCATTGGTTCGTCTAACAATAGAATATTACCCTCGAAGGATAAAGTAAACACAATTAGCTGGATCTCCTTAAGTACATACTTTATCCTTATAACTATGTGATTGTTAATAAGAATTGATATAGAATTTCCTTAGTGAAATAGAATAATACTTTCAATTCCTTATACTAAATTTCCTTAAATAAGCAGAAATCATACAATCTACTAATTTCATAACTGATCTTACGTTACTCTGACTAGAATAGATAAGCATGAAAATATTGAAAGTTAAGTGAAGCAACGTAAGTCTGTTTCTTAGCCTTGATAATTAAACCATATCTATTTATAATTATAGATTACTATTCAAAGATGTCTTCTTTTGTCATACAAAAAAGTTGATGTCCAAAATGTTGATACATTTTAATTGTTGATACTTCCACAAATTCTACATCTTTGATATTTTCTGGAAGTAAACCAATAGAGAGATAGACTCCTAGTTCTCCTTACAAAATGATATAGAACTTTTTTTAATCCTCTGTAATTTAGTCAAATCTCTTATAGATCAATTGATTTGGATGTAATACTTCATATCTCATTTTCTAATGAAAAAGTATTTATAATTACACTACAACAATTTCTTATAATTTCATCGTTATACCCTTAGAAACATTGGAACTATCTAAAATATTTGGTCATATAAAACACTTCAACAGGTGTTCGTTCATTTCTATGTTTTTGTAAAGCTAAGACAGCTAGCTATAACTCTAGTATTATTGATTATTACTTCATCATAACAATTATCTGGTATTTAATGCATGATTATATAAATTAATACAAAAATAAAATAAAATAGTCACAATAGTTATGGTAGTTTTAATGGACGATTAGAGAATATAGCACTATCATTAGATGGTAAATCATTTGAAGCTAAAGTAGATTAATGAGGAGATCGATCCAATTAATGATATTTCAAAGATTTTGTATCAAAAGATTATTCGTACTTATTTAATCTAATTTATCTTCTAAGAAATTATTTGGCTGGCACTGACTTCTACTATCTTAATTAAAATCTCATCTTTGGTATTTCTTCATCCACTTATTCCAAACTCAATAGACTTATTTACGATCTATTATGTTAATCTTTGCTTCTCTATGTAATTACAACTTAAGCCTATTGTTTACCATCACTTTATGCCTTAACCAATAATTTCTATAAATCATTTTCTTTTTATGAGAATTCTTCATCTGAAATATCACTCTCATCTATAATCTACTATATACTGTGATATGATTTGATTTCTAATTAGGTTTATAATCGAACTACTTTTGTTAATTGTCTTATATTATCTACATCTCTCATTGACATATTTCTAAACAATTAAGGCTATAAACCAGGCACTGTACTTAATGAAATATTGTATCTTGGTTATTATAATTTTATGTCTAATTGATGTAAAGATGAATTAGATTTTATTTTTGCATTCATCAATTTGTATTATGCCTTTATATACAAATCATAAGCATCATCAACAACTGTCTTTTTCTCTTTTGTTATTATTAAATTACGAAATGCTTCGTATTTCTTCTCTGCATCCTAATTCCCTTTGTCACATAAAATCTTTATATATTTCTCTCTTCTTATCATATATGATAAATAGGTTAACATTGCTCCAACACTCAATGGAACATACTTACTTTCAATTGCATTCAATTATAATGTATTCTACATCTTCATCATCATATTTCTAAAAGCTTTCAAAGCAGATGGATTCTCTGTAAATGCTTTGAATTCTTAATAATTTAAAGCCTAATCTCTATCTTAATCTATATAAGAGTAAATAACCTGTAAATCATTCTTACTTACTTCAAAACCAAAATGCTTAAACATTAAGAACATTTCTGCTATATCCAAAGTCTTCGAATCGTTGTAATCAAAAACCTAAATATTGATCACTACATTCTACATTAAATATTTGTTTCAATTCCATCTATATTCTACGTTCCTCAGGGTAAAACAAATATTATGGTTTCACTTTATCGAAATACCTACTTTTAAACCATTAATTCTAAGGTAGACTATGGAACTTATTTCTCATATTTAATTGCTTCATCTGCTCATCATCAAGTTTTGCTATATCAGGCACCTGATTCCAATCTACTTTATACATTTAATTATTTATCTTAAATATTTATATCACATTTCTCATTCAATTTTTTAATCTAGAAACTACCTTTTATCACTCACAAAAAAACATAATTTCAAATTATTATTATACTAATCTAAACCAAACATTTTTCTACTTTCTCCAGTATTCCAAATTCTAATCATTCTTCATATTGCTAAATATACATTTTAATATCCAGATACATCTTCTGAATACCTACAGGATCTTTTGAAGAAATGATACTGTTTTCAAAATAAAAAATTGGTATTAATTAAAAGAGTAGATTTTGAAGTAGAGAAATAAGTAAATTGATTTGGAAAGGGTAATCTAATATATAAGATAAGTTGAAATAAAATATTAATCATATATATGTAAATAAATAATTGAATTAGATAGAATTGAATGAAATTTTAGTTAAATTATAATTTTTGTGTGTTGTTGAAAATATCAATTGTGGAAATTCCAAATCATAAAACCGGTTGTTCCCATAAATGCTGCCCAACCCCAGAGTTCATAAAAGCCTCTATATCCAGCATGATATTAACGAATCACTTATCTGAAAATTGATAAAGTGATTACCTATGTGTACCATTACAAAAAGGTGCATTGGCACTGGATTTGCAATTGCACAATTTATAATATCCAGATGTATCAACATTAAATTTAATTGGTCTGTTTCTTGTAGCTGAGGCATTGCACATTCCATCACACCATGGATTTGCTTATGAGATACCACATGAACACCATTGATAAATCTGGTATATAGGTGTTAAGTAATACCTTTCCTTTTTAGAGATAGCAATTATAAGGATAGAAACCAGCAACATAGGGGACTGAGGCTGGTCTATATTTACCTTCAGGATATGGTATAGATTCAGGTAATAAGACTTATTTCTATTATGGGAAATCAGTAATATCATCTGGTTTTCTTTCCTTTCTGGCTATGATGATGAAATTAAAATAAATTATTACGTGTAGGGGGAGTGATTATTTCTGGAGGTAATGTATAAGGATCTCTAAGATGAGCTTCTCCATGTTAAAGTATTGTGGAGACAGTTCTGTATTTAGCTGCCTTCTATAAGATTTAAGACATCCAAATTAAATTAATTAATGGATTCTGCAATAGGGACATACATTTGTTAAACTATTGATTGTAGTAAACCTGCAACTTTGCAATGTCCAACTTGTATCAAAATGGCTTTAGCTCCAGCATACTTTTGTGATTAAGAATGCTTTAAACGATATTGGCCAATCCATAAGACTTTTCATAAAAAATAGGAAGAATAGGATGATTAGAAAAATAAGTTTAAATTTACAGGGCCATTAAGACCAGGTAAAATATCTGCAAGACTATTTGTTCCTGATCATATAAAAAAGCCTGAATGGTATTAAAGTGGATAGCCAACAGAGGAAATGAAAAGTAAACTTCAACAAATAGTTGATTGTAAGACTGCTGAGGATATTTAGAAGATGAGAGAATGTGCAGTAATAGGTATATTAGTTATTCTTAATATTTTGTTAAGGAAGAGGTGCATTAGATGCTGGTCATGCAGCTGTAAAAGCAGGAGTAACAACTGATGAAATAGATAAGATTGTTCATAAATATATAATTGATCATGATGCTTATCCATCCCCATTAAATTATAATGGATTTAAAAAGTCATTATGTACATCTGTTAATGAGGTGATTTGTCATGGTATTCCTGATGATAGGCCATTGGAAAATGGAGATATTGTTAATCTTGATGTCTCAGTCTATTTTAAAGGTTTTCACATCGATTTGAATGAAACATATTTTGTAGGAGAAGTGAGTGAATCATCTAAGTTCCTTGTTGAAAAAGCTTATAATTGTTTATAAAAAGCAATAGAAATATGTAAGCCAGGGACAATGTATAGAGATGTTGGAAATATCATAGAAAAATACATAACTGAAAATGGATTGGCTGTTAATCGTACATATTGTGGTCATGGAGTGGGTTAATTATTTCATTGTGCTCCAACGTAAATAATATTCATTAAAATAGTATTCCACATTATGGAAAAAATAAAGCTCCAGGATTTATGAAACCTGGACATACATTTACTATAGAACCTATGATTAATTAAGGAACTCATTAAGATATTCTTTGGACATTTGATAATTGGACTGCTGTATTAATTTTAAGATTATCATTAGGTTACTGCTGATGGATAACGTTCTGCTTAATTCGAACATACTCTTTTGATAACTGAAGGAGGATGTGAAGTTATGACAGCTAGATTACCAACTTCACCACCTCTAGATTTTAAAATATGAGTAATATAATATTTGTTGCAAATAAATTCGATTTCATATTATTTACAATTTTAATTATATTTATGTCTTCAGAAAATAAGGAAATAATTGAGGATAAAATTTACAGATAGCAAAACTAAATAGATTAATTAGCAAGGAAATCTTTCATAATGAAGAAGATCGAATAGCCAAAAGATGAACATGAATTGTAATTACTTAAGAGAATTCAAAAGTATTTGTATCCTATTTAGAAAGAGCTCGTTATGAAAGAGAGGAAACTAAAATTATTTAGTCTCACTAAATAACATCTCCTCATTTTTGGTAGGTCTTCATGAAAAGACATTATGATTTAGGTGCTTGGCTTCTATTAGATGTAACAACTAATTTTGCTTTGTAATAAACGATCTTAAATTTATTAGATATTTTTTTGATACTATAAGAGTTAGAACACAAGCTCAAAACAAGTATGTTGATATTTCTCATTTCAATTAAAATAATGTCAAAAATCTTCCAATCTATTCTGGACTTCATTATAAATTATCATACATAGTACTGAGTGATATATTACGTAATTTCACTAATTAAGTCAGATATCAAATGTTTATGGATCCTTCATCTTAATTTTACGTATGTTATTATATTTATTTTTGAGAACTACAATTAATTAAGTAAAATTTTGATATAAGGATTAATTGCAGAGACAACTATCACAACTCTCTTATTACCTATAGAAATTAGAAAGATGATAGTTTAAATGGGTTCATTTGATGCTAACTTAAATCATTACTTAAAATCTTATATGAGATGTTATTTTCCAGCTTTAATAAGAGATTCTCTCTTCTTTGTAAGTCACTCTATTACATATAATCTACTTATGTATGGAGATCATTATTTATCTGCACTCTTCAGATCTGGAGAATTCACTCCACCACCAGTAATTATCTAAAATCATATATTTTTTTAGACCATCTTAAGAGGGGAAAGAGAAAGAAAATTTACATGTATCTTAGGTTCTCTAGGATTATCCATTTTGCTCACAAATCCATTCGATGTCTTGGTTACCAAATTAGCTACTCAGAGAAATGTTTATAATATTTAATAAATTTAGGAAACTTACACAAATCCATTCTAAGCATTCAAATTTATTGTTTCTTAGGAAGGGTGGTCTAAACTTATTGCTAGTGCTATATCACAAAGAATTGGTTTCTACTTCCTCAAAGGATTAGTGTTCTTTAGCTATTAAGATCGTGTGTATTAAATGTTCCATGACGCATTTAATTATGAATGAAGGTTCTATATCAGCTAAAACATATACAAAATAATATCATAGCCTGTTTGCCCGAGCTGGTTAAGGGGGCAGACTTAAGATCTGCTGGAGCCTACTCCGCGTCGGTTCGAATCCGACAGCAGGCAATTTTTTTATTTTTTTTTTTAACTATGCAAAATTTGAAATTCATTAATAATGAACTTGAATCCTAACTTAAAGCTTTACATCTTGAAACTAGATAACTTAAATAAGAAATCATTAAGATCAATCAACTAAATGCTCAACTGAAAGAATAATTGCATCAAAACACTATTGCTTCTGATATTGATGATTAATACAAACAAACACTCATTGAAAATAAAATGCTTAAAAAAGAATTAGACTTTTTGTATAATAAATTAGTAATTATCATTTAGTCAATTACAACAATAATCTAAAATTGATTCTATGGCATCTAAACCATCATATTAATAACTAGAAAAAGAGCTAGATGATTTACAAAATTTTTTTAAAAAATACTACAATCTCCAAGAAATGTATTACAAAATATCATACTTATGTAGACTATTGAATTAGATTCCCATACAATTACTCAAAGAATGTTGGCAAGCCATTAATTAAACTTTTAAATCACATTTTAATGCTCATTAAACTATTTAAAATATTCAAGAAGAGGTTTCCCTCCTTGAATAAGATTACAAATAAATTTTGCATGCAAATAAAGAAAATGATTCAGAAATCTAATATTAAGCTAAATGTAAATATTCAATATTAATAAGAAAATATTATTGTTGAAAGAAGAGTGGAAATAGAAAAATGTAGAAAAGAAATATAAATGAAATAATTTGAAACTAAAAAAATGGAATAGGAGTTAGATGAATTATAAAAAGAATTTGCTTATATTTGTAAAATTGAACATAGAAGATATAATTAATAAATAGAAATAGAAAAATAATTAGTTTAAGTGAGATAGAAAACAACTTAGCCTGTGATTGAATAAAAAGCCTCCGTTTTACCTATGCAAAGAAGTAGATAACATTCTGATTACTTCCGACCACATTAAATATCTATCGACTCCTAATAATCTACCAAGCCTTAAATTTTTAGAGCACCTAAACATAGTATAGTACAACAAGAATCTGAAAAAACTAATTTAGAAAAAACAATAGATTAAACTAGATAAAAGCTGAGTAGACAATTAAGTTTAGCTTCAAACCTACGAGAATCCACAAAATGACATGTTTATTTATATAGATTATAATCTCTCAATTTTTTTTTTCTTTATGATTTTAGCTTTTAATTTTTTAGTAAAAATTTTCCATTTTTTCCTCTCTAATTATTGAAAATAATATTTATTTATTATGAATAAGATATTAAAGCTCAAATAAAATAATAAATATTAGAAATAAAGATTATATTTATTCCTACTTGACTGAGGTTGAAAAAAATACATTCTAATTAAGTGTTGAATTATAAATTTCTTATAAAATCTATCAACTCATAATTAAAAAAGGTTTGTCCAAAACCTTATTCTGAAATGTGTGTATAAATAGTAAAAACTTTATTACTGAAGCTGACTCATTTTTAAATTTAATAAATGTTTATAAAAGATGATTTTTGTGATTTACTTTGCTATCATCATATAAAATAAGAAGGAGAAAATATTGAATAAAGCATTTAGATATATATTTATTAAGGAAATAAATTGCTAATAATTTATTAAAAAAATAATTTGAGATATTATATTAAAAAGTATTTAATAAAATTATTGTTTAAATTTATTAAAAATTTTGCTGATGGATTTGATGGATTAGTCAACTCGTAAAACTAGGGATGAAAATGAATGTTTAGATTTTAATTAATTAGAACTTAGAACCAAAATATAATTTTAAAATGAACTATATGCATGAGATTCGAAAATAACATCTTCTCTCATAGTTCCTTAAAGGTTAGTTAGACAATACTCATCGATAAATTGTTAGTTTGTCACAATAGGTCTAAAATAATGAGGTATTTGTATAACTTATATGTAAATTTATTAATTGCTCGTTATTATATTATATTTATTATTTTAATTATTTTATATTAGGTATTACATAAAAGGATTTCTAGAAAAAATTGCGATACAAAGCCTTTTAAATGCACTAATTGTACACATACATATTCTTCGAAAGCAGCTCTATAATAACACCAAAAATAAAAACATTCTCAAGAACAAACACCAATTACGTAGCCCTTAGATCAATAGAAAGTAGTAGAAGTTTTAAGTGAAATATGAAATTAATTTTTTCAATCATATGTTATTTTTGATCTTATAATTTTGGAAATAATAAATATCGATTAAACTTATTTTCTAAAATTTAACTTCATATTTAAGTTTAAATAATTGATAGTAGTATTGCAATAAAAAATGAGTGAAAGCGAAGTAGAGAGTATATTAGTAAGATATATAAGATTAATAAATAGTCAGAGGATGTTGAAAAAGATGAAGAATAGGAGTATGCATAAAGAGAAGTATTATAAATTTAGTATAATTCAATAGCTATTACGAATAGATGATTTAANTATTAAAGCTCAAATAAAATAATAAATATTAGAAATAAAGATTATATTTATTCCTACTTGACTGAGGTTGAAAAAAATACATTCTAATTAAGTGTTGAATTATAAATTTCTTATAAAATCTATCAACTCATAATTAAAAAAGGTTTGTCCAAAACCTTATTCTGAAATGTGTGTATAAATAGTAAAAACTTTATTACTGAAGCTGACTCATTTTTAAATTTAATAAATGTTTATAAAAGATGATTTTTGTGATTTACTTTGCTATCATCATATAAAATAAGAAGGAGAAAATATTGAATAAAGCATTTAGATATATATTTATTAAGGAAATAAATTGCTAATAATTTATTAAAAAAATAATTTGAGATATTATATTAAAAAGTATTTAATAAAATTATTGTTTAAATTTATTAAAAATTTTGCTGATGGATTTGATGGATTAGTCAACTCGTAAAACTAGGGATGAAAATGAATGTTTAGATTTTAATTAATTAGAACTTAGAACCAAAATATAATTTTAAAATGAACTATATGCATGAGATTCGAAAATAACATCTTCTCTCATAGTTCCTTAAAGGTTAGTTAGACAATACTCATCGATAAATTGTTAGTTTGTCACAATAGGTCTAAAATAATGAGGTATTTGTATAACTTATATGTAAATTTATTAATTGCTCGTTATTATATTATATTTATTATTTTAATTATTTTATATTAGGTATTACATAAAAGGATTTCTAGAAAAAATTGCGATACAAAGCCTTTTAAATGCACTAATTGTACACATACATATTCTTCGAAAGCAGCTCTATAATAACACCAAAAATAAAAACATTCTCAAGAACAAACACCAATTACGTAGCCCTTAGATCAATAGAAAGTAGTAGAAGTTTTAAGTGAAATATGAAATTAATTTTTTCAATCATATGTTATTTTTGATCTTATAATTTTGGAAATAATAAATATCGATTAAACTTATTTTCTAAAATTTAACTTCATATTTAAGTTTAAATAATTGATAGTAGTATTGCAATAAAAAATGAGTGAAAGCGAAGTAGAGAGTATATTAGTAAGATATATAAGATTAATAAATAGTCAGAGGATGTTGAAAAAGATGAAGAATAGGAGTATGCATAAAGAGAAGTATTATAAATTTAGTATAATTCAATAGCTATTACGAATAGATGATTTAAAGAGAGAACAAGAAAAGTTTTAATATAAACTAAGTTGTGAAAAGCCAGGGAGAAAGGAGAGTACTTTAAAAGAAGAAATATAAGATTAATAGGTAAGTGATAAATTATCAACATTATTTGATGAAGTGGAAGAGGAGATGGATAATTTGATTTCAAAAGCTTAGTAATATGTGTAATACTTAAATAAAAAGTAAGGGGAAGAAAATAGTAGTTTACCAAATACGTATTTGAAGACTTAACCAAGTATAATGAGAAAGGGAAAATTAACGGAGCATTAACTCTAAGGATTGAATTGGTTGATAGGAATGTAGGAAGCAGGATTAAATGGTATATTAGCAGATTAAATGGGTTTGGGGAAGACTATATAGACAATTGCACTTTTTGGCTTCATGAAATAGTTCAAAAATATTAGTGGACCCCATTTAATAGTAGGTCCATTAAGTACAATATCTAATTGGGAAAGAGAACTTTCAGAGTGGTTACCAAAATGTAGAGTATTGAAGATGATGGCAACATAGGAATGGAGAAATGATTTCAGTAAGTATTAACATAAGAAGAAGGATTATGATGTAATTATATCATCTTATGAATGTGTAATTAATAATGAAAGAATACTTAATAAATATAGATTTGAGTATTTAGTTATAGATGAGGCACATAAATTAAAGAATGAAGAAAGTTAATTCTTTACAACATTGAAAAGACTTAGTTCTAGGTTTAGATTATTATTGACAGGAACTCCATTATAAAATAATCCTCATGAATTATGGAGTTTATTGAATTACTTGATGCCTTAATTATTTGCATCAAGTAATGCATTTGATTAATGGTTCTATATTAATAAACTTATATCTGAAAAAGAAATCTTATAAGAAAAATATGAGAAAAGGAATTTAAATATGATAGAGAAAGCTAAATCAATAATTTAAACATTTATGTTAAGAAGAACTAAATAAGAAGTGGATTTGGGTATTCCACCTAAAAAGGAAATCCATATTTATGTTTAATTAACACCCTTATAAAAGACTCATTATAGAGATATTATTTTAAATAAAAAAATTGTTGGATTAACATCCTAAAAATCATTAGTGAATATATTAATTTAATTGAGAAAAATCTGTTAACATTTATACATGTTTCCAGAATTAGAAGATAGAGATTTACCATCTTTAGGAGAACATTTAATTGAGAACTCAGGAAAACTCAAAGTATTAGATATGTTTTTGAAGAAATTATAAAATGAAAATCATAAAGTCATATTATTCTCTTAATTTACATCTTTATTAGATATTTTAGAAGATTATTTAAATTATAGAAAATATAAATATTGTAGATTAGATGGTAATACACCAATTGAAGTAAGGGATGAAAATATTAGGAATTTTCAGAAACCAGATTCAGATTTATTCATATTTTTATTATCTACTAGAGCTGGAGGTTTAGGAATTAATTTAACTGCAGCAGATACTGTTATTATTTATGATAGTGATTTTAATCCTTAATTAGATCAATAAGCTATGGATAGAGCTCATAGAATTGGATAAACTAAAAATGTTATGGTTTATAGATTGATATGTAAATCTACTGTTGAAGAAAAGATTATTGAAAGATAATAAATTAAATTAAGATGGGAGTAAATGGTTATTGATAAAGGACATTCTTAAATGGTTGGAATTATGAATAAAAAAGAAGATTTAAAAAGTATTGCTACTTATGGAGCTAGTTAAATTTTGAAAGATGAACCATATACTGAAGAAGATATTGAAACACTATTGAAAAGAGGAGAAGAACTTACAGAATAATTAAATTAATAAATTGATAAAAAATTTAAAGTTATCTAAGATAAAATTGAAAAAGTAGAATTAGGAGTTAAAACTATTAAAGTTTTTGATTTCTTTAAAGATCCAAATAATGAAAAAGATATTTAAGTAATTGAATAATAAATCAAATTAAATTAAGTCAGTAAATAAGTTGAATAATCAAATAAAGGTGAAATATTGCCATTATTTTCTAAATTATGTACCGAAGTTCAAGTTGAAGAATATAAATTCTACTCTGATCCATAATTGTATAAAGAATTGATGTAAAGAGATGAAAATGCTAAACTTTATGAATTATACAAATAAAAATAGCTATTTTTTTAATTGGATATAGATATTCTGCCTCTAACATAAATGGAAGAGAAATAATTAAACAAATTAAAATAAAGTGCTTTTGAATGGACTGATAAAGAATTTGATGTCTTTTTACAATCTTGTATCAAATATGGTAGATAAGATATTATCAATATATCTAACAATTTGGGTAAAACCCATAAAGAAGTTTAATAATATATGAAAGTATTTAATTAGAGATATGAAGAAATTCCAGATATTAATAAATATATGACAAAAATTGAAAAGACTGAATAATAAATAGAATAAGAATAAGAGTATTCAGATCTTTTAATTCAATTTGTCAAAATTTATGAAGATCCTTTACTTGAAATGAATTTTAACTAAGTTTATAAATAAACCTAATTCACTTTAGAAAGTGATCAACTTATAGTGTATGCAACATATATAGAAGGATTTGGAAAATGGGATTTGATCTAAAAATATATTTAAAATCATGAATTGAGCTTTTTTGATAATTTTTTAAGGTATAATGATATTATTTATTTTTAATAGATCATTAACTAAAAAATCAATAAAATTAAGATTGCTGTTATTATTAAAGAGTATAAAAAAAATAGTTGATTCTAGAAATAAAAAAGCTAAGAAATCTGAATAAATGAAATCTAAGTAAGTTGAAGAAGCTAAAGAGTCAGACAGTATAAGATAATCAAATTCAAGATCAAATTCAAAAAGTAAGAAGAAAAAATAAAGTAAATCAGTAAAGAAAATCACATAATCAAAAAAAAAGAGAACTAAGAGTCCCAAGCCTATAAGTAATGTAAAATCTAAATCAATTGATCAATCCATAAAAGAAATGGGGAAATCACTACTGAAAAAATGATATTGTTAACATATATAAATATAGTTCATAATTTTTTCTTATTGGAACCTATCAATTTTTATGCTTTCAACACTAATTATTTATGATAGTCTATAAGAGCACTAGTAGATAATTTAGATATTGGAGTTGTTTTTGTTCCTTTTCTTTCATAATCTCCATTAAACGAATACAGTAAATAACGATTATTTGTTGATGGAGTACGTGTAGGAGATTTTGGAGATGTGTCTACTTTTGGTATATGACTTTATCTTCTTGATATGTAAGGATTATGGAGTGGTTTTTAAAACCTTGTAATTTTATTGCCCAAATGCGGTTACGATAGCACTCTTGTTCTATTTTACTAGAAACTAGTAGACATTGGATGTTTTTGATCTAGGAATTAGGTTAAGTAAGTCTTCATTTCATTTCATTCTTACCTCCATATTTTTAGGGTTTTGCATGCTCATTATAATCAGTTATTATAGACGACTGCGTTCATCTTAATAGTATGATTTGTTTGTGCTGCTTGTATTCGCTTTCGTTGATTACTTTGTCTCACGATCTGTCCGCATTTTTGCAGACTTTATCATAACATAGTGTTCTTTTGTTGTAATTAACATATAATATATTGCATATTTATATTTATTCATAAGATGTTTCAATAAATAACACCATTTATTATACTCACCTTAAATCTTAATCCACAAGTTTTATTTTTCACTTCTTAATAAATCATATACATTTATCATTTTACTATTAATTCTAACTTAAAATGGTTTCTATATTTAAATAAACTATCTTTAAACTAATAACTAATCTTTATAATTATTTTTATATTGATAGAAATAAAAACTCTTTTCATAATTCTGACATCGTTTTTTTCTAAAGTCTTCAAAACCATATTAATTAAGATATACATATGTATGGCCATGTCCCAATTGTTGGCAAACTCTATTTTTCTTCTTAATACTTTTTTATTATTGGGTTATCCTTTAAAATAAGTCTAGTATTCTTCGCTCCCTTTTTGTTTAGTATATCAATAATATTCTCAAATTCATTCAAATCATTCAATCCAAGTTTATTATTCGATAAATTTAGAGTCTATAAATATTATACATTTATTGATTCAAGTAAATAACCTAAGTTTTTTTCTTCTAATTAACAATTTGTAATTGTAATATCAATTAAAGGTACATCTTATAAATCATTTTCTGCATTATAATTTTCTATTGTACAATTTTCTATATGAATAGCTTCAAATTCTCCTAATGAAAAGTATATATCATCAAAATTGCTATAGATTCCTTTCTTGTGAAAATACTCAGATTATTCTTCTTCACTTAATTCAAAATAATCATCTTCTATTTGGGCAGATGAAATCTCACCTATTCTTAAACCAATTCCAATTAATTTTAACATATCTCCATATTCTGAATGCTATGTATTTACTATTGTTATTTCTTTTTACATTTTATATTATTATATAATAAATGTATCAAAGTGATAACAATCTTGATAAATTATTTGAACTCTTTAAAGACTAAAAAACTAAATTATTTTAAGTCGAATCATTTATTACATCATTAGAATAAACAGGTATATATAATAATTTACTCTCATTTAGAAATGACATAAAATACATTAATTTTAAAGGAAAGATTAAATCTGTTTAAAAAATAACAATTATCCAAAGCTGAATTTGAGTAATTGTTTTAGATTGATTTAAAAAATGTAATGAGTATAATAAATATATGAGAGAGATATGAGTCAAGCAATATTTAATTCCATTCAAAAAAAAGACAAAAATTTTATTTCAACACAAGATCTGATTAATTTGAATCAACTTTATAAATTTGGGTATACCAATGACTAAATTAACTTAATAATGAAATTCTTAGGAAAATCAAATTAAATTAGCAACGATCAATTTATTCATGTGCTTCAATAATAATAACACAATTGAATATAATCTTGAGATTATATAAAAAATATAAAATATTTATATGCTCTTGATATTTATTCTATTCTTTCCAGATTTAAATTAATGAAAAAATTTTTGTTTAATATAATGATTTAAAATTTTGATTTAAAAGCTGAAATACAGAAACATCAATTAAAGCACTCTTTATTATTAGAGGTATTAGTTAATAATGAGAAAAACATCTAACCATAAAAATTTTTAGAAGTAACCTACTTTTGAAATATTTAAAGATCATTCAGAATTATAATAATTCTCAGATAGATGATCTCAAATTTATTAAGTTGTATAATGAATACCTTTACACAAATGAACTGTCTATATAAGATTCATATATAGTGTATAATGAAGTCGTTCATAAAAACTTTGATAAAATTGAATTATAAGTTATAAAGATAGTAAATATACTATCATTGATACATCAATAAATAAACCTAAAGATAAAATATTTAGAATAATATGAAGAATTGTACTTAATGTTAGATAGTGAGAAGATTGGATATTTGTGTGAAGATCAAGTGTTATTTTTGTTTTTTAGTTTATTTTTAATAGAGAAACCAATAGATAATAATATTGATTTATATGGATGTTTCAAATCATTTTGGATAGAAATTCAATAATACAATAAAGTAATTTAATATTTATGGAACTAGGTTTCCTTTCGAATTTTGAAATAGTTTTTGTTCAAACAAAACTACAATTCTGTTATTATAATATAAAATATAAATAGAATTTTAACAATGTTTGAACTGGAAAGTGTTCCAAATATTAGATATGATATTTTGAAGTATTTATCAGCAAAATATCATTATGATAATATTGTTGAAATAGCAGTAGAATTATTAATAAAGTTACCAATAGAATATGCAAATGTGGAAATAATAAAGAAAGAAAATGAGGAAAATTTATTCATATCCTCCTTTATTAAGCTCTATCATTTAGCAATTATTAAGTAATAATTAATTTAATTTGATATGTATTTAGAGAAATTTAGAAAATGTTTTATGGGAGATCAAATTTAATCACAAATATTTGAATAAAAAGAGAGAGATGAAAATTGGTTTCATAGAACTTTTATAAAAAATAAATAAAGAGTAAAATAACAACCAAATTAACCTAAAACTATAAATGTAGATTTAACAATTTTTTCAAAAGAATCTCCAACAAAAAAAAAGAAAAGAAAGGAAATGTATAAGTGAAGTATTGAAATTCATTTTTACAGAACTCCATTAATCCATTCTCCTTGAATTTATTTTCCATTTTATTCAAAAATAATTCCTCTTCCATGCATTAAACCATTACACCAAAAACCAACATATCTTCTACCATCTGGCCATTCGAATGTTCCAAGACCGCATTTTTAATTTTTAAAATACCATCCTGAATATTTTTTACCATTAGTCCAACTAAATTCTCCTTCACCATGCATCATATCTTCTTTAAATTATCCAATATACTAATCAAATAAATTTTAATTTAATTACTTTTTTACCATTTGATTAAACATATTCTCCAAAACCATCCATACAATTATTAACAAAATCACCTATATAATGTGATCCATCTGCCCAAATAAATGTACCTCTTCCATGCTTTTTACCTAAAACATAATCACCTTCATATTTTGCTCCATCTGCCCATATTTCATTACCTCTTCCATGTTATTTATCACATTTCCATTCTCCTTAAAATATACTTCCATTATTTTTTCTATAAAATCCAAATCCTTCTAACTTACCTTCATAGAAATTTCCCTCATAAAAATCACCATTTTAATGTAAAAATCTCCCATATCCATGTGGTTAATTCATTTTCCAATCTCTAATTAATTTTATACTCAAGATGTATACCCTTCATATATAGATCCATTTTTATAATAATATCTTCCTTTGCCATTTCTCATACAATCTACAATTTCTCCTGCATAAATTGAACCATCTCTATATTAATAAACTGCAAAATCATTTATCGAAAAGTTTTCTAATGGTTCCATTTCATCAAATTTACAAGTAGATAATTAAGGAAATGCAAGTTCTATAAATGTTAAACTATCTTAAGAATTAATTTAAACTGGTTGCTACTGTAATGAATTTTCTTAATTTATAGTAAAACCAGGTTTTCTTTTTTAATAATTTTTCCTCTATTTATATCCTTTCCAATTTTTTTGAATTTATATGGCTTTTTCTGAATATTATATTTCTTTTTTTCTTTATGATTCACAATTAAAATTTTAAATGACTTACTAAAAATGTTTAGGGGAGCTAGGAGCAGAAATGATATTTTCTTATTTGCTTAAATTTATTTCCTAATTATTTTATGACAATTAGCTACAACATGAATTATTTTAAAGAGAACCCATAATTTAATTAAAATTGAATAAATAATTTATATTTTAATATCTTTTTATTATTAAATCTAAATGATTTTAATTTGATCAACTCAATAATCCTCCGAGTCTTCTTCCTCTTGTAATTAATTAGTTAATTAATTAATCTTTTTAGATAGATCCTCCTCAAACTTTTCTCTAAACAACTTAGAATATTAATTTAATAATTGTTCCATGTTTTCAAACACCTTATTGTATTTTAATACTTTTATTCCTTTATCTATGTCACATTCTAAATCTAATTTTTTCTCCTTCCAATGTTACAATCTTAACTTTTGTCATTGTATTGACTTTGTTTCCGATTTATAATCTGGATAGATACTTTAATTTACTATATTCTTCAAATTCTTTTGAGAAATTCATTTAAATTAATAATACATATATATAATGATTAAAAGTAGATTATAATCATAAATTTTCATAAAAGTTTAACTAATACAAATTCAATCAAAAATAGTATTGTCCTATTCTCTTCAACGCCTCTTATAAATTTCTTAACGTTACTATATCATTCTACTTTATAAGTTCTAGATTTTGCTAACTCTATAATTATCTTAATTTATTAATACATTAATTCTTCTATAGTTTCCAATTTTAAATATCTTTTTATTTTTGCTCTTATTTAGTAATTTTACTTTTTCAAGAAATTTTTAAAATTAATGTTCTTTCGACTTCTTATTCAAATAAAGATAACAATCGGCAGTTCTATAATAAACTATCCTTATTTGATAAAGTTATATACTGTCAATCAATTCTTAATATTTTACACTTGTTGAATTGATAATCCAAAAATGAAAATGGATTTCCTTAGAATCTGTTATTTCCTATTTTGAACAATATTCTAGATAATAATTTTTCTTCGACTTTCTAAATGTTCCACAATATTTAAACACTTGCTCAATTTTATCAAGATTGTCTATAACTAATATATTGATATTGCTCTGCTCTATTTTCTCCTATTCTTCTTCAATTGAAGTAGTCTATCGAATATTTAATAAATTATATTTACATTTGTCTCTTTTTCTGAATAATCAAACACTCTCTATTAACCCGCAATTTCTTATTGTGTTTCATAGAAGACTAGTTCTTATTGCCAAGATATTTTAGCAAGTTGGATATACTCCTCCAGACTATCAGCATGTAATCCTCCTAATCTTTTACGCATATCTGAATTTGTTATTTTTAAATAATAAATTATCCTAATATATTTGGGCATTCAATTTCAAATAAAACATACACGTTTATTTCATACTATTTTTAGATATATTCAAAATCTATCTTCATTTTTCCAATTATAAATTCACCTCGCAATCAAATCACCGTTTTATGCATAGATAGATACTTTTTAAATAACTTAAACCTTTTGTATTTAAACAAAGTAAACATTTTAACTTCAAATTTATAGTAATGATTTATATATTAACATGATCTAAAATTCATCTTTCTTTAACTTTTGTTTAATTTAAATGTAAACCTTCTGTATTAAGAATCTTTTTGTAAAAAATTATAAATTATATAAAAGTTTTTAAAATTAAGATTTACATTCATTAGAATATTGATTATCTAAATCTAGAATTATAAAGATTCATTTATTTAAAATAGGAAAAAAATTTTAAGAGCAGATAAATAGATATAGCATTTTCAACATTTTCGTATATCAATAGTAATTTGAGCAATGTTATCTATATCTGCTATATTTTTAAATAAAATGGTTGATTTTATATCTACATTTAAGCAACCAGATAGCCTATCTAAATATTATTAACAACTATAATAGACTTATTAGATAAAAAAATAATTTTCAAAAAATTTATTTATATTTTGGGTTAAAAAAAATTTATTTTTTTAAAATGAACAAAAATAATTTGATAATCAAAAATTAATATTAACCTTTATAATTAGAAATGTTATTTTTCTTAAAAACAAATCTTATAAGTAAGATTTTAACTATTTTTTACTTCTCTAAAAAATTATTATTATTTTAGAATAAGTTTAAACTGTAGGTTCAGATTTAATAAAATAATAAATCTAATATTAGATTATACTAAAGTGGACATTTTAGTATTCAAAAGAATATTTTAAGGTAATTACGCCTAAAAAATTAATTAACTTTTGTTAATTTTAACTCAATTATGATTCAGAATTTTATTCGGTTATATTGGTAAATTTATCTACATTATTGAATTCATTGGAGAAGGATTTTTATCTTTAATATAAATTTGATATAAAATAGTGATTTATTAAAATATATAAGATCTTTCAAGAAAAGGCTAAGTATTTAATTTTTTATCAAGAACTTAAAATTATTTTTACCTATCCTATTATAATCACTCCTTATTTAAAAAATAAATCTTAAGAATTCAAAATAGTTAGTTCTTTATTATTAATATTTGTTTCATAATTATAATTAAAATATGAGGAATTGATGAACCCTAGTATTTTTGAAAGCATAAGCAACTTTGAATATGGCCATTAAATGCTTTAACAGATATTTGATATAATATTTAGAAGCAATTTTAGAATTATGATTAATAAATATAAATTTTCCAAATTTGCGAGAAAGCATTTAAGTAATAACTAAGATAAATATAAATAAACAAATATCAATATAAAAAATCTGGGACTCCAATATTATTAAGCCGATTATTCTCATTCAAAAATGAATTAAAAAAAATATGACTATTTGCTATATTACATTTCTTTGGGAAATGGAGTTAAACATAAAGCTTCAATATATATATCAAAGTCATTTCATGTAAATTTAGTATCTGGAAGTTTAATTGTTGATATTTGTATAAATTTTTTTTAAAATATAATACACTTTAATATAAAGAATGAAAAAATACTTAAATTTATTCTTAAGATGGAAATGATATGAACTTTGTTATTTATTTTCAAAAAATTTATAATTTGTATTCCGTTATTTAATGAAAAATTGCTTCACATTATATATTAGTTTTTTTTTATTAAATTTTGAGGGAAATTATAAGAACTGTCAAAGATAGGAATAATGGTTTAGAAATTATAGCTATTAATAATTAAAGAATATATGCTAAGAATTGATATATATTAGTAAAAATAGAGAGTTAGGGAAGAAATTAAAAGAAATCGATTAAATTTAGGTTGAATTTGAAGAAAAATTAGCAAAAATTACTGAATACTTAGAATTCATTTAATAAAATTTAAATTGAATGATTCCTCTGAAAGACCAATTTTACAATTGATTAATATAAAATAAAAAGTAATGTTAATGAAATTGAGCATATTAGAGTGTTTTTAAATCTTTTTTCACTAATATAATAAATAATAAATATAGATGGGTTAAGGCTGTTGCAACAAGCAATCAACAGAATAAACTAATGAATAGATTACAGAGTGGTGCTAAAATATTGATGGAGTAAAATTTTGTGAAAACCTTGATGATTTTTTTATCTCGAATGATTGTAACTCTAATCAGGCAAGAATACTAAGCTCCTAAATTATATTTACTTTTTAGTAATAGCTTCCTCCTACACTATCGTAGGAAAGTATATAATATGAAAAAATGAACAGCTTACCAAAGTACATTTTAGATGAAGAAAGCCCAACATTTAAAGCTTAAAAAAAATTATTATCAGAGAAATGATCAGATTTGAATGATTTTAAATTTAGTTATATATTGATCTTAAAACTTAAAAGAAATAAATAAGTTATTGACAAATAACTAAATATTTATGATTTTCAAAATATTAGAAATTCTTATCGTGTAATATTAAAATAAGAATAAATATAAAATTAACAATGTTTAATGGTAATCTATTACTGAGAAATATTAATTAAGAATATATCTATTTGATTAAAATGTACTAATTAAGATAATTTATACAAGTATGTCAATACTTTAAGGTATGATGTTTCAATTAATTTTTGTTATTTTATATATATTAATAATAAATATACCAATATGATGCTGATCAAGTAAGGATGAATTATTTGATGATTTTAATGATTGATTGAAATTTTCAGAAGTTTAATTCAAAAATATTCAATTAAGAATATATGATCAATTAAATAAAAAAATGAGATTTCCTAAAGTAAGAGGGAAATTTTAAAAGAAATAAAATAAAAAATTATCATTTAAATCAACATCGAAATATAAATATATAAATTTTAATTTATGGAAAGGCAAAAAACAATTTATTTCAAGAGTTCTCTAGATTCTATTTCATCATATTGATTTGAAACTAAAAAATATATTCTATATAATTCATTTTAATATGGCTAAAATTTTCTAAAAATAAAGAATTTAATTAGTAGAAAAATGAATTAATTCCCAGCTGAAAAAGTTAAATGAAAATCAAAAAATTTAGTATTGTATGAGATCTAAAAACATTTAAAAAAAAGTATCTATTAACAAATATTATAAATTAGCTAAAAATAAGAATAACGAAATTATAGAAATCCATATATTTTAAGAAGATGAAGATAGTCGAAAAATGTTTAATTAAAAATAATTTAGTTCAATAAAAAAGTTATGTAATTGAAAATTTCAAAAGAAAGACTTTTGAATTTTTGAATTGAATTGAATTGAAAATAAAAATAAATAAAAAATATTATAAAATATTTTCTTTTGATTTAATAAGAAGATGATAAATTAGTGAATTAATATGATAAATGTCAATAAATTTAATTATATAATAAAGTTATGTGTGTCAATATTGTAAGTAATAATGTTTTAATTAGTTTTTGTAATTTTATATATAAATAATAAATATACCGATGGGTTGTGGATCAAGTAAAGGAGAGGAAGTAGATAATCCAAATAAAAGTAGTGAAATATATACTATAGTATAGTAAAGGATGTAGCTCATTTTAAAATATCATCTTCTGGTATGGTATCAGAGAAACATGGATTAATTACAAATGATTACACTCTCTTGAAACCTCCCATCGGAAAGGGTATAAATAAAGTTAAAGTGAGGTGCTTATGGTGAAGTGAGAAAAGGAGTGCATAAAGTCACAAATTAAATAAGAGCGATAAAAGTGATTTCAAAGGAGAAAGCAAGCAAGATGGAAGTTGAAAGATTAAGAATAGAAATAGAAATTCTAAAAAGATTAGTAAATGATTAATTTTAAGATAGGATCATCCAAATATAATTAAGATTTATGAGTTCTATTAGGATAGTAAAAATATTTATATTGTGACTGAATTATGCACAGGAGGAGAACTTTTTGACAAAATATAGGAATAGCAATCTTTTTCAGAAAGGAAAGCAGCTGAAACTCTAAAATAGATATTGAGTGCCGTAAATTACCTACATAAGAGTAAAATAGTGCATAGGTAGAGGATTAATGCGATTTGATATAGAGATCTTAAACCTGAGAATATTCTCTATGAGTCTACCAAACCTTAAGCTTTATTAAAGATAGTAGATTTTGGAACAAGTCGAATGTTTGAATAGGGTTATAAGATGAATTAAAAACTAGGAACAGTAAATTAGTGATAGTTAAATATAGCCATATTATATAGCACCTGAAGTATTGGAAAGAAGATATGATGAAAAATGTGATGTATGGTCTTGTGGTGTAATTTTATACATTTTACTTTGTGGAATTCCTCCTTTTAATGGTGAAGAGGATGAAGAGATATTAGATTCTGTAAGAGAAGGTCAATTAACATTTGATGGTGAAGAATGGAATTAAGTATCATATGAAGCGAAATTGTTAATAACTAAAATGTTAGAAAGAGATCCTAAGAGAAGAATCAGCGCTGAATAAGCATTGAGAGATCCTTGGATTACTACTTATGTTAAAAAAACAGAAATGGATTTACCATAATTAACTAAAGTTTTGAATAATCTAAGAAATTTTAGAGTGGAGAAGAAATTCTAAGAAGCAGCATTAACATTTATGGTTAATTAAATGGCTACTAGTTAAGAAAAATAAGAATTACTTTAATAATTTTAAGCCTTAGATTTAAATGGAGATGGTAGATTATCTAAAGATGAATTGATTTTAGGTATTAATCATTTATATTCTATTCTAGGCTATGCTAAAGTTATGAGTTATACTGATGCTGAATTAGAAGTTACTAAACTTATGAAATAAATTGATTAAGATAAAAATGGAAGTATAGATTATTCAGGTTTTTATATAATTATTTTTCATTTAGAATTTGTTTTAGCTACTTTTAATAAAGTTAAATTATTGGAAGACAAAAGATTAGAATAAGCTTTTAGATTATTTGATAAAGATGGAAGTGGATCAATATCTATTGATGAAATCAAAGGAATATTTGGTTCAGATGAAACTGCTGTTAGTGATGATGTATGGAAAGAATTATTAGCTGAAGTTGATGCCAATGGAGATGGATCTGTAATTATAATCTTACTATTATTAGATAAGTTTTTAAGAATTCAAAGAAATCATCGTTAAAGCTATCAATGTTAGTTATTCAGATTAAAAACCAATAAAATGATTTTATATTATATATTTAATGGATAACCTACTCACTGCTCTAATAACACATTTAATCGATAGCAGTAATCCTGATTATGTTTCAATTATGAGTAACTATGAATGCTTCAGATCCATAATAAATGCAAATATTGATGCATCTGCAAAAGCATTCTAAATTGAAAAATTTCTATAATCTCTGAAACCAGATCAACGACATACTCATAGAAGTTCTAATTATGATCTTCAACCTCGATCTTAACAATTTAATAGCTCATTAGTCTTAGTAGAAGCAAAGCTTTTTGAAAAGAAATTTCAACAACATACATAAGAAATAGAAGAGATGTTAACAAATTTTTGAATAGAATTTGGTTTCATTTATGAAATAAATATTTTTTATAAATCATAACCACATCACTATTAGTCATATCCTAATTCGTTCCTGATTCAACAAACACTTTAACCTTGCCACTTTTTCCAAATGCACTATCAATTTTCCCTTAAATGTTTCCTTACTTAATTATAATCATTTTTCCTATATAATTACCTATATTAGTTTCTTTCTTAAATAAATCTTTAATAAGCAAAGTGTAATTATCAATCACCTTCTCTACTTTTCCATTTTTAGTCTTCTTTCTAAATATTCTTATGTAATTTTATTAAAATATTTATTAAGCTGTATAAGAATACAAAATATTTCCATAAAAAGCAATTCTACATATATTAGCTTCTAAATCAGTATCTAATTTAGAAGCAATAACTAATGAATTCATAGATGCAATCAATGGTTTTTCTAATTATAATACACCATACAAATTATATTTTTCTTAAAGTTTAACATAATCTAAAATATATAATATATCTTAATTACCTTCATAATCTTCAAGATATTCCCCCTCGCTATTTAATTCTAATTATAAATTTTTAGGTCTTATCATCAATTTCAATTGTCCCATTACTGTTAAATGACCAGAAGTGACATGAAATTTATTTTAAGATTTGAGTTATCCTTTATAATAACTAATTTTCTTAAAATCAATCACTATATTTTCTAATAATGAAACGATTCCAGGTTGACAAACAATTCCTCTTTCAATCTCCTTGGCATCTAAATTAGTAAATAAGGCAGCTATTCTATCTCCAGGTTCTCCTATTTAAACTGGTTTCTTAAACATTTATAAACTTTTTATTTTTTTATTCAAATTCAACATTGGAAAAAATACTTCATCATTTGGTTTCATTGAACCTTAAATAATTGTACCTGTAGTAACAGTTCCTTATCCTTTAATTTAAAAGCAATGATCAATCATAAACAGTAATCCTTTATTTAATTAAGCTTATCTATTTGGAATAATGATATTTTAAAGTAGAATTCTTAATAAATCCTCTATTCCTAGTGATTACATTGCTGACACTGGAACCAATGGTACTTAATTCCCAAACTTAGTTTTTGAAAGAACATTAGTAATAATTTTCTTTTGTTTATTAATTACTTCTTCTGTTGCTAAATCTATTTTGTTCAAAACCACAATTAATTTGTCTGCCAAAATTTCACCAATAACTAAACATTCAGCTGTTTATGTTTAAATGCCTTTTGTCACATCAATTACTAAAAACATCATATCAATTATTTAAGCTCCTCCTATAATGGTCTTTATAAGTGATGCATGTCCAGGACAATCAACTAATGTAAATTAGAAATATCTTAAATGATTTATTGTAAATACTTTCCTTATTCATTTGGATTGCGAGTATAAAATGCACTGAATCCTAAATCTAATGTAATTCCCCTTTCTTAACTCTAAGGGTTCTTATCTAAAGATGCTGTTGATGTTATCTAATCCTAAATATATAATTTACTTTAGATAATGTTTTAACCAAAGAAGTCTTACCAGAATCAATATGTCCTAAAACACCTACATTAATGTTAATAGTGTTTTATTTAGTTACTTGTTCTATTTCTTATTATGAAATGAATAAACTTTATTCCATTTATTAAGTATATAAAATAAATATCAATGATCTTCATGTATGATTTAATATTCCACTTTTCTTTCTTAAGTAATACCCTACAATTACAAAGAGTATTCAGCAATTGCCTTTTATTTTGTTACTGGATTCTCTCTGTCATAATCTGTATCAAACTCTATCTATGCTTTTTTATATGACACAGGCTAATATCATCATTATTAATACTTCTTCTAAATTCTTGATTGGAAACATACTATCAACACAACGATGTATTGGTAAAATTTAAAAACCTAATCCTATGATCACTCCAATTATTGAATATATATCAAAGATTTAATTTAAAAATTATGATACTGCTGTATTACCCAAAGGATTAAATAAGACTATAAATTCAAGCATATTTATCATCTACCATGACAACTCTTAAGAAATACTTTCCTTTACTGTTCTTCTTCTTAATATGTTATATTTATCGATAAGATAAAATAAACATAAACCAATTAAAGAACTGAATACCCCTAGAGGAATAGCAGTTCCAAAAAAGAATGTAAACCACATAGTTTTGATTATGTCTGCATATCTCATTGCTAATTAATAATCAACCTCTTCCATTATTTCATTTGCCTCTTTTTGTGTAAGCAAACAATCATTCACTTTTTAAATTTAATGTTCTCTTTTTAATTTTCTAACCAATGTCCAAGGATCTACTAACCATATTAATGGTGCTACTATTGCATTTAATATAAATATCAATGATTCATTATACATAAATCCACCAAAACCATATATATTACTAAATATTAAAATATCAATAACATAACTAACTATTGCAGCATTTACAAATAAAGATATTGTTAATTTATTTGCATATGATATTTAAAATTTTGTATTTGTAGATATTTTTTCTATTTTAGTAATCCAATTCATCAAAGGTTCAACCAATAATTTATTAACCAGAACAATTGATGCTGCAATTGTAAATGAAATCATTTATATTTTCTTTAATTATTCTTGATCATCAACTCCAATTCTCTTTTTTTCTATTTCTTCATTATAAACTAATTAAATGCATCTAATAGACATAAAATAGATAAAAATAAATGTAACTCCTTATGCAATTATAGTAATGAAGAATCCTTTCATTCTAGCAACTATTTTATCTTAAGTTAAAGTGGCCAAATTTTCCCATAAAATATCATTAGGCTCTGGTGCTTATTCAATAAATAATTTTTATGACTACCATTACAATTCCATTTCATCTAAACCTGGAGTTTTACCAGAATACAAAAATGTTTTCATCTTATCCAAAAAAGTATGTTTATTTTAACTTAAAACTAGGTCTTTCATTTTCTCACTTTCAAATGATACAAATGCCACACCACTAAATTATCTATTTGTCCAAAAATACTCCTCTTACAAATCTTTAATTCTTCTCTATGAAGCTTCAATCTCAATATCACAATCTATGACATCTTAACAATCAAATTTCATATTCGATGTTTATAATGCAGTCTTTTTCTTCTTTAATATATTTTATATTTNTTACCCAAAGGATTAAATAAGACTATAAATTCAAGCATATTTATCATCTACCATGACAACTCTTAAGAAATACTTTCCTTTACTGTTCTTCTTCTTAATATGTTATATTTATCGATAAGATAAAATAAACATAAACCAATTAAAGAACTGAATACCCCTAGAGGAATAGCAGTTCCAAAAAAGAATGTAAACCACATAGTTTTGATTATGTCTGCATATCTCATTGCTAATTAATAATCAACCTCTTCCATTATTTCATTTGCCTCTTTTTGTGTAAGCAAACAATCATTCACTTTTTAAATTTAATGTTCTCTTTTTAATTTTCTAACCAATGTCCAAGGATCTACTAACCATATTAATGGTGCTACTATTGCATTTAATATAAATATCAATGATTCATTATACATAAATCCACCAAAACCATATATATTACTAAATATTAAAATATCAATAACATAACTAACTATTGCAGCATTTACAAATAAAGATATTGTTAATTTATTTGCATATGATATTTAAAATTTTGTATTTGTAGATATTTTTTCTATTTTAGTAATCCAATTCATCAAAGGTTCAACCAATAATTTATTAACCAGAACAATTGATGCTGCAATTGTAAATGAAATCATTTATATTTTCTTTAATTATTCTTGATCATCAACTCCAATTCTCTTTTTTTCTATTTCTTCATTATAAACTAATTAAATGCATCTAATAGACATAAAATAGATAAAAATAAATGTAACTCCTTATGCAATTATAGTAATGAAGAATCCTTTCATTCTAGCAACTATTTTATCTTAAGTTAAAGTGGCCAAATTTTCCCATAAAATATCATTAGGCTCTGGTGCTTATTCAATAAATAATTTTTATGACTACCATTACAATTCCATTTCATCTAAACCTGGAGTTTTACCAGAATACAAAAATGTTTTCATCTTATCCAAAAAAGTATGTTTATTTTAACTTAAAACTAGGTCTTTCATTTTCTCACTTTCAAATGATACAAATGCCACACCACTAAATTATCTATTTGTCCAAAAATACTCCTCTTACAAATCTTTAATTCTTCTCTATGAAGCTTCAATCTCAATATCACAATCTATGACATCTTAACAATCAAATTTCATATTCGATGTTTATAATGCAGTCTTTTTCTTCTTTAATATATTTTATATTTTAGTTTCTTCTGCCAAAATTTCTGTGATATCATAAACTAAAACAACTTTTGTAACAGTTATTTAATAGTTTGTATCTGATACTGCATAATTTTAAAATAAATTAGTCAATTCCCATCTATAATTAACGTTTAAAGTTTTTGGAATGTTAGTCACAATAATAGTATAGTCACTTGGAGTTAGTTGAGATTCATCAATTGAATTATCTAATTTTCTTTAACTTCTTCTAAAGAATTATAGTAGAATGATCATTAAAATTAGCATTATAAGATTGGCCTTTTGTATAAATACCACAACTTCGGAATTACTAAATTAATATGAATACAATTCACTTTAGTTTATTAGCTATTGATAATTAAAGGAAAATGGATTCTTAACAATTAGGTTCCATCTATTATGAAACAGGATTCAAAGATTGTTGTCTAAATAACTATAAGAATTACTTGCAAAATTCACCCTGATAGTTACTCAAAACGTTGAAAATGGCTACAATACTTTGCAAACATAATAACAAGATGCAAAATTTCAAAAAATTATAAAATAATGGAAACCCTGAACCTAAGAATTTGAGTGATTTGATATCATCCCAATATGGAATTTCTTTTCTTTCAATTTCAAAGCCACAACAAGGACATGTTTCAGCTGAATAATTGATTACAAATACGTTTTTTTTGTTCTTCATCATCATCATAATCTTCAATACGAGTTTTAGTATCAGGAGCAGTACGTCGAGCCAAAGCATGTTTTCTTGCCATGTTCCAATCACATGGCATCTTTAATGGGTTATATTCCATAGTATATATATATCTTAATTAATTTTATGTAAAAATGTTCATAATTCTCTATTTTAACTAATAATAAATATAATTAATGGAAACTGACGAAGTTCCTAAACCAAAGAAAGCCCCATATAAATCAAAAAGATACTTCCTAAGTTCATTAAATACTTACTTTGGTTATCAATTAGTACATCTGTGTACTCATATAGATTTAATAACTTCGTAATGATACAGATCATCCTGAAGATCCAAATCTGATAGTAGGGACCACAATTTTAGAAAGTAAATTTCCATTACATCCAGGAGTAAGAAAGGTGATTGATGTATGATATTGAATAAGTATTAAATAGCCATCAAAAATGTCATTTTTATAAAAGGTTATATTAGATAGTGATGTAATAATTTATGACATAAATACATGTGATCATAGTGAATGTGAATATGCAATAAAGAGCTTAAAATTAGGATCATATGAATAAGATAAAATATTAATACTAGTATCATCAGTGATGGCTTGGTCAGCAACGGATCCAAAAGAGAAGAAAGCTGGAGAAGAAGATGAAGATGGTGGTTATCCTCCAGAATCAGGTGAAGAAGAAGGTAAAGCATAAGATGATGGTGAGGATGCACCACCTAAAAAAGAATATACACGTTTCAATGAAAGTGATTATCCAAAGAGGAAAGCATTACCTCAATATGAAAGTTTATGTTCTCTAGAAAGTTTATGTTTAAGTGTTAATAGACCTAATCTTAAAACATTTATATTATGTGCTGGTATCTTATATGGAATGGGAGAAGATCATTTTTATACTAAATTTAAAGGGGCTTGGTTATAAAATACAATAACATTTCATAATAAAAATAAAGTACCATGTATACATGTTAAAGATTTGGCATTATTTGTTTAAAAATTAGTAGAAAAACCAGTTAATTAAAAATATATTTTTGCTATTGATCATAACTAAAATCCATCTCATAAAGCTATTATAGATTCAATATCTAAAGGAGTAGGAAATTCAAAGATTTAATAATCTGATGTTGCTATTCCTGAATTTAAAATTGATCTTCGTATGAAACCAACTAAAGTATTTGATGCTTTTCTAGAAGAATAAGGTGATTAAGGAGATGAAGAACAAGCAGTTGATAAATTTACATTTAATTGGTGGTGTAAAGAAGGTATTAGAGCTAATATAGCAAAGATAAGATAAGAATTTGTTGATTATCATAATCTAAAACCTATTAGAATTGCTATTACTGGTCCACCTGGAATAGGTAAAAGTACTATTGCTGATTAAATTTCATAATATTTTAGTATTCCTCATATTACAGTTAAAGAGTTAATATAAGAATATTTAAATTAAACTACTGAAGAGGTTGAACAATTAAAGTCAAGTTTAGAAGAAAATAGAAATTAACTTGTAGAGGAAGCTAAAGCATTATATGATATATAAAGAGAAAAGAGAAAACAATTAAAATAACCTTATATTCCATTTGATGATAGTAAAATAGAAGCTAAATTAACAGATGAATAATTGATAACTATTTATAAATGGAGATTAATGTAAAATGATTGTCAGAATAGAGGATTTATTTTAGATAATTATCCAAAAACATATGCTTAAGCTAAATAATTATTCTATAATATTGAAGGAGAAGGAGAAGAATAAAAAGTTAATTTAAATAAATTGATATTGCCTGAACATTTTATTGTTTTGGCAGGTAATGATGAATAAATTGTTGATAGAATCAAGTTTTCAAAAACTCATAAATATAATGAAGATGTACTATTAAAAAGATTAAAGAATTATAAAATATTAAATACTAAAAAGGGATACACAATTTTAATTGATTTTTATAAAGAACTTAAAGTAGATGTTTGTGATATATCTGTTTTTAATAAATAAACTAATATTTAAGAAACTTGTAGAAGTTTTATTGAAAGGGTATGAAATTTTAATTGTATTTTAGAATGGTAAGTATAGGAATTATAAACATATTGAAGAAGATTTAGAAGAAAAGAGGTTGAATGAGAAAAAGGATTTAATGTAAAAATAATCAGATTAAAACTAAAAATTAAAAGAGTTAAGAGATAAAAAGGAAGATGAATTATGGAAAATTTAAGAGGAAGAATACAAAATTAAATAAGAACATAGTGTTAATTATGAAAAAGAACTACTTGAGTCAAGATCTCTTCCATTGAGGTAAAAATCTATATTAATTTAAGATAATATTTAAATGATAATGTAGTTCCATTTATTACAGAGGGTTTAGTGGAAATTGTTAAACAGAATCCAGAAAATGTAATTGACTTTTTATCTGAATTCTTGTTTAAGAGATCATTATAAGTAAGATTCCCAGATCCCAAATTGTATTTTGAGAATTCTGAGTGATCGAAACCTAATAACCAGAAATCATATATTAATTTTTTATATTCTTTTTTTCAATTTTAATGAATTCCATTAATTGTCAGTCTATGATTTTTATTCTTTAAATTAGGTAGAGTATTCTTTTGAATCCATTCGAATGTACTTTCCCTCCACTTAGGAAGGATATTGTAGACTATAATTTGAAAATCCTTTATTTAGTATATATAAGTCAGGATAGTGTAGGTTAGGATAATTATTCAGATTTCGATCCATATTTCTTATTTATTTATAACTAATAAGAATTACATGGATATTATTACATTTAAACACTTCTCTTTTCAGAGAATTCACAATATAAAACAATAACTGGTTTTACTGCAGGAATTTATTTAAAAAATATAGAATCTATTTCGAAAGGATTACAAAGATGAGTTGCACCTTAGATGTGACCACCCTCAAACTCAAATAAGTAACGACAATCAAACAATGTTATATCATTAGCATTTTAATACTAAATTATAAATTACTCAATTTTACTAAAGTTTCAGGAGTAATATAATTGACAGCATCCTTTTCAAAATGTTATAATCTATTCAATCCTTCAGGATCGTCATAAAAGTTAACAGGAACTTTGAATGAACTAAAAAATTCTTATCTTTCAAATTATCTTCCAGGACTGCTAGTTTCACTTGAAACAGACACTCCTCTTCTCAACCAAGAATCATCTCCAATAACTATTTTTTTATTTGGATTTAATAATTGTTAGCTTCTTGTAGGACTCAATAATAGAAACTCATCTCCAATTCTCTTAGTGGAATTATTTGAATCACACTCAAAGGAACTTAATGAAGCACAAGTTTTTAGTAGATGCAATAAATTTGGCATCTCTTATGATGAACAATCCATCTTATCTTTCCGCTATTTAAGTTTTAAATATATATATAAATATTAAATCAAATCTAAAAAGCTTTATGGTCTAATATACACATTTACTTATTTTTAGTATTATTTATCAATTCAAATACTACAATTGATACAAATTTGATAACCAAATAACTAACATATAATAATTCAAGCTTTATTCATATTTTAAGTACTAACAAGAAATACTATATTTTATTTTATTCTTTCCAATTAATTTTGTTATTTATTAATTATTCCAAAATGCCGCTTTAATAATCCTATCTTTCATCTAATTTCAAATCACAATTCGTTTCATCTTCTAATACAGTTATTACCAAATATAATAACAAATTCATAATCTAATTCATTATCTTAAATTATATTCAATAATATATTTTTTTATTTGTATATCTTTTATAGGATTCCAACTTCCTCATTTTCTGTTTTCTCTACAATTAATAAATATCATTATCCGAATAGGTTTTATGTTTAATTGAAAAAAAAGCAAACTTTGAAATCTTTCTAAGGACCTTCAAGTTTATATTTTTGTTACCCATTCTTCTTCAAATCAATCAATAAGGATTCATTTAAAATTTTGTATATATATTATTAGATTTTTATTAACAATAAATTAATTTCATTCTTAACCATCATTTTTAATCACAAAATTTTTACTCATTCTTGACCATTTTTTGTAATCATAAAATTTTTATTTAAAGAATTTAGAAAATAAATAACATTACAAAATATTTCTTATTATTCTAAAGATTTCAATTCTTAAATAATAGAAAAAAACTCTTCCTTTTTAAAAATTATGTTTTCATGCTTTTGGAAAAACAAAACTTAAAGAGACTTAAAATCCTATTTTTTATTTATAATTATATTTTCACAAGTATTCAAATAAAAATCTTTCTCTCATAACTTATTTTACTATCAAATTTTTCATTATAGATATTAATTAATCCAGTTTTATCATTTAATCAAATTTATATTGAATAAAGATCTAAATTTTGTTCTTTATCACTTTCTTCAAATAAACTTTAGTATTATTTATACTTATATTCAACTTAAAATCTTTAAGTAATTTAGATATTTTGAGTTGATCTTTAACAAGTTATAACTTGTAAATGAATATAACTTATTTATCATTTGTATTTTAAATTAATACATTTTATTCATTTTACACATACCTAACTTCAAAATCTATATTATTAGTAATTAAATAACACTCGTTTTAAAATAAAGCTTAATTATAATAAATGAGTACTAGTAGATATGTTTCAAAGAAGCTTCAGCCATATATTACATCTAAGACAGAACTGAGCTAACAACTTGAAAAACTCTAGGCAGAGTAAAAGGAAGAGGAAAGATTAAATGATATATACTTTGATTAATTGGGAAAANTCCTATCTTTCATCTAATTTCAAATCACAATTCGTTTCATCTTCTAATACAGTTATTACCAAATATAATAACAAATTCATAATCTAATTCATTATCTTAAATTATATTCAATAATATATTTTTTTATTTGTATATCTTTTATAGGATTCCAACTTCCTCATTTTCTGTTTTCTCTACAATTAATAAATATCATTATCCGAATAGGTTTTATGTTTAATTGAAAAAAAAGCAAACTTTGAAATCTTTCTAAGGACCTTCAAGTTTATATTTTTGTTACCCATTCTTCTTCAAATCAATCAATAAGGATTCATTTAAAATTTTGTATATATATTATTAGATTTTTATTAACAATAAATTAATTTCATTCTTAACCATCATTTTTAATCACAAAATTTTTACTCATTCTTGACCATTTTTTGTAATCATAAAATTTTTATTTAAAGAATTTAGAAAATAAATAACATTACAAAATATTTCTTATTATTCTAAAGATTTCAATTCTTAAATAATAGAAAAAAACTCTTCCTTTTTAAAAATTATGTTTTCATGCTTTTGGAAAAACAAAACTTAAAGAGACTTAAAATCCTATTTTTTATTTATAATTATATTTTCACAAGTATTCAAATAAAAATCTTTCTCTCATAACTTATTTTACTATCAAATTTTTCATTATAGATATTAATTAATCCAGTTTTATCATTTAATCAAATTTATATTGAATAAAGATCTAAATTTTGTTCTTTATCACTTTCTTCAAATAAACTTTAGTATTATTTATACTTATATTCAACTTAAAATCTTTAAGTAATTTAGATATTTTGAGTTGATCTTTAACAAGTTATAACTTGTAAATGAATATAACTTATTTATCATTTGTATTTTAAATTAATACATTTTATTCATTTTACACATACCTAACTTCAAAATCTATATTATTAGTAATTAAATAACACTCGTTTTAAAATAAAGCTTAATTATAATAAATGAGTACTAGTAGATATGTTTCAAAGAAGCTTCAGCCATATATTACATCTAAGACAGAACTGAGCTAACAACTTGAAAAACTCTAGGCAGAGTAAAAGGAAGAGGAAAGATTAAATGATATATACTTTGATTAATTGGGAAAACTGGAAAAGGTAAAAATGATTATCATCAAAGGAATATGATACTCTTGTCCATATTATGGAAGAATATGGTAAGCGGACCTCTGTTAAATAGAGTGGAGATACAGATTAAGCTTAAAACTTAGATTCTAGAATTGAAAAAGCAGTTATTGAGACTTTAAATTTATATTTGCTTGCAAATAGTAGAAAAGAATAATTAGAAGCTTTATAAGAAAGAGAAATTGCTAAAAAATAATCTCCTATGAATCTAACATTAGGCAAGAATGCCATAATTGAGTAAAAAATAGATGGGTTAGATGATGAATTAAATGAAGATGAATATGGTTATTATGTAACTTTATAATCTGAAGATACTTCTATGGATGTTAAAATACCTGCAACAATTAAAACCTTTAAAGATTTGAAATAGATTATTAAATCTTGTTTTATGCTAGAAGAAAATGAAATATATTGCACAGATCAGATGGGTAATCTATTCTAAGAAAACATGATTTTATTAGATTAAATTTATCCTCCTCTCTATGATTTGATGAAAAATTATTAACCAATAATTGGAATCTAAATAGTCAAGTAACTTAAACTCAGAGAAGCTATTCAAAGTGGAGATGAAAGTTTATTATCAGATGATGGTGCAAGATATTTCATTAAAAGATTAAAAATGACTAAACCCGTTGAAAAAAAAATTAATTGGAATATATATCTAGGTTATTTAAACAGTTTTAAATATTTTGTTGAAACAGTTTTGTTTCTTATGGTTCTAGGCTTATTTTTAGTTGTCGAAATAGATTAAGTTAAATTCACTACAAGTTCTTCTTTAATTACTTCATTTGCAAAATAAATGTAAATTTCTAAATCATTTGTATCACCAATCAAAAATATATCATAGATTATTAATCAAACACTTACCTACACTACAGATAATCATAAATTTCCTACATATCCTTTAATATCTGGATTGTTAATCTAAACACTTGTTAAATAAGTAAATTTTATTATCATTATTATCTAGGAAAATATGCAAGATTGCTCAATTCTAAATAATAATCAAAAAAAATTATTTAGTGATAAAAATTAAAGTTGCTTAGATTTTTCCACTGTTCTAACAAACGATTTATCAGAACAATATGAATACACCAACTTTAATCCATCTATCTATAATTAATAATTTGAAGGATATGTATGGGAATTGAATTTATCATCCAAAGAAGAATTTAATTAAAATATTGAATTACTCCTCTAAAAAGATTGGATTAAATATAATATTAAATCATCAAAATTTATTTTAAACTACTTCAATTCTCCTACAAAAAGACTAATATAAGTTGTTATTACTACTATTTACTTATTTAATGATGTAACTATATTCTTAATTTTAGATTTTGCTAAATTTTAATAGTATTTCCTTAGAATCTTTTGATCTTAATAAATCTACTGAAACTGAACAATTTTATGATGAAATATTATTTTATTTATCTATTTTACTATTGTCCTCATCATTATTAGGTAAGAATTTATTATTTTATGTTTAGACTTTTTTGGAATATTTTTAAAAACATCTGATAATTCTTTTATTTTATTATATTAGTCCTATTGTGATTTAATAAACAAATAAAAAAAGTTGTAATCTAAAAAAAAAGATTTAACAACCGTAGAGTTGTAAGAATTAAGGTAGAAAGAACTGATAGTTGGAGAATACTTTATTTTTAATATATCTGTTGTTTATATTGTGATTAAAGTTCCGTTAATTTTTGACTTTATTTGTAAAAATAACAGATATCTTAGACATATTATCAAATATAGCCATTTTGGTTAGGGGAACAATTTAAGAAATATATACAAATGCCTTAGATGAAATTTAAATAAATTCTAAAGAATTTTAAGATGCATCTAAATTAATTGCTCCAGCATTTTTATTGAGATTATTTACTGGAGCTTTAGTTTTATTTTTGATGGCTTCAATAATTCGATTTTTAGGAAATTGGAGTCCATATCTTAAATGTTATGGATTAGTAATGATAAGAGTAAACTATTTAATACTTATAATAGTTCAATAAATAATCTTCATTTTTACTATTAGTTCTCATATTTATCATTAGCATAAGTGCAATGTCATGGTCTATAACAATCCAAGGCAAATTAATAGGATAAGATAATTTCTTCTATAATTTCATCGGATTATTAAGGTGCACCTTAAAATATGGTATGCATAATGATTTAGGAGAATAAGGGTTAGAAAATAATTATTAAAAACAAATTAGTTTTTCTTTTGAAACTAGATATGTATTAAATATTTTAATTACAAGCTACAATACCTGATAATTTTAGTTATATCTTTCATAATGATTCCAATATTCATTTCACTAATGACATAACAAGTACACAACACGAAATTAGAAGCTGAATAAAAGATGATAGAAATGGAGAGAGAGTAAGAGGAAGAAAAATAAAAATAAAAATAAAAATGATTTTACTTTATTTCAATGGTATAATTAAATTTAATAATAATTATAATAATAAATCAAAAAATAAACTAATATTTTAACAAATGACTTGATAAAAATAATTTCAATCATTTATTTTTAAATTCAATTTATGGATTTGAATCATAGTTAATTTTTTTGTCCTAGTTTTTCTATATGAAGGATTTAATTAAAAATTATAATTAATTTTTCAGAAACAACTCTTTAATTTAAGAGTTTTTTGAAAAATGTAGAAGAACAAATTTTTAAGGAATTTTTATATTACATTAACAATGAATTAAAGCTTTACCTTAATTTATTTAAACTGAAATATGTTCCTCCAAACATTAAACATGGTAATTGTGTAAACAACTCAATTAAATCGAATCAGATTCTACTTAATTATAACAATATAAGCAATTGAATAATTTTGTTGCTGCTTCGGTTAATAGAATTTAGCTTGAAGTCTAAGAAAATTATGTAGCTTATAGATTTAATTTTATTTTTTATGGACTCTCTGATATAGCTATTATTTATTATTAGTTCTAAATCATTGATACAGATCCTTTAATAATGCTTTCTAAAAATATTAAAAATATAAAAGTTACCCTTTTAATTATTTGATGTTTAATTATACATGCTTTGACATTGTTTTTAATTAGTTTAGTCATTGTTTGCTTATAATTTATTTTGTAAGATTTGCTTTCCAGAAATTTATTAAAGACTATTTTTAGAGGTTTGTTTGTTATCTTATGAAATAATACTTTTTTTTGGATTCAATTATTCTTATTTGGTTTTGTTATCTGTCTATTTGATTGAATTTGAAAAATGCAATTGATATACTAAAAAATATCCTAATTTTTTTACTTTAAAGACTTTAGGAGTTTTAAGGGTCGAGATCATTTCTAGAATATTAATTATTTATTCCTAACTTTTCTTAACTTAAGTGTTAATTCTGAATTTAGTTTTATATTAATTTTGAACTTTTGTTTCTTCTATCGTTGATTATATTTGAGGGAGAACCTATTATATTTATATTTTTGCTTTATTCCTATATTGATAATTTTGTTCCTTTTAATAATTTATTTGAATTTAATAATTCATTTTGAGCTTTAAATTATCTCTATAAGCTATCACCAATATTATTGATTGTTGAATTAGAATTTTTTTAGTTGAAATTTCCTACTTTGATTTGTGATTAATTTAAACACTTATTGTTTCGAAGGCTATCAACTACAAATTAAGAATGAAGAAATACAATTTATATCTTTTAAATTGGTTCGTTTTTCTAAGTCTATTTATTTATCTACTTTTGACATGGTGCTCATAATTGTATATTTAGAATAATTATATAATATTTAACATAAATGAAAATAGCAATTAACATAATCACATTTTACATTAAAAGCCAATTAAAACACCGCTAATAATTGATAAAACAACTAATCCCATAAAATTTAGCATAATGATATCCTTTGATAATTGATAAAAATAATACAAAAAATTCTGGAAATAAATAACAAGCAGAATAAGTTAAGAATATTTCAGTATGTCCTATAATACAGCGCTGAATAATTTGAGATATATTACATCTTTATATTTATCTGAATACATTTCCATATAATTATTTACGCTGAGTAAAAGTGATGTAAGAAATCCATGTTAAAACACAATAATAGGGAATGCTAAATATATTAATTGATCAGCAATAATTTATGTTTTTGAGGTAGATACATGAGTTGATCCAATAGAACTAAATATTCTTCCTGCAACCCAAGTTTGAAAACTCAAAGTTAAAAAGGCTTTGTAAGCAAAAAGTAATTAAAAAGTAGCAAAGATGATAGAGAGTATAAAACATGGTTTAGTTGGCACTAATATTAATAAATAATAAATATTACTTGTATTAGAAATAAACATGGATAGTATTTGATTGTGATAGTATCGAAGAAATTTATCTAACATAAGAATTTCTTTATAAATTTAAATTAAAAAAAAAATGTCAGAAGAATAAATGAATGAAACAAAAGAGGCAGCTGAACCATACAAACCTGTTGATTTTAAAGGAGATTAATAAAATGATGAATAAAAAGTAGTACAACCTAGTTATGGAAATGATGATATTCCAATAGGAAAATCTTCAAATAAATAAATGATTGATGAATATCCTCCAGAAGGTTATGTTCCTAAAAAGGCAGCACCAAAAAAGGCAGCTAAAAAACCAGTAGCTCCTCCTGTTGAAAATGATGAACCAAAAGTTGTAGTAAACCCAGATGAAATTCCACTTAAACCTGCAGGATAAAATGTATTAGATGATTAGCCTGTTGGAGGAGGTAAGAAGTTTGCAATTAGTGAATATCCTGAAGGAATGGAAGGAGGAGGGGAAGATGTTTAATAAACAGTTCTACCACTTGCTTAACGTTTAAAATCAAAAGCATGGAAGTTGAGATAAAGTGCATTTGAAGAAATGGCAGAGCTCTTTTAAAAAGATGAATCTATTGATGAATATTATGAAGAATGGCCTAAATTAATTAATGATAATAATCCTGGAAGTTAAGAAAAAGCATTAATAGCATTATAAATATTTATTGCAAAATCTAATAAGGGTTAATTTGCAGCAAGATTTGATGCAAAAGAAACTATTCGTATGTTAATTGATAAATGTATTGCTCCAGGAAAAAAATAAATTGTTAAACTTAGTTATGAAATCTTTTTTGATATTTTTGAAAGAAGAGATAAATAAGAAATGTTTGATGTTGTTGTTGAAATGTTAAAGAATAAAGTTTAAAAAGTTTAATGTGCAGCAATTCAAAGTTTAATTGAATTATTAATTACATTTGGTCCAAAAAGATTAGATTATTTAAAACCTTTCTTTCCAGAAATAGAGAAATTATCATAATCAACAGTTTCATCAATTAAAACAGAATGCATGAATTTTTATAAAGAAGCACATAAATGGCTAGGTGAACCAATATTAGCACCATTTATAAAAGGATTAAAAAAATTATAATTAGAAGAATTAGAGAAATTTTAAAAAGAATGGTAACCTATTCCAATGGTACCAACAAGAGGAGGAGATGCTGTAACTGTTGGATAAGGAGGGGGAGCTAATAATGGATTAGATGCATACGATTTAGTAGATGCATATGATATATTTAATAAATATAATGAAAAATGGTGTGATAAAGTTTTAGCATAAACTAAATGGAATGAAAAATAAGCATTATTAGATTAATTATTAAAAGAAGCTGCTACTCCTAAAATTGCTACTGGTAATTATGTACCTATGATTGCTATGATTAAAAAATTATTAGTTGATTCTAATCAAGTTATTAATGTATGTGCTATTAAATTATGTGGAGCATTTGTTAAAGGACTTCGTAAAAATTTTACTGCTTAAGCTAAATTATTATTCCCACTTTTAATAGTTAAATTAAGAGAAAAAAAAAATATTTGCTAAGAAGCTAGAGCAGCTATGGAATTATTTCATTATTCTTTATAAGTTGAAGATGTTGTAGAAGATTTTAAAGAAGGATTAGCAGATAAGAATCCTTAAATGAGAGCTTAGTGTCTTTTATTATTTGCTAAACTTGTTTAATTAAAAGGATTTCCATAAGGAGCACCTAAACCTAAATTTGTTGATTGTGTTAAATAATTATTACCATTAGCTAAAAAACTTATTGAAGATAGTGTACCTGATGTTAGAGAAGCTTCTGTATAAAGTTTAGGTACACTCAAACCTTATTTATCAGATTAATTGATTAATACCTTTTATGGTGATATTGGATAATAAAAATTGAGTAAAATCAATGAAATTTCAAGTTAAATTGAAGAGGAAAAAAAGAAGGAATAAATCAAAAAATAACCTCCATAAAGTAAAGAATAATAAAATGCTTCATAAATTCAATAATCGAATATATAAAATAATAATACACAATAAGGAAATGCTAAAAAACCTCCACTTTCTTAAAAAAGTACTATTGTTATTACTGAACAACCTGAATAAAGTATTGATCAATTAGAAAATTTATTAAGAAATTACGGAGTTGATGATTTATTTTTTGAAAATATTAATGGTATGGCTAAATTAAAAGCTGAAGCTATCAAAATGTTAGAAAATGAAACTGATACAATGCTCAATCATTTTGAAGATATTTTGAATTTCTTAAAAATCAAATTAAAGGATTGGAAAGAAGCCAATCTTTCAATTAATAAAGAACTGTTTTCTCTTTTGATTTATGCTAATAACTTAGATCCTAAACCATTTACTCAAAAATCATTTCAACCATTGTGCAAATTATTGGTTGAAAAAATGACTGATTCTAAATTTAGAGAAGATATATATATTATTTTAAAAGGATGTTGTGAATGTGTGAATCCTAAATATATTGTATTATACTTGATTACTCAAGCTATTCCTAAAGAAGACAAAGAAAATGGAAAAGTTGTGATTGTACCACCTTAAAAGATAGGAGAAATCATTAACAACATTTCAAAAATAATAGATATTGTAACAATTAGAAATGTACCTACAAAAGAAATTATAGATTTTGGGAAAGAATAATTACAATCAACGAATGCAATAATTAAAAATTCATGTGTAGAATTATTCAAAACTATTTATAAATACATTGGTTAAGAATTATTATAATTTTTATCTGATGTATAACCTCCTGTTATGAAAACACTTAATTCTGAATTTGAAAAAATAACAGTCTTAACATCTTATGAACCAACCATTACTTTTATAGGAGAAGCTGCAAAGGAATGTGGAGTGATATAATCTTAACCACTTTCCTAATCAATAATGTAATCAACAATATCATCTTTAAATGATAATTTACCTAGGACTGACATTTCAAATTAGTTATAATCTGTTTTAAAGAAAATGGCAGATGTTTAATGGAATAAAAGAAAAGAAGGAATCGAAGAATTAGAAAAAATCTTGACACATAATAATAATAGAATATAAATTAATGGATTAAATGATTTAATCAATATGTTGAAATAAAGATTAAATGATAACAATAAATAATTAGTTAGACCTATAGTGTAAATTGTTGGTAGAGTAGCTGAAGCTTGTGGGAAAGACTTTAAATCATCTGGAAAATAATTGATTTAACCACTAATATCAATACTTAGTGATAAATAGGTGTTAGTTAGATAAGATGTTGTTGCTAGTTTAGATAAATTTTGCTTAGCTATAGGTATTGATTAAGTGATTCTGTAAATGCCACCTTATTTATAAATGGAATCTATTGAACTCAAATAAGAAGTTTTGTTATTCATTATGAAATATATTGAAGCTTTGCTTAAAATGGATTATAAGCCATTCATTTTACCATTAATTAATTGTCTTTGTGATAGAGTCAAAGAAGTTAGATAAGCAGCAGAATAAGTTTGTGAACGAATGGTTGAAGACGTTGGAATTGATCCATTTTTAAATTAGATGAAAGACCTTAAACCAGCTGTTGTTTAATAAGTGAAATTGTTTTTTGCAAAATTTGGAATTACAGAATTAGAAGAACCATCAAAAAGGACAGGTAAAACACCAAAAGGAAAATAATAATAATAGTAGTTGTAATAACAAGATTTAAGAAATATGAAAAGAAATTTGACCACAAAAGATTTACAAAATGACTTAAATACATCTTAAGAACCAAAATAAAGAAATGAAAGAACTCCAAAGAAATCTTTACATTAAAAATCTCATAAAACGCTACCTTAAGATAATACACCATTAAGACAATAAAAAGAAAAAGCAATATTCCATGATAGTAACAGTTTGATTGCAAAAGGTGCTAGTATCAAAGAAATGAAACTATTAAGATTATAGTCAGATTAAATCTAATGGTGGGCAAATGATTGTTTTCCAAACAATTGCTTTAGTGATTTCTATGTATGTTTAAGAGAGGATCTTTACAATCAATTGATGTCATATAATTATAAAGATGTTATGAAAGGTTTACAATAATTAATGTCTATTTGGAATGATCCTGAATAAAAACAAGACATTATTGAATTAAGTGATTTATTGCTTAAATTTGTTCTTGTTAAAATTTATGGATGCTCTGCTAATCAATTATTAATAAATGCTTTGATTAGTTTTTTAGATGCTTTCTTTTTAATTATTTCAAAATCAAGGTATATCCTAACAGAAGTAGAATAGATTGTGACTATTTCTTTAATTAGAGAATTGATCTATGCTGGAGTTGATGTTCATCCAGAATTGATAATAAATCTTCAATCTGTATTCCCTGCTGAAATTATGATTAAACGACTTTTACTTTTGTTTAGTATCAATCCATCAAGTTTGCATCCATTCTTAATTGATTAAAAGGAAAGAAATGATGCTTAATTATGCAATTTGATCATCTAAGGTTAATTGACTAAATTCTTTCCTTTAGATCTATTCCCAGAATACTCTTAGTATTTCACTAAAGAGTTATAAAATGAACTCATAGCTTTATTTGGAGATAATACCATTAGAAGATATACCTAATAATAGTAAATCTATCAATAATAGCCATAAGCATAATAACAACAAGTAATTTAATAATCTCAATAATAATAATTGGCTTCACAATAATAATACTAAATAAGTAAATAACCAATTGTCTAAGGAACTGTTCAATTATAATCAAATAAAGATCCGAGATCATAGTATTTTTTATAAATTCTAGATTCTCTATTGAGCTAATAAACTTCTCAAAAAATAGAATCTTTAATGTAAATCAGTGATCTGCTCACTTAAAACATTTAATAAAATTAATAGTTATTTGTTGATAATGCTGAGGCAATTTGCAAATGTTTCCAAACTTTATTATAGAATACTTTTACTTAAAGGGATACATATCCTGCTTAGTTTATATAGTTTTTCTTATAAGCCTTAGGTAAATTGTATTAATTAAAGCCATATGTAAATTAATTACCATATGAATTATTATGCGGATTCACAGAAGAAATTATGTAAAGACTATTAACAGAAGATGAAATAAAAACTTAGCATGAAAATGGAGACACTACTGTTAAATAACTAAATTCTACAACCTTACGAATTTTGGAAAACACAAGTTAAGATATTATGTTTTCTATTTTATTTGATATTTTAACTAAACATAGACGTCGAAACAATACATCTAAAATGATAGGTTTACTTGTTAAATGCATAGCTAGATTAACTGCAAAAGTAGAATAGAATAGTAATATAAAGATTGAATTACTTCTTCTTAAATTTCATAACTATCTAAATGAGTTTTAACTTTATCCTAACTTTGCAGTTGATGAATAAGGTGTTAAAACAATAAAGGTAGTGCTCCAACAATTAGTTAAAATGAGAGGAGAAACTATTTGGGAAAACTATCATCTAGTTAGTAGAAGTACTTAATAAGATCAATATCTTAATAAATGGATTTAAGCTTATTTAGGTAATCCTTCCTTATAAAATGGCTAATAAGAAAATAATCTTCCTGATCAAGAATTTTTATAGATAGCAGAAATGTTAAGATAACCTCTATCATTAGACACTGGAATTCAAAAAATGGTTGAAAAAATTAAAAGAAATCCAAGTATAATATATTTCATATTTTATAGCAATCTAATGGTAAAAATACGTATAAGATTAATAAATTTAACTAATTATTTAATAGTAACTAACTAATGGATAAGTACCTATTCTTGGAGGTTTTATGAGCAATCAATCGTAATTATAGTAACCTTAGTTATAATAATTATCTTTATAATAATCACAATTACAATAAAGCTAATTATAATAGCCTTAATTATCTGTTAGACCTTCCTTATAATAGCAACAATAATAAGCGCAGTAATAACAGTAATAGCAATAATAATAAATGATGGCCTAATTACCTTATCCAAGAACAACAAGAGCTGTTGATCAATAATAATATAATGATTCTCTAAATGGTTAGTAATTCAATCAATACATGTCTGTTAATTAATATTCAATAAATTAAAATTAATTAGGATAATCTTAATAATAAAATGTAAAGACTCCTGAATATTTAATGTAAAAATTAACTGATATGAAAAATAAAGTACAAACTCTTGTAGGTCCAAACAATGTTTAACAAGCATAAAATCCTAGATAACGTCTACCTTAATGAACATCAATTATAATAAATAATTTATTATTCAAATGCTACGATTACTTTTTATTTTTTTAAATATTCAATTATATCTATTTCTTCAAAACTTTTAATCTATAAAATTATAATAATAATTTATTGTTTCTTATTTACATACTTTATTTATCATATATATGTTTTTATGCTTTCTAAATACCAACACTTTTCTTTTCTAATTAGGCAAATAAAATAAATTATTCATAAAAAACATGAGATTTGGAAAAATATTATTCAAAAAAATATGGATTTTAGATTTAATTATTTATGAGGACTTAATTGTGATTAAACTTACTTAAAATTCAAAATCAATAACTGTGTGAATTTTTAATTAGATTATTTATAGTAGGGTTAGATATTAATATTGGTGAAATATTTGTTTATTATTTTTAACCAAAATTTATTTCCATTCAATTCATTTCAGCAATCTAAATTTTTTATTTTTCTTACTTTATTTGTGAAAAATAAAAAACTATGTTATTTAAAAAATGCAAAATTTTCTTAAATATAATTTTAGTTTTCTAATAATAATTAAAGAAGAGAGGCACTTTGTTAAAATAGATCAGTAAATATTAAATAAACAGTCTAATTCTTAAAAATCAAAAATTATTAAAAATAAATTTTAAGTTAAAGACTAATAATAAAAAAATTGATCCAAAAATTGAATTTAATTAAGGTGTTTTATCTGATTATTTGAAAAGTAAAGTATTTATCAAAATAAAAGGCTTTTTAGGAATGATTTTAATTATTGAAATAAAAATAACAGCTTATTAATGATTTAAAATCTCTAGGACTATGCATAATAATTAGTGAATATCTCAATATCAGATGAAGAAGATATCAATGATTGTTCACCTATCAAATAATCTACTTTTCAGAATGGTATTATCCAAAGTTAAGCAAAAAAATCAGTAGCAGCTTCAACGAAAGGTTTAGCAAAATCTACTAGTTCAAAAACAACTAAAAGTATTATAATATTATATATTAAAAGAACAAGGTGGAGTTAAGTCAAGTAATGATAAAAATAAAGAAATGAAAGAACAATTTGAGGAATAAGCTAAATAATTAAAATGGTATTAAGAAGAGTATTAAAGATTAAAAGATCAAAAGAAATAATTTAAGGAAGGGAAGACTTAATATGTATTTAAATGCATCATTTGATTATTATTATAGCTTCTAACGATCAATACTTATAAAACAAAATTAGAGTAAAGTATAGGTAATTAAAAACGACTCCATTAATAATTAAATGAATAGATGGATGTTACAAGATAAGCCTTTAAATAGGCTAATGACGCATAAATAGGATTGGAATAGAGCAAATAAAATTTCTCATAATAATTATAAATAGAAGGCCTTACTAAATAGAGGTAAAGGGAGGACTTAGAATATTAATCCTAAAAGAAACTTGATCAATCAGTTAAATAAGCTATTGCTAATGCAGAAAGCAAATATGAATTGAGAATTCGTTAAATGAATAAGGAACTTAATGTTTTGCGATAAGAAAATATTGAACTACATAAAAGGCTTATGCAGAATGAAACTAATAAAAAACACATTTAAGTTTAAAGCGAATTAGATTCGTTGAAAACTTAAAATTTAACTACTAAAGGATGATTGATATTTAAACTATTATTGTTTANTTAAATATAATTTTAGTTTTCTAATAATAATTAAAGAAGAGAGGCACTTTGTTAAAATAGATCAGTAAATATTAAATAAACAGTCTAATTCTTAAAAATCAAAAATTATTAAAAATAAATTTTAAGTTAAAGACTAATAATAAAAAAATTGATCCAAAAATTGAATTTAATTAAGGTGTTTTATCTGATTATTTGAAAAGTAAAGTATTTATCAAAATAAAAGGCTTTTTAGGAATGATTTTAATTATTGAAATAAAAATAACAGCTTATTAATGATTTAAAATCTCTAGGACTATGCATAATAATTAGTGAATATCTCAATATCAGATGAAGAAGATATCAATGATTGTTCACCTATCAAATAATCTACTTTTCAGAATGGTATTATCCAAAGTTAAGCAAAAAAATCAGTAGCAGCTTCAACGAAAGGTTTAGCAAAATCTACTAGTTCAAAAACAACTAAAAGTATTATAATATTATATATTAAAAGAACAAGGTGGAGTTAAGTCAAGTAATGATAAAAATAAAGAAATGAAAGAACAATTTGAGGAATAAGCTAAATAATTAAAATGGTATTAAGAAGAGTATTAAAGATTAAAAGATCAAAAGAAATAATTTAAGGAAGGGAAGACTTAATATGTATTTAAATGCATCATTTGATTATTATTATAGCTTCTAACGATCAATACTTATAAAACAAAATTAGAGTAAAGTATAGGTAATTAAAAACGACTCCATTAATAATTAAATGAATAGATGGATGTTACAAGATAAGCCTTTAAATAGGCTAATGACGCATAAATAGGATTGGAATAGAGCAAATAAAATTTCTCATAATAATTATAAATAGAAGGCCTTACTAAATAGAGGTAAAGGGAGGACTTAGAATATTAATCCTAAAAGAAACTTGATCAATCAGTTAAATAAGCTATTGCTAATGCAGAAAGCAAATATGAATTGAGAATTCGTTAAATGAATAAGGAACTTAATGTTTTGCGATAAGAAAATATTGAACTACATAAAAGGCTTATGCAGAATGAAACTAATAAAAAACACATTTAAGTTTAAAGCGAATTAGATTCGTTGAAAACTTAAAATTTAACTACTAAAGGATGATTGATATTTAAACTATTATTGTTTAATCCAGTATTTTTTATCTATTACTAAATATCCTTAAAAATTAGTTAAGTTTATATTAATTAAAATCAAAAATATAAGTTCATATTTATACATCATTATAAAATAATTCTAAATTTGACTATTGTCAATTCTCTAAATAAAAGTATTATTTAATGTTATATATTAAGAGAGGGATGAATCCAATCACATAAATTACTATTATGGATACAATCATTAAAGTGATAATTAATGGTGAAAATGCTATTATCATTGTATTATTGCAATAACTAGCATTATTTTTGACAAGATTATAAACCCATTTCGATACCTATATTAACTAATGTAAGGCAATGTATATTCCTAATACTATAATGAATCCACAAGCTAAAAATGCAACAATGAAAACTACCGCTAAATAAAATAGTAAAATAAATATCATTTTAAATGATAACTACTAAATTACATTAGCAAAAATGTGAAAAATATTTTTTACTTTTTTTTTGCAGGGGATGCACGTCAAAGTTTCTGAATTTGAAATTGATTCAAACAATTCCAAAGGCCTTTTGCAATCCAAGCAAAAAAAATGATTACATAAATAACATTATTGCCAATTTACCTTATATTTTCTGCATATGTCATTATTTTATGAACAATTATTTGGTTCTGAAAGTATACCGCAATATGGACATTTTAAGAGCTTTTATTCTTTTATATATTTTTAAAAGAGCTTATCAAAATCACATTTTCCATCATGCTTTGTCCAACAAATTCCACAAAACTATTTTTTACACATTCCACATTGATTGAGATTATTATATTAAAAAATATTTAATTGCTGCAAATTGTTATAAGGTTATAAAATAAACTTTGCTTTGCATTTTTTTTAGTAACAAAATTAATTATATGAAAATTTATTCCAATTTTTAACCTCATTGTACTGTAAATACTAAAAAGTTAAATAATCATTTATCTCAAATTTGCAATTCTAAAAAGGACACATTAATTTTTAGAAATTAGCATTATTTAAATTTATATAAAAACTTAAGCATAAGTCACAACAATAATGTTTACAAAAGTTTAATTTTATTAAAATAGTATTCGGAGATGAGCATATATTGCATTCACCATATTCTAAATTATAAAATTTTCCTTAATTTAATATTTCTATTTCAATTTCTTTACTGTATTTACAATCCTGAAAAGTTCCTAAATTCTATTTATCGATTTTTTAAAAAGAATTAATAGTATCATTGCAAAACTAACAAATATTTAGTTCTCTTTCAAGGGTAGAATAATTCAAAAGTGGAATATTTTATTAATCGCACAAATTACATGCTTAATTAGAGTTTGATTTTTCGTGTTATTCTTGTTATTCCTGTTGAATTGTTACAGATATTTCAACCTGATATTATTTATTTTCCTCATTTTCATCATTAATTAGAATAGCTTAATCCATAATATTTGATTTATAATTTTTAGAATGCTTAAAAATAATTTTTTAATTAAAATGTTTTTTAAATAATATGTGATTTGAAGAATATTTATATTTATCTAAAATTATAATAGATTCTCATTTTTTAAACCCACTTTATGGTCTTCTAGCATTTTTTTTAATTGCTGATTACAATCTAACTTTATTGGGATTAGATGGAGGATTTAAGATGGCTTCTTTATTGATTATAGAAGGATCTTCAATATATACATTGGCTTATTTTTCATTTTATATCATTTATTGTTCTTCCTAATAATAATATAAATATTATTACTTCGTCTTCATTCAAAGCCACATTTAATACTTCTTATATTTTTTATGAAGGTTCATGAGAAAAATCTTCAGTCATTCTTTAAGGTAAATCTAGATCAGTTTATAAAATATTTTCTGGCCTATACCTAGGATTAGCATCTCCAAAACTGATTGCCATTTTTGAATAATTACATATAGGTCTTTTGAAGAAAAATGCAGAGGCTGGTTTTTTTAAAGGATTTGCTTCAAATTCTTTAATAGCCCAATCATCTTGTTCTTCTGAAAATTCTAATTTTTCTCTCAATCTCTTTTCTAGATATATATATATAAAATGAAATACCTTCCTCTTCTGGAATGAAATGTTCTATGATTAAATTCATTAGATTTAATTGTCTTAAAGACTCTCTATTGTCTTCAATTAATTCTTCTTTTTATCTCTATCTAAATTAAGTTTATTCTTAAGCTTAACTTTTGAGTTCCTTAATTTTTTAAATTAAATTATTTAATTTTTAAGTTTTAGCTTCAATCTCTTCTTTAGTTGAATTGTATTTCTATTCTTATTCAACTTACATAGCTTCTTTTTTAGCTAATTCTTCTGCTTATCGTCTGGCTTGTTAAGATCTCTCTTCTAATTCCATTCTTGCTTTAAGCAAATCTTTTTCTTTCTATCTTGATTCCTCTTTCATTTTATCACCATGTAATAATTATTCTTATAATTCCTATAATTTCTTATGCATGTTTTCTTATTCCTTTTTGAGATTATGCTCCAATTTCTATTTCTCTTTTAATTTTAACTATAATTGTTTTTTCTCCTCTTCCTATAATGTACTTTGTCTTCTTTGTTACATAATCTACTATTCTAAATCAGCTTTTTCTTTTTATGCCTTTTATTGTAGCTCAGTTAATTCTTCATCATCTTCAACTTCAATAACTTCTTCTTTTATTTTTTAAATTTATCCATTTGGTCCAACAACACCACCTGCTTTTCTTGCTAATTAATCTTTTAATTTATTAATTTATTCTTAAAATTCTCTTATCATAGCATCTTTTGGATCTTCATTAATTTTTGGATTATTTTAAATTTTCTTAGCTCTACTTGCATATCTTAAAGTAGACATAGTTTCATCAAAATTATAATCAGCTGGACCAATATTGGCAACCATAACAGTTTTTGTATTACCACCCAAAGAGTCTTACAATAAACGAGTTAATTTAGAATCTCTATAAGGAATATGTTGACTTTTTCCATCAACCAATGCTGTTATCACATTACCAAGTGTTGTTAAACTCAAATTTATGTTTATAGCTTCTTCAAATCTTACTCCAACTGCTTATGTTTTTGATTATCTTTCACTACCAGCTAAATCAACAAGGTTTAATTTTCCTGATTTAATGTGTTATTATAAATCTGCTCCTAATTCACTTGATTCAATAGTAAGTGTAAAAATTGAATGAGATCTAGATGATTCTTAATTCATTTTAGTCTCACCAACCTTTCTATTAGCTCTTCCAGCCTTTAACCATTCATTTAATTCAGCTACTGACTTAACAACTATTTTAGACAGATCCTTTACAAAAACACCCTATTCTGGTTTCTCTCTTAATTCTAATTTTGTAAGATGATTTGGACTCAACAAATCTCGAATTTCTTCATTGTACAATTCTAAATAAGAACATCTAACTAAAAATTGAATATTAGGTGTCCCCTCTATAACTTTTATAATATGATCAAAGGTTCTTGGAGTAATACCTCTTTCGTGAGGTGGATCATTTTTACCTTCCATTGTATGTGTTTTACCAGTACCAGTTTAACCATAAGCAAATACTGTTCCATTATAACTATGATATATTTCTCATTTACCCATCCATGACGCTTTCAACTATAGGCAAAGCTGTATTATGATAGACTTGTTCTTGTTGGGAATTCATGTCAAATACTTCATCAAAAACAAATGTTCTTTATGCTTCATTACCATCTCCTTTTATATTTTAAATTATAATTTCTTTTCTTGTTGTATCAACATCTACTATTCTTCTTCTGCCTTCCTCTATCTGAAAATAATATATTTAGCTTACTTCTTTACTTGACAATGGCCTAGCTCTTACAACCACTTTCACGCACTCTTTTCTTTTCATTACTTTTTATATATTAATTAATATTATTTTGGTTTTAAAATTAAAATAAAATCACAGACAAACCTCATAATTTCTTATTTTATAAAAATAAAAATGTTGGATTATCATATTATTTTTGTCTTCTTGTGTTTTTAGAAATTAGCATACTTAATAAAAATTTATAAAAGAAATTAATATGATCAATTTTTGTTAAAATTAAAAAAATTAATTGGATGCTTTTTAAAATCTTAATGCATTTGATAAAATTTTAAGCAATTGTATTATGATTATGTTCAAAACTACATTCAATATTTATGTTAAGAAAGTTTTCAGAATTTAGAATTGATTTGATTTGTGGATTATTCATTAAAATTTGTTATCAAACTACAAAATACCACCCGTAATGAATATTTACGCATGTAAATTAATCAGATTAAGGATTCTGGAATATTTAATGTTTTTTGATATTTGAGAAGCAAACTTGGATAAACAACTGTTAAGAAGTTTATACATTGTGTTTTCATTGGTTAATTCTTGTAGAATTAGGATTTTTTTTTATTGAAATTTTAATTAAAGCAAAAGTATTGAATCTCAATTTAAATAACAAAATACATTAGCATAAAACAAATGACAGATAATACTAAAAAGGTATATATATATAAATTAATAATTTGTTTAGGAAGCACCACCAAAAAGACCCTAATGTGCATTCTTTATTTACAAATAGGAGGTGTACTAATAAGTCAAAGATGCTCATCCTGGCAAGAAAATGACCGATATCACAAAGATTATCTCTGAATAGTACAAACAACTTCCAAAAGATAAAATTGATTAATACGAATAAAAATACAAAGATAGCAAGGCTATATTTGAAAAAGATAAGAAGTTCTCATTTCTAAATATATTTTTAATAGAATCTATGAAGATAAATATGGAAAGATTAAGAATGAGAGAAAGAAAAAGAAGGAAGATGGTAAGGGAACCAAAAAAACTCAAAAGAAGTAAAAGAAATAAGAATCAGATGAAGACGAAAGTGGATCAGACGATGATTGAGGATTCATATTTAATATAAATAATTATTTTTATTATTGATCTAAATCTAAATCAAAAAGAAATCATACAAAAATGGAATTTGCTGATTAATAACTTGAAGTCCTTGAAGTATACTTTTAATTATTAAATGCCAATGATTCTTTATAAGTAAAAATTTCTAATTAAATAGAAAAGATCTCTGAAATAAAAATCAATGTTACTACAATTCCTTAAGAATCAAAACTTTTCCTTCAAATTGTTGAATTGGATCGAAGAAAGGGGTTAAATTAATATTATGATTAAATTAATTTGGTCATTTACATTCAAGACTTATCTTTATTCTTAAATCAAGCTCTTAATTAAATATTAGAAAAAAATTGCTTAAGTTGCAATAAGTTTAGAATTTTTGAGAATTTAGAATTATTTGCAATGATCAGTTTAAATTTTTTGGGAACTAGAAATAATTAAGACAGAATTTAATTAATTCTTTATTTAAAATTCAGAATCAAAAGATTAAATATCTTCTATTTTTAGTTTAAATGATCATGCTTGCTTTATTGCAGATGAGTTTTTTTTGATTTTAATAGAATTAATCAATTAGGCTTGATATTTTATTATAAGTCAATAGTGATTATGAGGAAATATCAAAGAAATCATATTTGAGACTTATTTTATGTTTAGAAATAGAAAAATTGAAACTTAACATGAAACAATTTAATAACAAACTTATTATATATACCAAAATAAATTTATTAATAATTAAGTGGGGCTTAATTTATTATTGAAGTAACAATTGAAAATCATTAAATAAGGAAAAGCAAAAGTATTAAAAGAGCTTTATTTAATTGACTAAAAACTATATAAAACCCAAAAAATTGAATGCCTCGATTTAGAAGATGAAAATGTTTCCTTTTTTTGATTGTTAAAAAAATATCATTTATTATAGAGTGCCTCTGATGTTTAATCTCAATGATATTTTAATAATTGATCATATATCTCAAACCATAATTTTCTTAAGGAATAGAATTGTTGGGGATAATAAAGGTTATTTTAGAATTCGAATTGATGAGAAAAATGAGTAAACATCAATTGATATTTGTTAAACAAATAATTTAAAACACTTAGGATTAATAATTCATTCAATTTAATAAAATATTATATTTATTGTAAATATATATTGGTCTCAAAAATAATAGAATTAATTTAAAAATTTTACTATATAAAATTTTTTGATAAAGAAAAAAGGATTAATTATAATTTAATATATAAAATGAGAAGAGAATAAGAAAAACCATAAGAAAATTAAAATGACCACCACATAATAACTTATCAAAATTTGCCTATTGAAATTCGTCAAAGAATTCATAAAGATTACTTTGCTTATAAAAAAAAGTTCGAATACTGGAAAACAAACTTTGAAAATTATATGTTTTAGAATGTTTCTAAGAATTAAATTATTCCAAAAGATATTTTAATAGAAAGCATTTAACATAATCTACAAGATGGTTTAGCCATAGAAACAAGCCAGAGAATTAATATGAAATAAGATTAACGTAAAAATTATTTATTAAGAACGATAGATTATTTAATGGGTTCTTTGAAAGAATTAAAATATTATAATGATACAAAATTAGATACTTTAAATATTTGTTCTGTTTACAATGAAAATTTGTGCCAACTTCATTTTGAAATAAGTTTACCTTATTAATTGAATGATCAAAACTTTGAGTTATTAAAAAAACAATTTCATAATAATACATTTCTTAATGGAAAATTAAAAACTTTGATTGAAAATGAAAATAGAAACAGTATTCTTCTTAGAGACATATCAGATCCTAACTATTAAACATTTGTAATTAATATTTAATATTTGATATTTAGGTAACTATTAAAGACTTTGTTAAAATAAATGAAGTTTAATGGTTTGCACTAGAAACTTATGAATAATATTAGAAAAAATAAAAATATTTTTCTATAAAAAATAACAATAAGTGAATTTTTTTAATAATCATAGTTAATAATTTAAATTTATAGAAAACTAAGATTAAGAGATGATATTTGTGGTTGGAGTTGTAAACTAAAACAATATTAATAAAAATATATTTGAATATATTTCTACTGAATTTTAGAGTAATGAAGAAAAAAAATAGAAAGAATAATTATAAAAAGACTTGAAAACTACAGAATAGGAACTTTCAAAGCATAATAATGCACTTCTTATTAAAATTGATATTTTTCATTTTGCTGTATTAGTCTATCCTAATCCTAATAATTCATACTGTTTAAGAAGTGAGGATCTAGAAAATTTAACTTTCTTTGATTCATTTCTACAATAAATTGAATTCTATGAAAATATTTTAGGCTAATTAAAATTTGTATAAAATAACTGGATAATCAATCAATTTCAAGATAATTAAATTCTTTTCTAAAAAGTTAATCGTTATCCTGACTTTTTTTAATTAAGAATTGGATAGACTATTTTAGTGAGAAGTAAGAAAGCAAGCCTAAATATAAGTATAAATTCAGTAGATTAAATTTATGATTGATGAGTAAAATATCACATTATTGAATGAAATAATAATATAATATAAATAATTAAACTTATATATTATTTATCAATCTATACTATGAAATTTAGGGTTTATTTTTGCCTGCTATATTTAAAATTAAATTTAAATCAAATAATTTGTTTATAAAAATTTTTTTCAATAAATAATACAGATTTTTCTTGTTAATTTTTTTATTCGTTTCATCCTAATTTAATCTACTGAATTTTATAATTTATTTTTTAAATGGGAGAGAAAATATCAATAATAAAAAAAATTGTAGTTATTTANAAATAGAAACAGTATTCTTCTTAGAGACATATCAGATCCTAACTATTAAACATTTGTAATTAATATTTAATATTTGATATTTAGGTAACTATTAAAGACTTTGTTAAAATAAATGAAGTTTAATGGTTTGCACTAGAAACTTATGAATAATATTAGAAAAAATAAAAATATTTTTCTATAAAAAATAACAATAAGTGAATTTTTTTAATAATCATAGTTAATAATTTAAATTTATAGAAAACTAAGATTAAGAGATGATATTTGTGGTTGGAGTTGTAAACTAAAACAATATTAATAAAAATATATTTGAATATATTTCTACTGAATTTTAGAGTAATGAAGAAAAAAAATAGAAAGAATAATTATAAAAAGACTTGAAAACTACAGAATAGGAACTTTCAAAGCATAATAATGCACTTCTTATTAAAATTGATATTTTTCATTTTGCTGTATTAGTCTATCCTAATCCTAATAATTCATACTGTTTAAGAAGTGAGGATCTAGAAAATTTAACTTTCTTTGATTCATTTCTACAATAAATTGAATTCTATGAAAATATTTTAGGCTAATTAAAATTTGTATAAAATAACTGGATAATCAATCAATTTCAAGATAATTAAATTCTTTTCTAAAAAGTTAATCGTTATCCTGACTTTTTTTAATTAAGAATTGGATAGACTATTTTAGTGAGAAGTAAGAAAGCAAGCCTAAATATAAGTATAAATTCAGTAGATTAAATTTATGATTGATGAGTAAAATATCACATTATTGAATGAAATAATAATATAATATAAATAATTAAACTTATATATTATTTATCAATCTATACTATGAAATTTAGGGTTTATTTTTGCCTGCTATATTTAAAATTAAATTTAAATCAAATAATTTGTTTATAAAAATTTTTTTCAATAAATAATACAGATTTTTCTTGTTAATTTTTTTATTCGTTTCATCCTAATTTAATCTACTGAATTTTATAATTTATTTTTTAAATGGGAGAGAAAATATCAATAATAAAAAAAATTGTAGTTATTTACTCTATAAATAAAAAGATTTTGATGATGATTTTTAATTAATGAAAGATTTTAATAATCGAAGAAACTAGTGGTGATGCATTAAATAAAGAAATATTTAAAAAATAAATAACAATATTAAAATCCCTAAGATAATGTCACTAAAGTAGTTTATAAATAAATATACAACCTTTTAATTATGAATGATAGATACAGATTATGTTAAACTAAAAATTTTAACTATTGGATCTAATTTTCACAAATGGTTATAGTGCCAAAAATAAATAATAAATCATTCAACATATCATGATTGCTTAATAAGGGACAAAATATATTTAGTATCACTCTCAAATAATATGCCAAATCTAATATGAAATTTTAGTATCTAACAATACTCGTATTGTATAATTTGTAATCTAAAGTTAAATGAACTTCCTTTTTCTCTTTTTGATTTTGGATAATTAGAAATTGTAATTATTATAAAATTTATGATTCAATGAAATAAACAATATAAAATTCTAAAAGAAAATTAGAATATATCGATTTATAGATCTCTAATTAATTAAAACACTTAGAGATTGCTAAAGATTCGTATTAGTTTAATATAAGGAATTAGCGAATTTTTATGCATAGCTTTAAATTAAAGTTTTATTCAGCCAAATTAACGAATATATAAATAAAAGATGGCAAAAAAATAGCGCTAGAGAAAACATTATTATAAAATTTAAGTTCTACAATTTTGAAGTCTCTAATTAAGAAAGGTATTTAAGCAATCAGATAGGCATAGAAATTGTGAATATTTAGTAATTTCGGATTATTTATCTGAGGTTATTACTATTTAGGCCAGATTACATATAAAAAGAATAGAAAAGTTAGAAAATTTTGTAATTCATTAGAAAAAATCAAGATCTTAAATAACATGATGTATTTTTATTTATATTTTTAAAGCAATAAATTAGCCAAAAAAAAAAAATATTAGAAAATTTTGCGTTTGTTAACTACTCTTCACGAAATTCTTATATATTTTCAAGAGAAAATTATCTATTCTAATTTAATATAGCAACTGGATAAATCAGAGTAGGATTATTTTATGATAAATTAAGCAAAATTTGGACTAGATTTATTTCTTTTATAGTTAATCACTTATAATGTTAGCCTAACTTTGTTGCATAAAGTTTATTTTTATTTTTTTTTAATTAATTCATGAACAATCAATCATTTGGTTAGTCTGAATGATTAATTTGAGTAAAATGTAATTATTTATTTTTATATAAAATAAAAATAAACAAGTTGATTTGTCAGTACAAACATATTTTTATTGTAATTTATCAGATTTTTTTATGATAGATTAACTCTAATAACGAGAAATATATTATGTGAGGATATGAATATAATAATAACTTAATATTAAATCAAACTTAGAAGGATTTTAAGTCGTCTGCCACTGTTAATTCAAAACCAGTGTTTGCTCTGACCCATTCAAGGGTAGTGTCACTTGCAATTTCTGTTAATACTAATTGTCCATCTCTTTTAACAAAGACAGCCTTATCTAAACAAATAAACTAGTTTAATACCTGTAACGACTTAGCTAACTTTATTCATTCCTGTTGCTGGATATTATAATTCTTTAACAAATTTGACTTCTCCTTTAGCGGTATGTTCCATAACAACAAGTACTTTAGATCCTGATGCAACTAAATCCATAGCTCCTCCCATTCCTTTAACCATTTTTCCTGGAATGACCCAATTAGCAATATCCCCTTATTTTGTAATTTGCATAGCTCCCAAAACAGTCATATCCAAATGTCCTCCTCTGATTATACCAAATGATTCACTGCTTTCAAAAGTAGTTGCTCCTGGGTTGAGAGTACATGATTCTTTTCCTGCATTTGAAAGATCTCCTAATTCTTAACCTAATTTAGGATAGGGACCAACTCCAATAGCTCCTATTTCTGTATGGAAATGAATAGTCATGCTTTTATCAAGGAAAGCAGGAATAAGAGTAGGAATTCCAATACCCAAATTTACATACATTCCATCTTTAAATTCTTAAGCTGCTCTTTTAGCAATTCTGTTTCTTGTTGAATTTAATTTCCCTTAAGGTTTGATATCTATAAAATTATTTCAATTTTATACCTTTATGTTTATCATAAACACTTTAGTCATAAACAAGCCTTTCAACTGTCTTTAAGTAATTATTTCCTTGATAGAGATAATCCACATAAATTCCATTTATATGTGCCTCATCAAAACCAAAGCTTCCTACAGGTACAATGGTATCAACTTCAGCAATAACAACCTTTGCTGCTTTAACCATATCTTAATTAAAGTTTCTGGCAGTCCCCACAAACTTAAGATTACCATTGGTGTCAGCCATATTTGCTTTAATAAGAGCGAAATCTCCCCAAATAGAGTCTTCTCTTATGTATTTCTTTCCATTAAAGTATTCAACCTAATTATTATAATAAAATCTTACAGGCTTTGGTGTAGAAGCAATTTCTACACTCTCACCACCTTTATGATATTTGATAGGAATGCCTCCCTTTTCAACCACAGTGTCTGTACCAGTATGTGTATAAAAGGCAGGGATACCAGCTCCTGCGGCTCTTAATTTTTCTGCCAATGTTCCTTAAGGTACTAATTCCAATTCCAAAGTACCATCAAAGTATTACCTATTGTTAATAATAAAGTATTACTTGGCTAGGTTGTGATTCTCTCCTGCATATGATGCAATGACTCTCTTTAATTATCCATTATTCAAAAGCAATCCTAATCCCAAATCAGTTGTCCCACAGTTGTTACTTACGACTGTCAGATTTTTTGTTCCTGCCTCTTTCAATGCATTGATGCTGCATTCAGGTATACCACACAACCCAAATCCACCGACAAGCACAGTAGATCCAGCTTGAATCTGTTTAATGACACTTAAGTCCTTTATGATGCGGACATAGTATCTACCGACATGAGTGAGAGAGGATATTGGCTTTACGTACATTAATTTGAATCTTTTATTATAATAATTTCAAGATATTTTCGAGAGGATATGAATAATCATTATAATACGTAATATATTTATGGCATAATATCTTTTTATAATATATATTATAATTATTATAAAAATTATAATAATTAATTAAATTTATTTAATTATTATTAATAATCACTCTATTAATTATAATCATAAATAAAGAATTAAAGTATTTAATTGATCATATTAACTGTTGATTAGAATTAGCAAAATGACTTTTATAATAATAATACATTAATATCAATAACACCATTTATTATAGACTTATGTAATTGGGTAAAAATTTATTTTTGGCACATTTTTAATAATTTTCATCAAAAATTGTTTTGGTTTCATGTTTCAAATCAAATTGATATACTTGTAATATATTTTTTAAATATTTTTGTGTGTAAAAGCATGAAATTCTTCGTATAATTCTTCATTCCTTTTTTTAAACTAAATTATTATAAAAATCACTAAATTTCTAAATAGATATTCTGTATTTTTTTTGACTTACAAAAAAGGCATTTAAAATTATAGTTGCTGTCTGATTGCATAGGCAATATCATTGTTTAATTGTAGTATAAGGTAATAAAATTCATATTAAATTAATAAAATAATAATAAAAAATGCGCTGTACGAGACTCGAACTCGTGTCACAAGGATGGCAACCTTGAATACTACCCTTATACTAACAGTGCCTAATAGTATATTGAGATATTATAACTATAAAAATAGGATTCATCATTTAAGATTTAAGAAGAACTATCCAAAAATTTATTATATCATTAATAAAGTAACATATGAAAGAAAAAAATTATATTACCTAATATATATTTTAAGATTATATTTGCTATAATTTAGTGAAAATTATTGAATAGCAATTTGATTCCTTTGGTATTTGAGATTAATCTAGTAATTAAGCATAATAAAATAATGATTATTCTCAAATAATAATTAGAATATAAAATGTTAAATTTCTTTGATAAGCTAAATTATAAACTAAATAAAATTAAGGATAAATCTCCTAAATTTGTTAAAGATTTCGGATATTATTTTTTTTTCATTGTAATAGACATAATATAAACTAAAGGCGAGAAGTAAATTAATAAAAACTACCTTATTCAAAATAAGAAGAAAAAAGTGAAAAAATAATCCCGAAAATTGTGGGTCATTTTCATGAAACAATCCATAAGTATTCTTATCTAATAAGTAATTTATTTTAGTATTATTATAATTTAAAATTGATCTGTTGAAATTACTTGATATTATTAGAAAAACAATTTTTAAGGTTTGATGTATGTTAATGATGATGATGATATGAATAATAAGAATAGTAGGAGTAAAACCATAGGAAAAACTTTAACTGAATTAATTGATTAAATTAAGAAAATTAAAAAAAGAAAAAGGTTAATAATAAAAAAGTAATAATTTCAAGCGAATATATAGTATTTTAATAGCTATAATAATAGGACGAAAATTTGTAACAACCAAAAAAGAAAGAATAGAAGAAGACAGAAACAAGCGATTTCAATGTTATTTTGAATTGATTAAGATTTACTTAAATAAGGTTACTAAAGAAGAAGGAGTTAACAAAAAAAATACAAATAAAGAATCTACTCCTGCAGAAAGAGTACCATAATAAACTTAATAATTCCTAGAATAAGTTTAATAAGCAAATGTATAAAGAACAAATAATAATGAAAATGTTGATATTAAAACATTTTAGTAAAAAAGGCAAAAAAACAAACTGCAACACATTGGGTAGAAAAGGTAAAAATTTTCGAAAATTTCTAAGATTTAGAAAGAGTAAACAAAAATTGAATAGAGAAACTAAAAGTTTAAAATAAGGACTAAGATTTAGATCTTTGAAGTAGTTATTGTATATATATATACATTAAACATAATTTATATTTGATTGTTTAATTAACGAATTATTGCAATGTATTTAGAAAAACATGCTAAAGCATTAATAGATTACTAATATAGCTCAGATGATGATCATGATAGTATAGATTAAAAAAAGTAAGCTATGAAATATCAAAATGATTTTAATTAAACAGATGAATATGTTCGAAGATTGAAAAAAGAGAACCTAAATAATGTATTTTAAGATGTGATTATAGAAATAAACAATAACTATATTATTAGCAGATTTAGAAGTTCATTAAAAAAGAATTGTTTAACTAGAATAAGAACTGTTTAATTAAAGAAAATTAGCATAAGATTCACAAGATTAATTAAAGAGAGTTAAAATAAAGAAATAAGAAGATAGAATGTTGAAAGAGTAGAAAAAATTTTAAGAGAAATTTGCTTTGTAGACAAATGATGCTCTTGAAAAATTAAGATAACATTTTGATTAGACATTATAATAACTTACACCAAAACCTGATAAGAGATGAATATAGTTAAATTTTAATAATAATTATATCATGAAATAAAAAATGATTTTTTCTCAAATTGTTGACTTACTGTTAATTTAAAAATTTGGTTAACCATTCAAAGGTCTATGATTATAATATTAGATCTTCTCTATTTTACTCAAGTGTGAAATGATGTGATCTATAAGAATAATACAAATTTGCACTAGTAAACGAATCTAATTTATTAGGATATTCTTATTATTATGAATTATGTGCTTCCATTTATTTTGTGTCATAAATGTATTTCTGCTACTATTGTCATTTAATCCAAAATGAGAAAATCTTAAATCATTTAATACTTTTCCTGTTAATTGTCCAGGTTGTCCAGCTGTATTTTTGAAACTTTAAATATAATTAAATTAATAAGAATACTTGGATTGCAATTCCGATTAATAATAAATATTTTCAGTTCCAATTTTGAAATATGAGACTTAATTAGAGAATGAGAATTTGATAATTATTCTAGAGGTTTTATCATACTTGTATAGAAAGTTTAAATTTATGTTTCTAAAATTTTGGATCTCCTTGAATTATTATTTAATTTGACTTTATTTCTGAATATGGCTTAGACTTTTCATAAGACAAAATGAGTTGTTTTCTATGAAAATTATAGGGCTTTCCTCTCAAATTTTATCTATTCACTTCAGCAAAAGGAAATGAAGTTATTTCTTACCTCTAAAAATATTCTTAATTTAATGTTAATAATCTGGATTAGTTTTTCAAAAATGAAGATTTGTTTATAAAAATCTTAGTTTATAAGATGCCTAGGGTCCTCTATCTTTTTGATTATGAAATTCTTGTTAAGCAGTAATTATAGGGCGTTTCTAATAATTCATTTAGAATATTACCTATTTCCTAAGAAGATGCTTTTTCAGCCAAATATTATTTAATTTCCAATTATTGAGGTTAATATTAAAAATTGTAATTTGTCTACAACCTTTTAATTGTAGTTTCTCAAAATTGTGAAGATAAGATATTATCTTATTTTTTTAAGCTCATTACTGAGAATGATTGGTTCTTAAATCATTTTTTTATTTTAATTTAATAAAAGGTTCTCCAATTTATTTTCCTTAAAAATTAGTTTTAAATATTGAATGAAGCTTTAATACTATTCGATATAAATTTTTACGTTTAGATTCTCTCAGATAAAAATGAGCACTTCTTAAATTTAATCTATTACTAACTCTAAATATTTAATTATTAATTTAATCTTCTTGATTAAACATTATCATAGTAATTTTATGAATATTGTCTTGTTTGTTTGATGATCCATATAAATCAAAAATTTTATAATATAAAAAATATATATAAATATATGAAAAGTAATTCTAGTTATATATGTTCTTAATTGTGTTAATTAAATATAATACTACTCATTGTTTAATTGGATCATTCATACTATGTTAAGGTTAAGCTTTAAAACGATATCTTCCATTTGGCATTAATTTTCCTGAGATTAAATGATTTTCTAAAAATTCTCGTGCTTCTTCTCCAAAAAATATGTGATTTTGAATCTTGATTTAATCAGTTTCATTGGCATTTTCTTTGATTTTATTTCTACATTCAATTCTTACTCTATGAAACATTTGTGGATCCCCATTAAAAGTTTTCATCATAGTTTTGAGCATCCTTCTATAGAAAAGTAATGTTCCTTAATAAATATTGCTCATTAAATTTATTAATAAAGAATTATGTAAAAAAAGAAAAACAAATAAAAATATGAAAAACATTAGTAAATGATGAAAGATAAGCAATAATAAAGATAAACAAAAAAGTAGTTAAAGAAATAGAGAGGATAAGCTCGTTCGCTCAAAGGTATAAAAAATAAATTATTATTTAGGTTATGCTAAACATTTTTAAGAGTTTTAAGATGAAATGAATTAATTAGGACTTTAAATTAGAGATGTAGAGGGAGATGGAAATTGTCTTTTTAGATCAATAGCAGATGTATTACATGGAGATGAAAAATATCATAAATAATTAAGAAGATTAGCAGTTTAAACAATGGAAGAAAATTAAGAATTTTTTGGACTCTTTATTGAAGATGATATGACTTTCAATTAATATTTAAAAGAAATGTCGTCAGATGGTGAATGGGGAGGCAATTTAGAATTACAAGCACTTTCTTAGGCATTGGATGTAAATTTTTTCATCCACATGAAAGGAAGACCGTCTATGATTATAAAATCAATGACAGATGAAAAACCTTTAAATGAAGTAAATTGTTGATTATAGCAATGTTAGAAAGATTCACTTCATTTAGCTTATCATTTAATAGAAAATGTTGCTGAACATTATAGTGCTGTAAGAATGTTAGGAGATGACAGTAATAAAAGAGCTGAACCTATAACCTTAGATATTTTTGAAGGTCTATTAGATACTTTCTAATAAGCCCCTTTAGGAGATGAAGATAATTTTTAATAATTTGATGAATTAGAATAATTTGAAGATCCTGAAGAAAGAGAATACTTTTAAGCCTTAAAAGAATAAGAAGAAGCTGAAAAGGCTGCTAAAGAGGCTATGAAAAAAGCAGAGCTTTAAAAATATTAATTGAAATAGAAAAAGAATAAAAAATGCAATTGTGGTTCCAATAAAACCTATAAAGACTGTTGTATGAATATAGATATAGAGAAAGCTGAGAAATAGAAAAATCCTAAACAACAACAATAATAACAATAATAATAATAATAATAACAATAATAACCTCAATCAGATACTCCAATGAAAAAATAAGCTGTATTTATATGATAATTTGTCAATTCATACTATTTATGAATTATTATAAAAAAAAGTTAGCAATAAAAAATGATGAACAATTATCTCTTCCTCAAATTTCTGATAATAGATCATTTAGTTTAAATAAAGAGACCAGCTGCTCCATTGAGCATAATCGCAATTTGTACTTTTCTTTTATATAATCTAATCAAAAATCATAAGATGTATGTTAAAGGAAACCATAACATATGAGAAATATTGAAAGAAAAAACTAAATGCTTAAATTATAATTGAAGAGGGTATTTTTATATATCAAAGAAAGGTCTCACCACCTCGTTTGCAGTATGAAACTTTAGAAGAGATATATTTTATTAGATACAAAAAAATAACATGATCCATATTATTAATTTTTTTATAATTTATTCATTTCTTCTTCTTGCCTTTCTTCTTCTTCTTTGGTTTTCTTTTCTTTGTTAGTGATTTTAATTTATCAGTCAAAGGTTTTGAAATTTGATCTGATATTTCTATAAAAAAAATTGATTTATTTTTTTCGATCAATGGAATAATTTTTGTAGCATCTAAATAAAATTAAAATATAAGTACCTTCATCACTAAGTAAATTGAATTTTAGATCATAATATCCAAGTGTTTTGTTTAATTCGAAAGTTGAAAGAATTTTATTAATCAAGGTTAAATCAGTAGGATCAGAATGAAATTGATTATCTGCTAATTTAATTCTTTCTAAAGTATTATTAATTTCTAATGCTCTAAATAATTCATATGCTCCTTCATTTTTAAGACGATTTCCACATAATTTTAATTTATACAATTTGCTATTAACATTTGCTAATATGTCCTAAAGATATCTAGCTCCATCTGCTTCTATTCCACAATAATTCAAGGCCAAACTTTCTAATGTATTATTCATAGATAGCCCTTTAGTGAGTTCAGCCAAACCTTCTGAGCCTATTTGATTATGATCCAATTTCAGTTTTACTAATTTATTTTCACACTTTGGATGTAGTATATCAGCTAAAAACTTACATCCTAAAATTATTATTAAAATTACCTAATACACCAATTTAATTATCTAAAAGATCTAAAACTTCCAACAATCTAACTTTATCAATATATATGCATATTGTTCTGACTCCTTCATCTTAACATTTCACTCTCCATAATCTTAATTGTTTTAGATGTTTATAGCCTATTTCAGTAAATGATTCCATCATAGCTCTTACACCAACAGGCCCCATTTCTTCCCACAGTTTTACATTTTATAAATGTTCTCCTTCTGAACAAACTGCTTCTAATCTCTCTTTAAATATTTTGCAAAGAGGAACTCCATTAATTTCACATCGCTTTCGGTATAATTTATTTAATTATTCTGTTGAGAAATCTTCTACTTGATCTCCCTTTTTCTTTTTATCTCCCATTTAAAATTAATATTAATACTAAATTGTTTCTAATTCTTATTTTCTAGAATTTCTCTTAATATTTCATTTAATATGCATTTAAGATTTTATTTTAAGAAGATTAAGATGTTTATCAATTAATATGTATTTTTCGATCATTTATAAGAGATATCTAAACAAAACTAATAATACAACATTTACAATATACTCTAAAAAGCATTTCATAGATTTATCTATATTAAATTTGCAGATGTCTAAGAAACATTTATATTTTAATTTTAACTTATGTTATTGTTTTACTTATTTA